GGTCGACTCAGCCTCAAATGAATACCTTGTAGGGTGTGTAAACATCGCCAATGGGGAGACAAAGGCGTCGGGGCATGGTGCTGGTCACCCCCCTCGTGTGCCATACCAGCCTTCATAGGTGGTCGGTAACAGCACTTGCCCCAATAGTCTGTTAAATGATATACGGGGGATGGGGGATATTTGCTTTTTTACGGAGTCCAAATCTGTGTATTTCAAGGCCGACCCCCCACCACCCGCACCACTCCCGTGGACATTCGTGGCTGAGGCTTTTGGCCCAACGGAGCAAAAAGGTGGTGGTGCTGCACATCTCCACAAACCACCACGTGGCACTTCCAGCTCTCCCACCGCGCCTTCCTTCCTATGGAGGCGTCGCAAAGGAACCCGCGGAGAGGCGTCTCCGCAGCTCGCTCCGTCACTCCCAGCGCCCCAGGGCCGCGGGAACAGCGCCAAGCCCGCTGCCGCTGCTGCTGCCACGGGGAACAGCAGGTGCAGGCGTGGGCCATATGATCATCATCGATGATAATTATCGCCCGATGGATAATTTTCGATTATAATTATCGCCAGATGATAATTTTCGACGATAATTATCGCCAGATGATAATTCTTGCCCGATAATAATTATCGCCCGATGGATAATTTTCGATTATAATTATCGCCAGATTATAATTTTCGATGATAATTATCGCCAGATGATAATTCTTGCCCGATAATGATTATCGCCCGATGGATAATTTTCGATAATAATTATCGCCAGATGATAATTTTCGATTATAATTATCGCCCGATGGATAATTTTCGATTATAATTATCGCCAGATGATAATTCTTGCCCGATAATAATTATCGCCCGATGGATAATTTCCAATTATTATTATTATCGCCAGATGATCATCATCACCCGATGAATATTATCAATGATAATTGTTGCCCGATGATAATTATAGATGATCATTATTGCCCAATGATAATTATCGCTCGATCATGATTATCGCTCGATCATGATTATCGACCGACGATAATGGTCGCTCCATGTGTTTTCTGAAATGCTGCACGAGGCTGTTCGCATGAAGCAGCGATGACCGGTGGAAGGAAAAACAAAACCCTCCTCAACCGAATGTCCGCACGATGGCCAGGTCGTTCTTTTTTAATATATAAAAGAGCTATATATCTCAGTGGGCCTCACCAGGTAAAATGTTTTACTAAAATATGAGTAAAAATAAAAAGTATTGAAATCTCCATCGTTGGTGCCACAAGCGGCAGAGGCGAATAAACCTCGACAATGCCCTCTCGGCGTGGGCAGAGCGCGATGATGTCTCGAGCAAGTTGGAGTGCGAGTCTCATATCAGCTTGTATGACACAGATGTGAAAGCAGAGGCTATCTTTTGTTTCTGATGACGTTTTATTGTCAAGGGTGGCTCTGAAACCAAACGCACAGCTTACATTTATTCACCCCTAATTTTGACGTAGACACGCGTGCACGCGTATAGACGGTGCATCGAATTGACGTGCCAAATGGACTTGTGAAATAAATCGTGCATATATCGGTGACGTCAATCAGGTTATACACTTCGTAAGGGCCACCGGCTGATTTTTGCTTTCAAGAAAAAAAATCCAACCACTGCAGAATGTTGGAACATTTCTCTGCGTGGTATGCTGCCTGTTTGTGTTTCAAATAAGACTCTCACACTTGACCTTTCAAAGCGTTTAAGGTGGCTTTTGGGAGTGTACAGGTATGCTTTCATTACAGTCTTCGCGATCGGAGTTTCCGCCTCGCCTTACTCGACGATGATTGCAGTGCTGCTATAGCAGGGGTCGGGAACCTTTTTGACTGGGAGAGCCATAAAAGCCAAATATTTCTAAATATATTTCATTGAGAGCCATATAGTATTTTTTACGTATAATAAATTAAATATGTCTTGCTTTTAATGCGACTTCTGGTGCTACATGTTTTTGCTGATGGCATTGTAGTCTGGTTGAGCTTCATGCAGGCGTGACCCGTGCAATTTATCTTCAAAACTAATTTCTGTTTATTTTAAAATGACACGGTATTATTAAGCAAATATCACAAGTATTTTAAAATCAGTTCCAAACTGATTTTTTTTTCAACTCAAAAATTGTCTGGGAGCCATATGCCGTCACTGGAAGAGCCATATATGGCTCGCGAGCCATAGGTTCCCGACCGTTGTACTATAGGGATGGAAGAGCCGCACGGTGTTTCACGCCACGTGCCCAAGTTCGACTCCTGGCCACAGCGAGCATCGGTGACGAGCTACGTGCCAACAGGCCCTGCCCACCCCACTCACCACCCTTCCCCAATTGAATCATCAACTCACACCGGACCAGCACGGTGAAGAATGGCTAAGCGTCCTTCAAGAGCGACGCAAGTGTGGAGATGCCTTCGGTCAGCAGTGAATTGCGAAAGTGCTGTCAATTATTGCGGTTTGCTACACGTGGCCGGCGTAGGCCTTACGATGAAGGCCTACGTTATTGTCAACTCCGTAGCACGTGGGAACCCGAGAAACCATGGTGCACTTCTACGGAGACCACAGGGAGCGTTTTATGATTTAGAAGATCGGGCGATCTTGATCACAGTCGAGTGTGAGGTGGTAGGGCCCCAATGCCTTCATAACACGACCACTGTTGGCTTCCCAAAACGTGGCACACATTCAATTGAACCCCGTGATGGATTTGTGGGCAGAATCCGACCCCTCACCTGGATTTCAGCTTTAAAAAAAAAATCTCAAAAATAACCAAAATGTTTCGTTCAACTTTCAACTGCACCGCGAGGCTCCGCGCTCATTGTTTGCGCGATGGGTAATGCAACACCCACCACTTCAAAGTTATAGCCCTGTGATCATAGGTGAGCATAATCCATTCACTCCCTCTCTCTCTCCCTCCTCCTCCTCCTTTTCCCCTCCCTTTCTCCGCCTCTCACCTGCCCGTCGTTAAAAGCACTGGGGCTTTCACCCTGAGTCCCACTCCTGTAACGCGTGTGTCTATGTTTGAACTTCTTTCGCACCGTACGTAGCCAACCGTGCTAATCGGAGGCGCGGGGGAAGGACAACAAACTAAACACAAAAGTCGGTTCTAAAGAAATGCATTTTTAATTTAATATCGTGGTGCAGTGTATAGTCATGCAGTGTATCGTAGTGTGTAGTGTAGCATCTAATGTAGTGTAAGTTGAACTCCTTTCGCATCGTACGTAGCCAACCGTGATAATCGGAGGTACTATAAGCACAAAGCGTCTGAAAATCCACCACCATTGTTTTTGGCTTCGCCTGCGCGTAAACCGGAGAAAGAACCCAGACAATCTCGGCATCACTCAGCACCGCCATCCGCTGGCCAAAACCTCGCAGTCCCACACTTGGCAAACCCGCCAGCCCCCCCATCCCCCCATCCCCTCCGGCTCCTCTCGCGGTAGTCACCACCAATCCAAGTAGGGACTAGGCTCAACACTATAATAGGGGTTTTCCCCTTTTTTCTGGCAATAAAACTGAAAACTTTTTTTATTATTATATTTTGGTGCTGGCAAAGGAGCCCTCGTTACTTTGATAGTGCATTGTCTTTGAGCTGTACGCCTCTTGACGTCCTCTGGTCTAGCACCAATTGAGATGAGGCTCAAAAGAAAGCTGTCTCTGGTGTGGACCAATCAATTTCAAGGACAATGCATATATTATCAGAGTGTGTTTTTGTTTGCATTTTGACTGAAAGTATTGTGGTTAATGCAGACATGAATCCTCGTGCAAAGGTTGTAATTTTGTTGCCAGAAAAAAGGGGGAAAACCCTATTATTACATTTTGGTACTGGCAAAGGAGGTCTAATGAGGCTCAACACTGCTTAGCTTTTGAAATCCGACGAGAGCGGGTGCCGTCACAGTGTGACTTCGTCGATGGACGGGTTTCTGCACGCTCTGCTCTGTAATTATAACAACAAAAGAGGCTCGGCTGTAAAAACCCCAAAAAACATGTTGGTTGGCAGCATGTGAGCTTAACCTCGTACACAAATAATTTTGAAATTGTATCTATTGGTGGGCCTAAAACTCACCCCAAAGATGCCCCTTAGTGGAGTTTTAAAGTCGTAGGGTTCGCTTGTTTGTATTCCCTCTTCTTCTTCTGCACCCAGTTTGGGTTTTTTTTTCCATTCCAATGTCGAAGCGTTCGAATTCATCGGAGTAACTCGGGCATGGACGATTCCAGGCTTTGTGGACCGGACACAGAGCATTAACTCTTGTCAGGCAAACTTACTTTTTTTTTCTTGTGTGTCACTAAAAAAGAAGGCTCCACAATGTGCCTTTACGTTGAATTCTGAACCTTTCTGAGAAATTAAGGCGTAGTATTGAGCGGACAAAAAAAAAAACCTCCCGCAAATAGTCTGTACCCTAGCGGTGGTGGCAGAATAGACCATCGAAGGACGTCAATTGGGAAGGGCAGCAGTGGCACTTCCTACTCACGGCAATACATCCACAAGAGAAGAATAACCCTCCCTCCCATATCACAAGCCACATCAATGCGCTCGTGTTTGTTTGCCTTTGTAAAACGGCCGCAAAGCCGCCGATATGTTTTAATTCGTCGCCTCTCTCTCTCTCTCTGCGGGGAGGAATAAAGCTACCAAAACACATCGAGCTTCTCAAAATCCCTGCGAACTTCCTGCACGGGCAGGTATCAGAGCCCTCTTTAGGGCATGTCTCAGTCGGCAGATGCCAAAACGTCGCGCGATAAACAGTCCTTGCTCACACGTATCACTCACTCGAAAGCTTAAAAACGTGGCCGTCGAGCATTCCCGGAATGCGAGTCCTAATCTGCGGCATTTAATTCTTCGCGAAAATATTATTGCCTCTAAATACCAAGGATGCAGAAAAAAACAGAGCGCATGCAGGTGGCTTGCGACGAGGAGACAGCTGTGTGAGTGTAATGCACATTCCACTCAGCGTAGCGATAGAGAGGGAGAGAGAGAGACACAGACAGACAGAAACGCGGTGCAGGTTTGAGAAAAAAAGCCCTTTATTTATGTGGGAATAAATGGAAATAAATGCGAGGTTGTTGATCCGTATAAATACAAGGCGTGCACACTTGAAGACAGCACAGACACACGCGTCTATATAAATAAGCTACGGGTCTCTATATGTATACTCTGGGTGTAACAAAGTACCCATTCGTATCGTTTTTGCAAAGTTGCGAAACGTGCGTCTAAGAGTGGACGGCGGTTCACGTGATCAGTGCAGCCACTGGAGGCATTAAAGTTCAAATGAGAATCATTTATTGAATTCGGACCGCGACTTTGGTGGCTGTGAATCGATACACGCGTGCACAACGAACATAAATGTGCGCGCGTAGGCTCAGACTTAATATTCACGAATCGGTTGCAACTCAGAAGGGATTTATTCTCCACTAGCCCAGACCAGATGTTTCATTTTAGCCGATGCCATCTGAGGTGGCATAACTTTAGCCGTTCCAATGTCTGTGTGGCCACTCATAGTGAATTAGGTGATAACCACCTGAAACGAGTGAGCTGTCAAAGCAATGTCTCTTATTCGCCGTTCAATAACTCAGCATGACTGACGTTTTGATACCTTGGCTTGATAGCAATTCGTTTTTGGTCCATTACATGGGCGAATGCCACATTGTTCGTAATGGGACACATCAGTGCATATTTTGGCTAATTTTTTTTAAAATCAAAATGTGAATTTGCCAACAGGCCAATCCAGGCCCACATTGTAAGGTGTGCGTGGATGCATTGATGCAATGATGTTGATACATTGATGCATGTATATGTGAATGCATTCACGCGTTGATGTGTGCGTTAAAAGCATTGATCTTGATGCATTTATGCACTGATGAATGTATGTGCGAATGTATGTGTTGATGCATTGATGTTGAAACATTGACGTTGTGTGTGAATGCATGTATGTACGTGTTGGCCATGGAGGGCCCTTCTAGAGAGCGCTTGGCCTACTCTTCCATGCTGGGCAGACGTCTCCGTCGAGGTGGGGGTACCCACACTTTACCACACCACACACAGTCCTGACGATCAACTGAGTTTTAACTCGATAAACGTGGCTGGTAAATTCGCAGAATTGACCGACATTGTACACTGAAAATTAATATTCTCACTTAAACAGAAATCGTATGGCTTTCTTGAAATGCTTTACACTGTAAAGGTGGGACAAAGTAATTGTTATGCAAGTTCAAGTCGAGTCTGAAGTCATCAAATTCATGACTCGAGTCTGACTCGAGTCCAAGTCACATGACTCGAGTCCACACCTCTGCTTTACAGCATCCAATATATACGCAAACACAAGAATAGTCTACAAAGCAAATTATATAAAAGTAACGCCTGAAATATAAATATGTGTGCAGTGTGCTTAAGATGGGCTTGCGGTCATAATATCCGGTTAATTTCTCTGATTAAAAACAATCTTACAATGTAATGAAAACGTTCAGTAAGTAAACGGATAGGCGGATGGAATGGAGCAAGAGGTCCTTCGTGTGCACCTATCCTGGCGCAATGACCATGATCACATCATCGCCACTTCCTGAAGAACGATGGCTGTCATGCATGTGTAGTCCGTCTTTGTCTCAGCAGCGTAAGAAATTCAATGCACAAGAATAGTTTCAATGCGCGTCCACGAAACAGCACAATATAGCGCATCAACAGGGACGTTCATAATCATATCAGGTCACATTTTACGCGAGCTATCTTGACCCTTTAATAGAGACAGACAGATAAGTCAGATGGACAAACAAAGGAAGACAGAGGGACAAACAGAAAGACAGACGGGGCAGAGCTAATACATCAACGTTCAGTTAGAAAGTAACAAAAAGTAAAATAAAATAGCCTTCCCCCGTGCAACTATTCTACCCAGGGCGTCTTGGCAACGTTTGAACCTCAGCGGCCACTCACCTGGTTAAAGAACATTGATCCTGCACAATCGGACATTCCTTTAAGCCGGCCACTTACATTATTCAGCGACTGAGAGGTCACGAGACACACAGCACATATCAAAACGTCGACGGTGGCAGCTTCAAACACAAAATGAGTACCGTTGGTGCATTTGACATTGCTCTAAAGATGATGATGATATGATGATAGCAGCGGCGGTGGCGGTGGTGATGATTTAATGATTGGTGGTAGTGGTGGTGGTGGTTTGAGGTGGCCAGATGGGTCAGAGGTCAAGAGCGCTGAGCCGGACATTGCTGAGATCGTGGGTTTAAAGACTCCCTACACAGCCACCCAGGTGCTTGAACCGGCTCCTCAAGGGCAAGCGGATTGATGGTCTCAGCCAAGCCGACAAGTTACCGCGCGCGGAAGTGAACCCGTGACATTCAATTCGGGCGCTTCACTTAACCGTGGATACAATCAACCCTCCCGAGGATCATTCAATTTAACCGGCACGTGATGGAACATTGTCCGTCACATGACATCATCGTGGCGTTTAACGTTGTGGTTTAAGGCTTGTTTAACGTGGAATTACACCCCCCCCCCCAGGTCTGTGGTAGGGGGCTACAGATGGGGGGAGGGGGGCGCAATCAAATGTTTTGCCCATCGAAGACGGTCACCGCATCTCACGCGCTTTCAGATGCGCTTCCGCGGCCGTCTGGAACGCTCTTGCTTCCGATATTAAGAAGCCGCCGGAGAGCTGTGCACTTTGACCGAATCTCGATTGAAAAACGAATTCCTTCAGAACTGCTCTTTTGTGTTTAGTTTGTTGTTGTCCTTCCCCCCGCACCTCCGATGAGCAGAGCCGGCTACGTCCGGTGCAAAAGAAGTTTCAACACACACGCGCGCACAACACACACACACAACACGCACAACACACACACGACACGCACGCGCGCGTACGAATCGACGCGGCCACCAGCGCCTCCCCTACACGATTTTCCACCCCTCCCCGCCGCCGTCCACGACGGTCGGACGGCGGAACGGATCGTCGGTGACCACGACGAAAACCCTCGCCAGGAGGCTGAGCGCACGCCGGTCGCGCCGCAGCAGCCGTATCTGCACGTCGAGGAGGAAATCGGCGACGCCGCTGAGAGGCCGCCGGAGGAACAGCGCCCCCCGATGGCCCGCGAGGGTTCCGCACCCCGAAGTGGGCTCCCGGATCGCTGTGCGGCGACACCGAGAGGAGCACGCTGTCGCCATGCAGCGTGCGCGACGGGCCCACGTGTAGCACCGCAGCCGGAGGACGCACGCTCGCCGGGAAGGACACGCGGTGGTAGGTGATGATCGCAGGGCTCGTGGCGCAGTCCTGGTGGTGGTGAGGGTGGTGAGGGTGAGGGTGGTGGTGGTGCTCAATCAGCTCCTTCTGCTTCAGCTCATGAAGGAGGCGGTCGTGATCGTTGTCGTCCTCGCACGATATTCGCTCACATCGCCTGCGGCGACATTTGCGGAAACGTTTGGTAACATGCGTGCGGTGCAAAGTGTCAAGGACATTCACCAGAATACTCACAAGTGGGGCCTTTTAGTGATTTAGTTTCTTAGGATTGTCATTGTGGGTTAGGATTGTCATTGTCTGGACGAATAAAATACATGGCCCTAATTGTGACATTTCTGGTGGATTTATTTGAAACTTTGGATTGTGTGTATGTACGTTAAACTTCTTTCGCACCATACGTAACCAACCGTGCCAATTGGAGGGGCAGGGGGAAGGACAACGACCACTAAACACAACAACAAGCGGTTGCAAAGAAGTGAGTTTTGAATCTAGATGATTTAAAAATGCATAACTCCAGTGGCTCCCTAATATCGGAAAGAGGAGCGTTCCAGACGGTCGCAGATGCGCATCTGAAAGCGTGCAATGCGGTAACCGTACGTATCCATGTCCTGCATGTTGAACTTCTTTCGCACCATACGTATCCTTCTTCTCTTCTTTAGTGCTGCCTAACGGCGTGTGCGACTTCACGATGATATTGGTCCCGGTCTAGCACGGCGTGTAGAGTTTGTGCTGTTGTTAATTGTAGCCATGTTTTGATGTTACTGAGCCATGTCGTTTTTGGCCGTCCTGGTCGTTTTTTCCCTTCGATTTTTCCTTCCAGGATTTGCTTTAATAGCTGGTATTTGTGTCCAACCGTGCCAATCGGAGGTGCAGGGGGAAGAACAACAAACGCTAATCACAGCCACAACGCGGGTACGGGGTCACGCGAAATAAACGTCACGTTCCGTCACTTCGGTGCCGCTTTGTGCACCGTCGGTGGTGACCTCACCTTTGCGAACGCGAAGACACGACGCATTCGTACGCGAATGTAAATCATCCGTAAATGCAAAGGGAGATCCAAAATTGCCCTTAAAAAAATCCAAAGATCCTCAGTCCTATTGTTTGTTTTTCATTTGACACTCATCGCCAGGACTGCACACACACACACACTCTCAGATGAGTCAAGCCTCTATGTAAGCCACAGGACAAGTTCACGTGTCAACCTTAAGGGGCCGTTCATAAATGACGTCACGCGATTGTAGACGATTTTTGACCCCCCCCCCCCCCCTTTCGTCACACGGCGTCACAAAAAGTCAGACCCCCCCCTCAAATATGACGTCACAAAGCTCTGCCCACCCCCCAAAAAATATATAAAACGTGCTTCAAATCGCTTTAAACTGTTGTCATTGTAGTACGTATTTAATGTGGCGTTGCACTCTGATGTTGTAGGAGTAAACATTTCATAAAAAAAATCTATTTACTTAAGTAGAACGTGTTGTCTATATTTATTTAAAGTTGCGCATTTTTACGTGACGTCACATTTCTCAAACCCCTCCCCCCCTCGTCACACATCGTCACAAATGTCTGACCACCCCCCCCCCCTAGATGCGTGACGTCATTTACGGACAGGCCCCTAAATTATGCCCACAGCTCACAGCTGAACAACTGAAATTTTGGATTATGAAAAAGCGCGCTGAACACTAAAATAGTGCAGTGTGCGTGCCCATTCCGTGGTCACATCATCGCCACTTGCCGAAGAGCGGTGGCTGCCATGCATGGGTGTGTGTCTTTGTCTCATCAGCGGTACTTACAGTGATTCGCCCATCTGCAATGCGGATCCCAGCGATGTGTATTTGACTCCTGGCCATGCGTAGTACCTGTGCGCGTGCGTGCACGTCTTTGTGCGTCAACACCTCGGGAGCGGGAGGTGTAGCGGCGAACCTGCCAACCAGAGTGAAATTCCCTCTCGCGGGCAAACGCCAGTGACGATTATCTGAAGTGGTCCTGGGCCTCCCCCAGGTCGACTCAGCCTCAAGCGAACACCTGGTGCGATGTATAAACATTGCGACGAGGGAGACAAAGGCGGCCGGGCGTGGTGCAGGCCGCCCACCCCCCTTCGTGTGCCGTACCGTCCCTTCACAGATGCTGCTCGCTAATGGAACTTGCCCCCAGAGCCTGTCAGAGTCTACGAGGGGGGGCATCTTCCTCTTTGCCTCCGTGCCAGCTGGGGAGCGGCTTCGTAGCGGTCAGCGCACCCCCTTCATGCAAGCGGCGACGTCAACCTCCCCCCCCCCCCCCGGCTCTCACGGCCAACATCAGTGGCGAGCGCACGAACCTGGTCCTCGGTCTCCCCCACGTGCCGACTCGGACTCGCGACGCCGTGCCGCGTGCGTCGCCGGCGGCTGAACGCAACTCACGTGGACGACGTCTTCTTGTAGTTGGGCGGGCAGCTGTAGGCCAGGCAACGGAATCCACCGGCCACGTTGTAGCAGACCTCGGCGGAGGTGCAGTTGTGAGTTCCGGAGGAGCACTCGTCGATGTCTTTCGGGGAGACGGAAACACACACCGACCCCCCCCCCCCACGCGCGCGCCCGCCAAGGATGAAACAATCTCGTAAGAATTCATTGTGTCCATTGTAGGGCAGTCACGTTGATTGATGACCCAGCGCTCGCTAATTCACGGCGGTCGATCGCTCACTCATCGGCGGTCGGTTACTCTCCTTATCGGTCTTCCTATCGCTAACGCCGTGGTCACTGTTACCGTGAACTTCACCCGTTGATTCCTCCGCCCGTGTTGAGGCCTCGGGAGAGCCCACTGGCTGTGTGTCATCTCCTTCACACCGTGTTCAGCCAGCATGCTGCAGGTCACAACAAAGCACTCACCCACTCGCTCACGCATTCACTCGCTCGCTCGCCCAGTCACTCACTCGCCCACTCACTCATTCACCTATTCACTCATTTACCCACTCGTACACCCACTCACTCACCCACCCACTCACCCACTCACTCATTTACTCACTCACTCACCTACTCACTCACTCACCCAGTCACCCACTCACTCACCCAGTCACTCACTCACCCACTCACTCACCCAGTCACTCACTCACCCACTCACTCACCTACTCACTCACCCAGTCACCCACTCACTCACCTACCCAACCACTCACTCACCCACCCACTCACTCACCCACTCACTCACCCAGTCACTCACCCACTCACCCACCCACTCACTCACCCAGTCACTCACCCACCCACCCACCCACTCACTCACTCACCCACTCACCCACTCATTCAATTACCCACTCACTCACCTACTCACTCACTCACCCAGGCACCCACTCACTCACCCAGTCACTCACTCACCCACTCACCCACTCACTCACCCACTCACCCACCCACTCACTCACGCACCTACTCACTCACCCAGTCACCCACTCACTCACCCAGTCACTCACTCACCCACTCACCCACCCACGCACTCACGCACCTACTCACTCACCCAGTCACCCACTCACCCACCCACTCACTCACGCACCCACTCACCCAGTCACTCACTCACCCACTCACCCACTCATCCACTCACCCACTCACCCACCTACCCACTCACTCACGCATCACACTGCAAGTCAAATCACTTCTCTTTATGGGTCTTCCCTCACACTGCTCCACTTTGAAATTCCCTCTCCATCATCGTCTCACGCCCAAAAATATATTTTAACCTCGCTCAATAAAAAAAAAAACATTCCGTTTAAACGTTTTATGGTGCTGCTTGTTGCTAGCCGCATGATATTTTGTGCCTTTGGGAAATTAGCTCAGCAACGGTGTAAAAATGTAATCTCAGAAAGCACACAAATACATGCACGTGTGTTCCAAACAAAACTAAAGTAAGATCTGGAGTCAAACCCAGGCCTTGGTGCTCCGATCCCTGGACACACGAAACTGTATCAAGACAATGAAATGTTAATGGGTTGCAGGCGCGTGTGGAGCGATGGCATAGCAATGGGCACACTGAGCTACGGATCCGGCGACCCGAGTTCGATTCCCGCTCACAGCCAACATCAATGGAGAAAATCTGAACCGCACCTGGCCTTCTTTAGGTTGACTCAGCCTTAAATGACCACCTGGTACAGCCCTTAATCGTCAGCACTGGGGAGATAAAGGCGGCCGGGCGTGGTGTTCACCACACGATTCGCTCGTGCGTCGTGCCAGATTTAAGTGGAGCTTGCTAACAACAGCACTCGCCTCAACACCCAGCGCAGTCTACCTGGGGGATATTTGTCTTTAGCTTTGTGTTTGTGTGTCTGTGTGGGGAGCGGTAGTGCAACGGTTAGCGCGCTGCTCTACGAACCAGACGACCCGAGTTCGACTTCCGCTCACAGGCCAACACCAGCAACGAACGTTCGAACCGATCCTGGGCCTCGCGCCTAGCTCGACTCAGCCTGAAATGAGTAACCGGGTGCGTTGTTGTAAACATCGCCACTGGGGAGACAAAGGCGGCCGGGCGTGGTTGCGTTTTTTGGTCACCCACCTTCTTCCGTGTGCTGTGGCCGGCATTCATAGACGGCGCTTGCTACTCGCCACTAACAGCACCTGTCCCCTCGACGGTCTGTTGCAGGCGGGGGCAGTGAATGTCCGTGCGCGTGTTCTTTTTGCTCTGTGTTTGGTGCGCGCGCTCTGTTGCCCCCACCTCGACACGCGTGGCCATTGGGCGAGAGCGTGTAGCCCGGCACGGGACACCTGCACGCGTAGCTGCCCGGGGTGTTCACGCAGCGGTACGTGCAGACCTCACCTCCGCTGACACCGTCGGAGCATTCATCAATGTCTGGCGAAGAGAGAAAACACAACAAGGTGCGGGGGAGAGGGGGTGGTGCGGGCGGGCGAGCGAGCGAGCGGTAACAGTCGGCCTCGTGCGACGTGGGGCAGCATTTTTAGAATTCAGTGAGCAGGGAGAGAGAGAGGGAGAAAAAATGCCCCCCCCCCCAGGGACCTGTTGTAGCAGCAGCAGCAGCAGTCGTCTTCGGTGACTGGGTGGTCTTACGGATATCTCCACGTGATGACTCCCCCCCCCACCACCACCACTACCACCACCCCCGGAGCGCTGTAAGTGACCCTCATCAAACGCTGTCGCCAACGCCGCTTGTCCCGCTTGACGATGCTTTGCGGGAGCTTCATCTGAGTGAGCGAAACTCCCCTGGAGGCTGTTGGGGGGGGCGGGGTGGGGGGGCTCTGAAGGGTACGTTTCCGTGTGCGCTTTGTGATGGGCACTGGTAGCGCAACCTTAGTGCCCCGAGCAGGACTCTCCGTGCCGGGCGTGAGGCTAAAGTCTGTTGGAACGCCGCCTTGAAAACTCAACCGTGTCAACGCGCTCACGCACACGATAAGGAACCTCGTTGGCCCATCTGTTGTAGTGGGTGAAATAAATGAATGGGGAGGAGGAGGAGGAGAGCCGCTCCTGAAATGAGAGCCTTGCGGAGAATTCTCAACGCTTCTTTCAGATGATTTTGCTGCCGTGAATGTCCGCTCGAAAAGCCACTTCGTTGAGATGTCATTTGTGGCCAAGTCGCTTCTGAAGAAGAAGCCAATAGCTCAACGGGCTTTACCTGGTAAGATAACAAAAACAACTTTTTTTAATATGAGTAGAAATTTTTAAGTTATTTTTTTATCCTTTCCTATACTTTGCACTCCTATCGTGGTTTTTTTCGTATTGTTTGTTGTTGTTTCGTTCTGACCCGCCCCTCCGGGACATCGGTGAACGAAGAGCTTTATAGCTTATCGGATTTCTCCTGTATATATACACAAAGATCCTGAGACCGAGCAAACACACGAACAAGGAAGAAGTCCCGGGGTAGAAGAGACACCGACCCAAAAGAATCGAGGCAACCGAGTCAGGGCAATTAGGGGAGGCCGCAATGTTTCGGGCACGTGAACCGGGGTGATTCGTGACCGCAGGGAGACGTGAAAGGCGCTCGGAAGACCACACGATGTGAGCGGGCGTCAACCATCCACGCTGGACACGATGGTAGAATACAGCGGCGGACAAACGAGAGAAATGGAGAGGCAGCGCTGCGTGGATGGTATCTAGGGTGAAGGCAAAAAGGTCGTGAGCCCAATGGCCCACAAGGCCAATGGACGAGACGAAGATGGAGCCGTCTGCGAATGAGTCGGTCGGTCACAGCGCTTGATCGCTCTCGCCGAAGAGGAATCGGCGAACCTGTGACCATGACGACGAGGTCTTGACGACACGCGGCTTCTCACCGAGGTCAAAAAAACACGTGCGGCTTCAATTTGTCGACTGAGTGGAGTTGAATTTGTTTTTGAACTTTCTTCTCACTTTATGTATTTTTATGTTTTACTTATTCAGAGTTGAGAGTTGGTTTTGGAGGCTGCAGAGAAGATCGAACCGTGATCGGAGGCAGCGGAGGATGGAGCCAACGGAGGCTTCAGGTCGCTAACGCAATGTCGATTTAATGAGGGTTGTAGATTAGAAAGATACTCGCTGCATCCAAAGCAAGAGCAGATGCCTGCCCGTATGGAATAAATAATACTGGGAGGACGTCACCCCAAAGGAGATGGAGCGATGGAATCAGATTCTGTGCCGATGCTGGGGTGGGTCGTTATAATCATCGGATGACGAGAGGTGGCGACTTGTTGGGAAGGCCTTCTCAATCCAGCAGTGGATTGAAAAAGGTCTTTAAATTAATATCTTATCATCATCATGGAAGAAGATCTGGCAATGCGGGCAGTGATTAGAAGGAAACTGTCACTGTTTGGACCCGTGTGCATGATGGAAAACGACGAGAAATTAAAAGTGCGTTGTTGTTGTTGTTCGGAATAATGGAATGAACCGGAAAGGGAGGAAGACCTAACAGAGCTGAGCTTGACGACGACGTAAGAGACGGGTCCCACAAAGACGCGGCCACCACTTGAGCACATTCGCACAAGACGGAGGAGAGTTGAAACGAACGGCGAAATGTTTAGTGGGAACCTACGGGATTATCTGCCCATGGGTCGTGATGAGGATGACCACGAAGTCTGCAGTACATCCATTCTTTAAATACCATTCCGTTATGCCGCCGTGGAATTGTTCTGGGATATCGGCACGTGCCGAAGAGCATTTTGAGTGCGGATGGATCATGGAGCCCCAGCGTGAACGGAGTGCGATCGTGAGGCGGAGCGAGGGCGGTCACGCACAACGGGACGTTTCAATGCAGACACAACGACAGCACAAACTTACAGTTAGCGAACAAACTAATAACTAAAAACGAGCGCATGGAGTGAAGAGTCGATGGATTCATCGTCTTGGTTCTTTCGGTAAAGTCACGTAGAAGGGAAATAATAAAATAATAAAAATAAAACATAATAAAATACATTATTTCCCTTCTACGTGACTTTACCGAAAGAACCAAGAAGATGAATCCCTGCAGTCACGAAAGCTTTAAATCGAAATTAGTTCATTCAAACGCCGTCTTTCCGACAGACCTGTTCTTCACTTGAGGACGGCTGCTTGCGTTGTGGCCGAAACGTCATGAGAATTTTATTTTATTATGTTTTATTATTTTATTTTTATTTCCCTTCGACGTGACTTTACCGAAAGAACCAAGAAGATGAATCCCTGCAGTCACGAAAGCTTTAAATCGAGTCGATGGATGTTCGTCCAAACGGAACGACCAATCGAATGAAATATTTCCAGGCGGAGAGGAGGATTTGAGGACAGATCATCGTCGCGCAAAGTTCCGCACGTCGTGGCAGCGGTAATACGCCGTGCAGTGCGAGAATCGATACCCGAATGAGCTAGTGTTGCACATTAACATTGTGGAAGTTGGCCTAAGTTTGAGTCGCTGTACATTTAACGTGACGGTCCCCCAAAAATATTAATGTTTGACCACCTGGTGGTTTAGCTGCTGCAGCTCCTTACTATTAAAATTCCTTCCCTCTATTACTGCTAACCCTACTCCCTCCCTTTGATGCTGCTAATCCTGCATACTGCATAATGCACGGGCATAATATGACGTTGAAACCCCCCCCCCCCCCCCCACCTTCTACGCTTTCCACAAGTAGTGAATAATCCCATATCTGCATTTCCCATAAATATGCTAAATTCCTCTTGATGTGCAAATTACTTTGTCAAGGAGCCCCTTCCCCCCTCCAACCCAGCTTAAATATACGCTGCCAAGCCTGGTGGTGCCCATTCAGACGCTGTCTTTCCGACAGACCTGTTCTTCACCTGAGGACGGCTGCTTGCGTTGTGGCCGAAACGTCGTCAGAATTATTTTATTATGTTTTATTTTTATTCTTTTATTCTTTCCCTTCTACGTGACTTTACCGAAAGAACCAAGAAGATGTTTGACCACCGCTTGTAAAACTGATGAATGCCCGCGGATGAAAGGTTTGCGTGCATTGCAAAGCAAACGACAGGTACATTGTCGACTTAAAAAAGGAGCAAGTTGGGTGAGTGGGTAGGTGAGCGAGAGCGTGAGTTGTTGAGCGATTCATTGGGCGAGTCGGTGAGCGAAGCGGGTCAGTGAATGAATGAACGCGCAAAGGAGGTGAGTGAGTCAGTAAGTGACCGAGTGAGTGAGGAGCGAGTAAGTGATGGGCACGAGTGAGCGAGGCGGGTGAAGTGAATGAATGGGCAAGCAATCGAGGTGAGTGATTGCGTCACCTAATGAGTCTATCAATCAGTCATCGGCCAGTCGGCCAGTCGGCCCCTGGGCAGATGTGCCAGCGTGCGAGTGAACAAACGGGCGAGACACTCGGTAACAAGCAACGCATCACCGCACCCCACCCTACCCACCTCCCCTCCTCTCAACCCATCACCCCCCCCCCCCACACCGACTCCCTCCTCCCCACGGCACCTTCGCACGTGGCGCTGTTGTTCCCCGGGCCGCGCCGATATCCCTGCTCGCAGTGGCACCGGTACGAGCCGTAGGTGTTGCTGCACCGCTGCTGGCACACGGACGGGCGCAGGCACTCGTCCACATCTGCGGCGCAGGGGGGGGGGGGTCAAGGGAGAGGCGCACGAACGCACGTGAACTCCGAGGGACCGGACACACAATCTCCCCACACGATTTAAAGCTTTCGTGAATGCAGGGATTCATCTTCTTGGTTCTTTCGGTAAAGTCACGTGGAATGGAAATAATAAAATAATAAAACATAATAAAATAATTCTCACGACGTTTCGGCCACAACGCAAGCAGCCGTCCTCAGGTGAAGAACAGGTCTGTCGAGAAGACAGAGTCTGAAGGTCTTCTCGACAGACCTGTTCTTCACCTGAGGACGGCTGCTTGCGTTGTGGCCGAAACGTCGTGAGAATTATTTTATTATGTTTTATTTTTATTATTTTATTATTTCCATGCTACGCGACTTTATCGAAAGAACCAAGAAGTTCAATTATGTTGTGTTCGATCTTGATTTGAAGCTTTCGTGACTGCAGGAATCCATACTCTTGGTGGGCTACGTACGGTGCGAAAGACGTTCAACATGCACACGTGCAGTGTTCGCCATTCACGAACTTAGCTGTCCGCAATTTAGGGGCTATCTGCGACTCACATGTACAACTCTACACCACCGCACCGAGATAGCGACGAGGTGAATAATGTATGGACGATTGAACTTATTTCGCGCCGTACGCAGCCAACTGCGCCAATCGGAGGTGATGCGATAAAGTGACGAGAGAATATTGTTACGATTGTCGCGTACCTAATAGCATATTCACGTCGTAGTTATTTCAGCCAACGTCATTTATCCACGAAATTTGCTCTTTCGCGAGCATCTCCAGAACGCGTCCCTTCGTGAACGACGTGGGAACGCTTCGCGTTGTATCTCTGGAGCTCGTCGCTGATCTCCGCTGATCTACGCTGATCATGGGAACCCCCCTCGAGCGAGGAATGTTTAATTGTCTCACCTCTCTGTCATCGAGGCGTCAATCTCACGATGAAAGGGGGAGGGGGGGGGGCATGGGCTCAGAGTCTCTCGACACCACCGCAACAACCGCAACCACCGCAACAACCGCAACCACTGCAACTACTGCAACCACCGCCACCACCGCAACCACCGCAATCATTGCAACTACTGCAACCACCACAACCACCGCAACCATTGCAACCACTGCAACCACCGCAACCACCGCAACCACTGCAACCACCGCAATCACTGCAACCACCACAACCACTGCAACCACCGCAATCACTGCAACCACCGCAACCATTGCAAGCACTGGGCAAGGTCCCAGATTCTGTCTCTTTCGTATGGATTAATAGCAGCAGATTAAATATGTAATTTGATGTCATTTTAGATGCTGTTATCCACTCTGTCTGAGTGGATCTCGTCCGTTCCTCCTCTAAAAGAGCAATGACAGCATCAGCAGCAGCAGCGGAGTGTTCACGATGCCGGTCGATGGTTTTGGAATTCGTGGCCGCACACTCGCAGGGCCGCCCCGACTCTTGTGACGCGCCATTTGTGCATCACGTGACCGCTGCGGCCGCGTGCCCCGGATCTGATTCTGTTGACGGTCGACCGTCGACGGCGCGGAAGATTGAAACCGGCAGGTTCGACGGGAGGGTCGCAGTCCAGACTCTCGCTTCCATCCCTCGACGTCGTTTGTATTTGTGGCGTGGAGCGAGGCCGCTGTGACCCAGACGGGGTGGCGTGATTTCAGGCGAACAGGCGCCACTGGGTTTATGTCTCGATGTATTCGATTATTTCTAGAACGGATAATTTGTCCACGTCGGGTTAAACGCTGTTTGTTCCCGTGTCTGGATATACAAACTAAAAATACGCTTCGTTTCAACTGTAAGAGACGAGATAGCGATGATATAGGAGATAAAAGTAGGAGGATGCTTTTACGCTGTGTCCGAATTGGGTGTAATGTGACGAGATGTTAACTACCTCGCCTGGTATGCAGGAGGGTCGTGGGTTCGATCCCGACCCTGACGCCTGCTGCTTTATATTTGGAGTTTGCGTGTCTCTCTCCCCGTGGTCGCGTGGATTTTTCTCGGAGTCCCCCGGTTTTTCCCTCCGCATTTAGAATCAACGTCACGCGTTTAGAGTATTTGTCAGCTAAACATTACCAGGCGATAAGCCCACTTCGTTCAGCTATCATCCGTGATAGCCAGGTGGCTTCTGTGAAAGAGCTATACAGCTCAGTGGGCTTTACCTGCGAGAATAAAAACAGTAAAAGTTGTGGTGATATCGACTCGTTATTCCCACGGGCACTTTCCCCACCAAGTTGCGCTGACCGATGGAAGCAAAGTACGGTCAACCAAGCCCCGACAACCAACCATGTGCACAGACATTGCACGAGAGGGCACTCCTGCCGCCCCTTACGTCACGTACCTCGCCATTTTTAAACGATTTTACTCAACTTGGTTCCTCTGTTTGTCGTGGCCAAATCTTGTAATACAAATTTCGTTCACTTCCCATTGTCCAATCAATTCCACATTTTGCACGCGTACTCAGATCCGGTGACAATGCACGCCTGTATCAAAATCGGCATCAATTCATCAAATAATTCGCTACTTTAAAGCAATTTACATTTTGTATGGACGCCTTATTATTTATATATATTTGTGTGGAGGTCAAACACGTCGCGGTCCATAAACTGTGGAATCGGCTCGCACAAAACGCAGGCGCCGCGTGTCTCAGGCGCCAATGACGAACTTCTCGACCGTGAGTTAAACGAAGTTGTTAATAAAACCGTTGTTTAAAAAAAAAATGTTTATTGTGTGTTTAGTGTTGCCCTTCCACCCGCACCTTTCGATTAGCACGGTTATGCACGTACGGTGCGAAAAAAGTCTAACGCACGCACCTTCACATGTCCTGCCTGTCAGAGCTGAGCGCCAGCCCCCGTGCACAGAGGACATCGGAAGGAGCCCTGCGTATTCTCACACAGCTGCTCACAAGGCTTCCCAGAGCCTTGCACGCACTCGTTCACATCTGTGTGTGTGAACAACAACAGCGGCAGCAGCAGCAGCAGCAGCGTTAGCCAGAACCAGCATCATTCAGATTCAACATTGTTATACTGGTAGGAACCTCCTGGTTACACCAGCCCACAGGGGATTATTGTGTCCGTCGTGCAGGGAGGGGCTGGGTGGGGAGGGAGGGGCTGAGTGGGGAGGGAAGGGCTGGGTTGGGCTGGGTGGGGAGGGGAGGGTGGGGGTGGGAGGGGTGGGGCTGGGTGGGGAGGGGCTGGTCACCCCTGTGGTGCCCTTATAAAACTCAACGTTTAACCTACTCACGCCGGCTTGTGCCCGCCCTCACAGTCGGCCATATTTGCGGAATACACCACGCCGCCGTTGACCCTGGCCATTGACCGAGCAACCCAACGTTCCTACCAGCTCCCTCCGCAGGACAATGTGTTCGTTACTGTTGCTAAAATGGTTGACCCAGTGGAGCAATTGCCGAGTCTCAAGACTATCTTACGGGAGGGTCCTGCCAACGTTTCACACTGGAGAGTGATGCTGCTATGGGGCCGTCCATAAATGACGTCACGCCATTTTGGACCATTTTTACCCCCCCTCCCCTTTCGTCACACGGCGTCACAAAAAGTCAGACCTCCCCCCTCCTCAAATATGACGTCACAAAGCTCTGCCCCCCCCCCCCCAAAAAAAAATATAAAACATGCTTCAAATCGTTTCGATTTAAAGCTTTCGTGACTGCAGGGATTCATCTTCTTGGTTCTTTCGGTAAAGTCACGTAGAAGGGAAGTAATGAAATAATAAAAATAAAACATAATAAAATAAAATAATTCTCACGACGTTTCGGCTACAACGCAAGCAGCCGTCTTCAGGTGAAGAATGAGACACTACCAAACTAGGAGCTAAAATGGTTCGGCTACGTGACTTTACCGAAAGAACCAAGAAGATGCTTCAAATCGCTTTAAACTATTGTCATTGTAGTGCATATTTAATATGGCGCTGCACTCTGATGTTGTAGGAGAAAACATCAAAAAGTCTATTTAATTAAGTAGAACGTGTTGTCTATATTTATTGAAAGTTGCGCATTTTAATATGACGTCACATTTCTCAACCCCCCCCCCCGCCCTCGTCACAAATGTCTGACCCCCACCCCCCCCCTAGGTGCGTGACGTCATTTATGGACGGCCCCAAACGCCCGCCGCTCCCACCCACCCACCGAGGCACGAGCGGCTGCGCGGGTCGTGACGGTAGCCGGGCCGGCACTCGCAGCGGTAGCTGCCCAGGGAGTTGCGGCACAGCTGACCCTCGCCGCAGCCGTGCACGCCCGTGGTGCACTCGTCCACATCTGCCGTGGGCACGCGGCGATCGTCGTCGTCACAATCGTCGTCACAATCGTCGTCACGTGCGAGCGTCGTCGTCACAATCGTCATCAATCGTCGTCGCAATCGTCATCACAATCGTCATCACGCGAGCATCGTCATCACACGCGCCCCATCATAACAACAACAACAGCGACAACGAAGACGAATATCCAACCTCAAAGACAAAGATCCCCCCCCCCCCGTATAGCCTGAACAGGCTGTAGGGGCAAGTGCTGTTAACGAGCAGCTATGAATGCCGGCACGGCACAAGAGGGGGTGGGTGGCCAGCACCACGCCCGGCCACCTTTGTCTCCCCAGTGACGATATTTACACACCTCACCAGGTACTCATTTGAGGCAGAGCAACCTCAGGGGAGGCCCAGGACCGGTTCAGATAATCGTCACCGGTGTTGGCCGTGAGCGGGAATCGAACTTGGGTCGCCGGGTTCGTGGTGCAGTGCGCTAACCGCTACACCACTGCTCCCCACCCCCTTCCCAAACATGCCTTTATAAGATGTTATTATTATTATATTTATGGGACCTCAACCACTGCTCCCCGTAACAATAACGACCGCTGTCGTTCACCGCTAAGCAGTGGGCGACGTCACCACCGCAGCGCTCGTGCCAGGCTAGGTGCACTTTGTGGCCACGGCGTGAAGTGCCGAAGGCTCGCTGACAGAAGGTCACGGGACCGACGCAGGCGCCATGGGGTTGACTGAGACGACCGACAGATGCACCAACTGTGACCCCCCTGCTGTGCCTGATTCTAAACAGCGCACGCACGAAGACACGTAAGTGGCGACAGCTCGCCAGCGGACTGGCAGGAGGTGTCGCGTGCGTGCGGCCAGACGGATCGACGGTGGGACCTGTGCATGCGCCCGTGCTGGGGCTGGCGATGAACCCGCGGGCACACGGCATGGGCTGGGCGCCGCACTGGAACGAGCCCGCCGTGTTGACGCACGGCAGCTCGCCGGAGCAGGGCGACTGCTCAGCGGAGCACTCGTCCACATCTGCAGAGAGAGTGAGCGCTGTCACCGAGCGCTCGTTGAGCTCCGACATCGTCGACGCGTTGCGCGCACCGCGCGAGCGAGCGGTGATCGAGCGATGACGTGCGCGTGTGTGTGTGTGTGTGCATGTGTGCGTGCGTGTGTGTGCATGTGTGCGTGTGTGTGTGCGTGTGTGTGTGTGCGTGCGTGCGTGTGTGCGTGGCCTCAAGGTGCACATGGCCTGGCACAAGCGTCGTGGTGACGTCGCCGCCACTTAGTGGCGAATGGCGGTTGTTGTTGTGTGTGCGTGCGTGTGCGCACGTGTGGGGAACGGTGGTGCAGCGGTTTGCGCTGCGCTATGAACCCGGCGACACGAGTTCGATTCCCGCTCACGGCCGACACCAGTGACGATAATTTGAATCGGTCCTGGGCCTCTCCTAGGTCGACTCAGCCTCAAATGAGTACCTGGTGCGGTGTATAAAACATCGCCACTATGGCGACAAAGGCGGCCGGACGTGGTGCTGGCCACCCACCCCCTCGTGTGCCGTGCCGGCCTTTATAGGTGCTCGCTAACAGCACTTGTCCCAACAGTCTGTTAAGGCTATACGGGGGATCTTTTTTTGTATGCACGTTCGACTTCTTCAGCACCGCACGTAGCCAACGGAGCTAATCGGAGGTGCGGGGGGGGGACAACAAACTAAACACGAAAATCGGTTCTCAAGAAAATGAGGTTTTCATTTAGATTTAAAAGTTCGTAGCTGCAGATTGCCTGCGTCGTCGGTTGCATCTGCTCCGAAAGTGCACTGTGTATGTATGCACTTCGAACTTCTAGATGTGAAAAGTGCACAGCGCCCAGTGCCTTCCTAATATCAGGAAGGAAAAGCGTTCCAGACGGCCGCAGAAGCGCCTCTGAACGCGCGCAGCAAATTCAGCGACCGTTCTTCAGGCACTCCAAATTACTCCTCATTCATCACTCGTTCTGTCGCGAGATTCGTTTGTTCCTGTTCGACCCCCACGCCGCCACGCAAGCCGCTGGGCGGGGTGGCTGTCAGCGTGACGTGAGCATTGCTGGGTCCGCGGTGCTCACACGCTGCTTGCAGCCTCGGGCAAGCCGTGGAGATTTCACACTCCCCCCTAGAGGGATGACGGGATGAGTGAACCCCAACGCCAGGGTATGAACCCCCGAAATTCCGATTGTTGCGAGCCGCTCGCCCTACCGCACAGCCACCTGGCCGGTCTGCCTGCGATAGAAAATAATGCCCCCCCCCCCGCCCACCTTTGACGATAGCAATAATTTAAGGTTAAAGATGAACATATTAGGCCACTGAAATGCCTGAGCAACTCAAAAACTCTAAACTCAATCCGTTGCCCTTCTGCAGCACAGCCAAGGGGGACCCCCCTTCCACCCGCCACCATGGCAGCTCTCCGCGTGGGTCCGTGCGTGCCCCCATCCCGAGTGACGGGCGAGCGAGGGAGAACGTCGGACGCGGGAGACAGCACGTGGCGCTCACGCACCGGCGCAGCCCCCGGTGTCGTCGAGGCGATAGCCGGCGCCGCACTGCGCCCGCGCCTGGCACAGGAACGAGCCCTTGGTGTTGCTGCACTCCGTGCCGTCGGTGCAGTCGTGGCCGCCGCTCGCGCACTCGTCGATGTCTGCGGGGGGAGGGGCGCGCAGAGGCGGTGGTGACACACGCTCACGCGTTCGCGATCGGGTACGGACAACAGCGGTATTGATCGCGTGCGGTGGTGGAGAAAACCAGCGCAGGGACTACCCTACTTACGGACGAGTGAGGTTCAAGAGGTCTCGTCTTCTTGGTTCTTTATTTTATTGTTTATTTTAATTATTTTATTATTTCCCTTCTACATGACTTTACCGAAAGAACCAAGAAGATGAATCCGTGCAGTCACGAAAGCTTTAAATCGAAATCTTTCGGTAAAGTCACGTAGAAGGGAAATAATAAAATAATTAAAATAAACATTATAAAATACACTTTTATTATGTTTTATTTATATTGTTTTATTATTTCCGAAAGCTTTAATTCGAAATCTTTCGGTAAAGTCACGTAGAAGGGAAATAATAAAATAATAAAAATAAATATTATAAAATACACCTTGATTATGTTTTCTTTTTATTGTTTTATTATTTCCCTTCTACTTGACTTTACCGAAAGAACCAAGAAGATGAATCCCTGCAGCCACGAAAGCTTTAAATCGAAATTTAAAAGCAAGTTTTAAAAAAGTTAGTTTTTAGACTTATTTTTTAAAGTGCTTAATGACTCTGAAGCCCTCTGATCCCCTGGCAGGCTGCTTCCACAGGCGAGGACCGTACACACTCAACGCCGCTTCTCCCTGGGGTTTAGTCCTGGCCTTCGCGACGACTAAAAGACCGGCACCAGAGGATCTGAGAGATCTTGTTGGTTCATATCCCTAAAGCATGGAAGAAGTGTCTAGAAGAGTGGAAGGGGAGATAGACGAAGGGTGGACAAGATGAAGAAGTCACCGATGCAATCGTTGTCCTCATCTAGCTGATAGCCGCTGTCGCAGCCGCCACCGCGCTCGCAGGAGAAGGAGCCGGGGGAGTTGACGCAGCGCTGAGCCGGCCCGCAGGCGCGGCTCACAGCCAGGCACTCGTTCACGTCTGCCGAGGGGTGTGGGAGGGGGCAGAGATACAGCGTGGTAGACGCTTAACCCTCGAGTGCCAAGGGGGGGTCGGCAAACCAAGATGACAAGCGAAGCCGTTTTTTTTCGAATATGGTAAATAATTATTTTCAAGAGCCGCGATAATGCGTGCGAATACAAGGCGGGAATTATTTTATTATGTTTTAATTTTTATTATTTTATTACTTCCCTTCTACGTGACTTCACCGAAAGAACCAAGAAGATGAATCCCTGCAGTCACGAAAGCTTTAAATCGCAAAATACAAGACGGGTACTTAGCTAATAACGTCAAACCGTGTTGTCTTGCGATCGATCTTTTCAGAAGGTCGCACGCGCAACTATTCGCAATTGCCGCGTTACAAATCACCGTTGGACTTTTTGGACATCCGCCGTTCATCGATAACGAATTCGGAGGGTGGTTGTTGTTGTTGTTACTTTGCAATGATAGCGTCGCGAGCCACGAAACAGCGGTCCTTAAAGAGCCTCAGGCTGCCGACCCCCCTGCTCCCGAGCTGGGGGCAGGAAGGGCTCTCTCTCTCTCCTGAACTCCCTCTGCGGTGGAGGCCCTTCTGCCTGCAGTGGCGAGAGAGAGAGAGAGAGGCACCCCAGGACTCTGACCCTTTGCTCAACATTCCATCCCTTTTGCGCGGCTCGTTGTAACCGCCGCGCTGGCGATCATCCCGAGTATCGCGACATCCCTAGTATCGCGATATCGCGAGTATCGTGATATCCCGAGTATCGTGAAATCGCGATCATCCCGATTATCGCGATATCCCGAGTATCGTGAAATCACGAGCGATATCGAGAGTATCCGTGTCGTCCAAGCGTATGTTCGTGGGCCACATGAGCCGCACTTGGCGAAGGAACGACACGACAAGAACGCGAGATTGATTGCCATCGTAAAATTGTTTGGCATTTGAATGTCCACGCTGCCTGAACATTATCGCCACGCACGCAAATGTCCCCCCTCCCCCCGGCTGATGTATGTCGCATATTTGTTCATTGTGGTGGTCATAAGTGCTCTCATTATTATACAAATTTGTACAGTATATACATAATCACCGATTACAGTCTTCGCAGAATTTATTTTGCGGTATTTTTTGCGGTCTTGCCATTACATTCACGGGATGTTTTCAGAAACTTCGCGAGCGGGCAGGGCATCCTTGCCGAGTGGTAAGTAGTGGCTCTGGAAGATGATGCCAATGGTACGTTGAGTGGTGACCACGTGCCACTCGTCCACTATGTTTGTAAACGTCTACGCTACGAGTGCTCGTCGCCTGCTAATTGCCCTGAGCAAGTGGTGGGAATTCCACGTTCCCATGGCGGGGGCGAGTCTATCCATAGGACACTGCATGTTGACATCCCCTCAAAGTGGCACTCATAGTGAACATTTTGTCTGACTGACATTGTATTGTTACATTTTCCACAAGTCTCTCCATAGTTTTGTATTTTGTTAAGCAAACTAATTTTCTACATTACTGCTATTTACTCGCTTCCTGGACGGTTTCTGCCAAGCAGCTAATTTTTGTATCATTGTAATGCTTGGCCAATGCCAGTTACACCCTATGTGTTTTGAAACTCTACTTTACAGGCTTTGTGTATCGCCATGGGTAATTTCTGCCGCTGTGTTGGCAGTAGTGCACAAGCACAACAACAGCAATAAAAGCATCAACACACATGATGGGGGGGGGAAACCCCCACATATAACAGCTGACATTTCGGGCAATGGTCCTCTTCCTCTGCCTCTCTATGTGCTGTGAAGAAGCGCTAATACTTGATACTTCTCTTTAGGTGTCACTGGACGAGTGCGTTAAGTTAGTTGGTTCGCGCTAATCGCAGTTGGCTGCACTGCCGTGCTACAAGGGGCCTCCTTCGAACGGTCACGGCCTGTCTGTCCGTCTGTCCATCTGTCTGTCCGTCCGTCCGTCCGTCCACCCGGTCCGTTTGTCCGTCCGTCGCGAGTCGTACCGACGCAGCGTCCGCGCGGGTTTCGGACGAAGCCTCTGCGACAGCTCTCGTCGGCCTCGGAGCAAACGAAGGAGCCCCAAGTGTTTCTGCATTCCTGGCCCTCGGAGCAGTTGTGAGCGCCGCTCTCGCATTCATCAATGTCTGGGAACAAAGAGAGGGGAGAAAGATGGGGGGACAGAGAGAGAGAGAGGAGAGGGATAGAGGTCCGAGCGTGCGGTGCTCTGTCAGCGTTATCGCTGTGCCGCATCGCAAGCCTCGTGCCATGCCCGTCTTAGCGATTGCCCTACATCGACGGTTGCACCTGCGCCAAAGTGCGCCGTGTATGTATGCACGTTGGACTTATTTTGCACCGTACGTAGCCAAACGTGCTACTCGGAGGTGCAGGAGGAAAGGACGACAAACTGAACACCAAAAAAAATCTCAAGAAATTAGTTGTCAATCTAGATTTAAAGGGAGTTTCTTTATATTGGAAAGAAGAGCGTTCCAGACAGATGCAGAAGCCCATCTGAAAGTACTCGATGCGGTGACCGTCTTTAGATAAATACCTATTTAGCCACTGGAGCCATGCACAGCTGGGCACACATTTTAATTGAAAACTAATTTCTTACGAACTTATTTTTGTGTTTAGTTTGTTGTCCTTCCCCCGAACCTCCGATTAGCACGGTTGGCTACGTACGGTGCAAAAGAAGTTCAACACACACATATACATAAACGAGCGCTGAACTATGACATTTTTTAAAATGATGATTACCGTGCCATCATTCGCTGAGATAATCTGCTAAGATCATGCTGTAGAAATCCATGAGAGTGATAGACTAAAACACGTTTGTGTCTATGCGTGGAGACACAGAAACGGAACTTTCCTGATATTTGTTAAGACTATACGTAGATGAGCATTGACATGATGGAAACAAAATCAGAGTTACCCATTCTGCCGAGAATACAGGAGGTATAACAGATGTTCAAATACGAAATCAAACTAAACGATTTAAACTTAAACTACTTTTTTATTTTACCAAGTAAGGCCCACTGAGCTATATAGCTCTTTTTCAGAAGCAACCTGGCCACAAATGATAGCTCAACGAAGTGGCTAATCACGTGGAAATGAATCGCAGCCAAATCCTCTAAACCCATGCGGGGGGGGAGGGGGGGAGAAACTGAAGGATCCCAAGCAAAATCCACACGACCACGGGGAGAGAGACACCACGCAAACCCCAAGCATGCAGGCGTCAGGGTCGGGATAGAACCCACGACCTCCTGTGCACCAGGCGAGATCGCTAACACCTCGCCACCGTGAACCAAGATGCCTATCGCGAAGCGTCAGGCCCCGTGTTGACCGCACGTGCGCGCGTCCGTGTCCCTAGCCGAGTAAACGGCGCGCCGCTGCGGTACCCACCGGCACAAGTGTCCCCTGGGCCTCGCTCGCGGAAGCCTGCGCTGCAAGTACAGACGGTGCCTTGCTCCGTCGCGTGGCACAGCTGGGCGCAAGCACCTTCCTGGGATACACGCAAATGGGGGGGGGGTGGGGTTAAACTTATTTTTAAACTATTTATATTCTTGGGTCTTTCGGTAAAGTCACGTCGATAGGTTCAAAGAAAAGCTAAAAAAAAAATCGCAAAAAACTACGACGTTTCGTTCGCAAAAGCAAGCGGTCGTCATCAGAAAGACCAAAAAATATGAATTCCTGCAGTCACGAAAGCGTTAAGTCAAGATGTACAACTTACTGCTAGTTTCTATGCCACCTTCCTTTGTTCCGGTCTATGCGATGTACCGAGCAGATGGCGAATTACGCACTAAACTTTTTATTTTATTTATTTGACCATGTGCAAGGCCCACTGAGCTATCCAGTTCTTGTTCAGAAGCGACATGGATGTCACAAATGACAGGTCAACGAGGTGGTTCATCGTCGTGCGGAAATGCGTCGCAGCCAAAAACTCTGAGTGCACGTTGATTCGAAATGTCGAGGGTCGAGTGCATTGTGCAGTCGAAATTCACGTCGGCTTTGTCGAGTTCATTCGCGCTCTCTACGTGAGGCCAAAGGTGTTCGATCACGACTTCTTCCCTCTTATCTTATTTCAATTTACGCGGCGCCTTAACCAAGGCACTGCTCCACTATGAAAGTACTTCTCACTATCATCTCCGTCGCCAAGTCATCCAGGGGCGGTTTCTTCATTAGGGCGATTGGGCGACGCACCACCAATGTCATTCAACCACAGAGTCACGCTAGCCGTCACTGTGCCTCTGGATATAGTCCAATCAGCGTCATGTCACGTTCTGTGGAGTACCGCCTCTTTTTGGGCGATTTCACTCCGGCTGAGAATCGCCCCGAGTGGCCCCATAGACGTACATTCAAAGATGTTTTTTTTCGAACGGCGGGCGCTCCAATGCATTCTCTATGGCTTCCGGGAGGGCTCGCCCTAACGTGCTTACGTCATCATACGTGCTTACGTCATCATACGTAAGCACGTTTCATCCAACAATATAATTTATCGCCACCTAGTGGAATCTTTAATAAAATAAACTTGAGTGGTTTGTTTTAATAGTGAGTATAGAAACAAACAAGATGTATTGTAAGAGTCACTTTATTTTTCATTAATATTAAAGAAGTGAAGTTGCCTTTACATGCTTAAGCTGTTAATTTATCCATTGCATGGGTGGACCTTATCCTTATCAATCATCCAGACATTTGCCCCCCCTGAGAGATTTTGCAGGAGCCGCCACTGAAGTCATCATAACCTTCCTCGAATGCAAGAAACGTGATGAATAAATTATATAGTAATAGTTTTTACCCTTTAAACTGGTACAAAACTGACACCTTTATACAAGGCATCATGTTTGCAATAACCACAACACAAGCAGTCAAAATGCAAACAAAAAGAAACAACTCTGATAATGGTAATGATATGCACTGTCCTTGAAGTTGATTGGTCCACACCCGAGACAGCTTTCCTTAGAGCCTAGACTATCAGAGTTGTTTCTTTTTGTTTGCATTTTGACTGCTTGTGTTGTGGTTATTGCAAACATGATGCCTTGTATAAAGGTGTCAGTTTTGTACCAGTTTAAAGGGTAAAAACCTACTACTATATTTTGCCACTGGTAAAGGAGGTCTCATAGTGTAAATAAATAATAGTTTTTTTATGACAAGAGCGCCTTCAGCTGCTGGTCGCTGAGCATGTTGGGCTGATGGGCCTGTGCTAAAAAGAGAAGGAAAAAAACATTAATTCCCTCCCATCGTCTCCTTGACCAAGTTCGTAAAACCTCGCTCAATTGAATACAATTATCGACTCTTGTCTCTTACACAAGTGCTGTTTGTTGCTGGCCGCTTATGCTCGAGAAAACCATGATGCACAATATCACGGTCATCATAACAATGACGCTCGTCATCACTCGTACTGTCTTATTACTGAGCCCTCACTCGTCCATAACACCGTGGTCTTCAAAAACATTTCTATAATAAGCGACGTTTGGGCAATGAACCCTTCTTCATCGAACAAAGACGGTCATCGCATCGCGCGCTTTCAGACGCGCTTCTGCGGCCGTCTGGAACGCTCTTCCGCCAGCTATTGGTATGCCACTGGAGCTATGCGCTTTAAAGTCTTCATTTATTTACAACTGCTTTCTGTGTTTAGTTTGCTGTGCTTCCCCCGCACACTCCAATTAGCGCGGTCGCCTACGTACGGTGCGAAAAAAGTTCAACGTACGTACGTGCGCAACCACACGAATTGCACTGAACCTTCCTGACTTTTCATCTTCGCGTTTTTGAAGCGCCCCCCGAATGCTGACGGGAAACCACGACGGCGCGCGCCGCGAAACGCGCCGTGTGTGACGAGTGCTCGAGCAGCGCATGACCTTGGCAGAGTTCCGTTGCGGCCGCGTCCTCTTCTCCACTGAACGCCTCCACGTCCGCTGCTGCTGCTACTGCCCGATGAGACAAACATTCAATGCGGGCCGTAGCGGAGGGTGAAGTCGGCGGTGGCACGCGGAACGAGCCAACAAACAAAAAAACAACGCGAAGCAGCTTCTTGGTTCTTTCGGTAAAGTCACGTAGAATGAAAATAATAAAATAATAAAAATAAAACATTTGAGAGAATTATTTTATTATGTTTTATTTTTATTATTTTATTATTTTCATTCTACGTGACTTTACCGAAAGAACAAAGAATATGAATCCCTGCAGTCACGAAAGCTTTAAATCGAAACGCGACGCAGCTTTCCGTCGTCAATGCGTGGACAAGCGTGCGCGGAGTTCAATAATATTGTTCAGTCCAAATGTTCAACAAAAAACTATTTTACAACGTTGCCCCTAAAGCGTTCACAATGACGTCCATAAGTGAGAAGTAAAATGTGGCAAGCATTTGTTTTTTTTTTGCTGCGTAAGAATCCATTTGTACCTTCGGCTGGTTTACCGATAAAAAATTACATTATCACTATGAATTAGTAAAGTATAGAGTAAATATAATTGGAGTTTTGCATCAGTTAAAACCACGTATGGATAGAAACCCAACGTATGAAATGACTCGGCTCATTCAAATCAATATATCGTCACATTGGTGGCAAGAAACAGGAGAACACAGATTGCAGCACCGGTGGACACCAGAGGTCGCAAATGGGTTTTGATTCCTTACCTGTACCCTGTACCCGGCCGCATCAGGGTCGCAAACGGGTACCCGTACCCGGCCGTACCCGTACCCTACCCGATACCCGGCCGGGTACGGGTAGCCGGGTATCGGGTAGGGTACGGGTACCCGTTTTCGACCCTGGTGCGGCCGGGTACGGGTACGGGTAAGGAATCAAAACCCGTTTGCGACCTCTGCCGCCAAAGGGAGGGTCCCTTTTCGGGTTGCTCCGATAAAACGGCTTCCCCTCTTGGTTAAAGAAGCCTCAGATTTGGCATTCACTGCGGTGTATGAACATCGGCGCTGCGGAGGTAAAGGCAGCCGGGCCTGGTTGCTGCTCATAACAGAATCATCATCTTTATTTAGACTGGATGAGTCGGATGAGTTTCGGGGCTATTTTTCACAGATGACCAGTATGGTTGGAAAAAGCTCCGCCTGTACCGGGCCAGTGTCAAAAAAAAATTCAACAGTGATGTCTTGCGCCAATGAGCATTGAGATGGTGCTCACTCCTGAGCTGGTGGTGGAAATTGCATATTCCCGTGACGAGGGTGAGTCTATCCATAGGACAATCACTTTTGGACTTCCCCTCAAAGTGGTACCCACTTTACCGACCCCGGAGGGATGATGGGTTGAGTCGATCCCAGCACCAGGAATTGAATTCGCAGCTTTCCGATTGCTCGCTCTACTGCTGACTAAGAAGCCACGTGGTCGGTTAATAGGTGTTCGCTAACGGCACCTGCCCCAACAAAAAAAAAATATCTGAATGAGGGAGGGGTTTACGACTCCTTTTGTTGTCCATCGACGGCTCGAGGCCACAAAAGGTCGTGACCTCTTGACCTCACCGATGCTGTGGCTGGGAACCGTGGCCCCGGGCTCCGTTCCCTCCGCGCTCCCATCCAACGTCTCAGCGCTGCCGTCCATTGGCTCCAGCGTGACCCTGGGGGCTGTCAGACGACAAGCAGACGTGGACACGGGAGACGTGGACATGGGAGACGTGGACACGGGAGACGTGGACACGGGAGACGTGGACACGGGAGACGTGGACACGGGAGACGTGGACACGGGAGACGTGGACACGGGAGACGTGGACACGGGAGACGTGGACAAAAGAGGGCTACAGCACTGGATGTCAATCACAGGGAGGGTCAAATGCTCTGCTCAACATTTTGTATTATTTTATTTAACCAGGTAAGGCCCACTGAGCTATTGTACGGTTCTTTTTTCAGATGCCACCTTGGCTATCACCAATGAAGGCTCAACGAAGTGGCTTATGATCAAAGTGGACGTTTATAGCAGCCAAAATACTCCAAACGTGTGGTGTTGAGTTGAAATGTGGAGGGGGGGGGGGAAACCGGTGGACCCGGAGACAAATCCACGTGACCACGGGGAGAGAAAGAGTCACACGAAAACTCCATGTAGAGGCCCTCCCTCCTTGCCAGCAGGGCCATGAGCAAGGAAGAGCAGGGCTGCACCTTATTCTTTATATTTTCATTGGGCTCGAGACTCACAGCGGACGTCGAACTTAGAGTTGACCCTGCCCTGCGTGTACATCCAATACTGAACTGTGCGTTCTAATCTCTGGAGGCTTAAATGCGATTTTTTTTTCTTGTTTTAAATATAAGTTTATAATCGCCTATTTGCAAGCCTAACGTGAGCATTCTAGCCCTTGCATAGAATATCGTTATAATTTACATACGATATTCATCACTCACGACCGTCTTACGTGTACACCAATTGGCAATAATGTCCCCCCTAAATAAATACGTAAATACGAGTATAATGTTTTTTGTAAATTCCTTTGCTCTGCATTCAAATATAGATTTCTATCTCCGTTGACTAAACCAAATTCCTGTAGGGTACTATATTGAGCAATGCTTGTTAGAGGTGTCCTTACAACAACCACGGCGTACTCCTCAAGGGTGGCACAGTCGGGTTTGTTACAATCGGGTTTAATTGTCTTTTTATATTAAACCCGATCATCTGATATTGGGAGAAATCCGGTGTAATTGGTTCTAATTGCAGAACCGCACTTCTCAACGATGGGCTTCATCCATTCCAAGCTAAGGAACTCACTGGCGCCCACGATTGTGGAGGAGAAGCTCGTGTTCATCAAGACCAACCTGCCCGCCGCATTCTACGACTACCCCGTGCCCGACGGCCCCCCCGAGTACGATAGCAGCACCGACGAGGAAGCAGCCTCAGCCTATCAGAGTTTCGTATTCATTAAACCAGGTTTTAATTCCCCGAAATCGGGTTTAATTATATTAAAGAAAAAACCCGATGCCTGCCGCTGGAAAAATCGGGTTTTTTCCACCCATGGTACTACAACTCCTACTACCAATGGGTGCCACAAGAGGCGTGGGACGCCAAAAATCGAAAAACGAAAATCAAATAACACGACTGGATGTGAGTTGCTGCTGATGCTGCTGATGCCGCTGATGCCGCTGATGCCGCTGATGCCGCTGATGCCGCTGATGCCGCTGATGCCGCTGATGCCGCTGATGCTGCTGATGCTGCTGATGCTGCTGATGCCGCTGACGATTTCATATTCGTAGAGCAATTACAGTTGGGGAGTAGAATACCAATCATTCAATGAGTACCACCAGTTCTTCCCCTTGCCATACGAATGCGGAATTTCCACCAGCGGAGATGAGCACCGCCCAATGCTCTTTTGAGTAGGGAGAAGACTTGTGACCACGTTGACGAGATGTTAACTACCTCGCCTGGTATGCAGGCGGTCACGTGGGTTCGTCTCCGACCCTGGCGCTTGCACATTTGGAATTTGCATGTCTCTCTCTCCCCGTGGTCACGTGGATTTTTCTCCGGGTCCTCCGGTGTTTCCCTCCACATTTAGAAACATGAGTTAAGAGTATCTGGCTGCTATATATTTCCACCTGTTAAGCCACTTCGTTGAGCTGTCATTTGTGACCACGTCGCTTAACAATATAGCTCAGTGGGCCTTACCTGATAAAATACAAGTTTAGTTTATTTATTCTGCTGGATGGACAAAGTTGGAGGGATTTAAGAAGCTTGCTCAATTGGTTCAACCATCCATGCCTGGAGATGGAATTGAACCTGCGACCTCTAAATTGCCCATCAAGGGCAAGTGTGCTAACTGTTTAATCACCGTGGCAGTAGCAGCAGCAACAGCAGCGTCCCTTGGATGTAACTGGACCCAAACGCTCAGGACCTCCTACCAGCCAGAGCAAGCAACGACTCACCCTTCTTGATTCTTTCGGTAAAGTCACGTAGAAGGAAAATAATAAAATAATTAAAATTAAACATAATAAAATTATATTATTATATTATAATATTATATTATTCTATTATTTTAATTTATTATGTTTTATTTTTATTCTTTTATTATTTCCCTTCTACGTGACTTTACCGAAAGAACCAAGAAGATGAATCCCTGCAGTCACGAAAGCTTTAAATAGAAACGACTCACCCGTCGAAGGGACCCTTCTACGAGCTGCGTTCATCTCAGCCACCAAATGCGCATGTGTGCCTCTGCACGGGTGCCTGCAATGTGTCCGTTCTGCTGTTGTTGTTCTTGTTGTTATTAAAATCATCCCCTACGACAACCGCGCGGTAATTCATAGTTGCGGCAGAAAAAAAATTGGATCTGGAAACAAATTCCGGTCGTGCCAATGCACGGAGGGCATTAATTATGAGTAAGGACGGACCGTAACGATCACGGCGTTCCATCCGTTCCCCAGCCAATGTTGCGATGGCCAGGTGGGACATTGGCTGGGGAACACGGCACACGAAATGAACATCATTATTAGGAAGTGTCTTTTTTTTAGCAAGTATTAGTCAGTATCAGAGATAAGTGGTTAACTAAAAGTAATGCCGGGTGCGATCGCTGCAACACAATGTCCCCTTGGCCACGTTCCCACGAGGCATTCCTCGCCGCTCGTGATTCACGCTCCTTGCGTGTAACCGTGCGGCCACGCGTTGTGACTCGCGGTGACCAGGTTTATGAATGTGTAACTTCTTTCGCACCGTACGTAGCCACAGCGCGTGCTAATCGGGGGGTGTGCAGGAGGTCGGGGGTTCGATCCAGACCCTTACGCCTCCACATTTGGAGTTTGCGTGTCTCTCTCCCCGTGGTCACGTGGATTTTTCTCCGGGTCCTCCGGTTTTTTCCCCTCCACATTTAGAATCGAAACTCACGCGTTCAGAGTGTTTGTGTTGCCGCGTGACGATAAACCCACTTCGTTTTGAGCCATCATTTGCGATGGCCAGGTGGCTTCCCACAAAAAAAAGTGCCACGCAGCTCAGCGGGTCCCTTAACACCTGGCAAAGTAAAATAAAACGAAGCAAACAACAACAACAAAAAGGTCAATAGTTCACCGGCGGTGCTGAACGCCGGACCGACGGACATCTGGGTCCCGAGAGCCGCTGCCTGGGCCGTCGTCACCACCGCCGCCGCCGTCTCGGGCTCCCGGCAGCAGCTGCGCATAACGAGCGCGCACAGCGAGCCCAGCGAGCCCGGGGAGCCCAGGGAGCCCAGCGACGCCTCGCAGTCGCGGCCCCGTCGCCTGGCCCGCAGGCCCAGCGAGCAGCACTCGCAGCATTGCTGCTCGATAGCGGCAGCAGCAGCGGCATAAGGGGGCAGAAGTAGCGGGGGCAGCGGCAGTGGCAGCAGAGGCAGTGGTGGTGGCAGCAGCGGCAGTAGCAGAAGTAGCAGCAGCAGCGGCAGCAGAGGCAGTGTTGGTGGCAGCAGCGGCAGTAGCAGAAGTAGCGGGGGCAGCAGTGGTGGTGGCAGCAGCGGCAGGGGCAGCGTGGGCAGCGGCATGGGCATCAAAAGCAGCGGCAGAGGCAGTGGTGACAGTGGCAGAAGTAGCAGCGGTAGCAGAGACACGCGTGAATTCATCTCTCGCCACTGCCGACATGAGCGCTGCCCTCACAACAGAGGCGCAGCGTTCCTCCTGTGCGCAGCAGCAGCGACACGGAGGCACCTTGACCCAACACGTGCACTGAGTGACTTCTGGATGTAGCGCGCGCATTAGATTCTTGCATGCTGCATTCGGGGTGGTGCACAAGCCCCCCCCCGAACGATACGAACTCAACACATCGCGTGAACTGGCGCTGTCCCAAAGAGGAAACGCGTGAAAGAGATGACGTTTCGGGCAATGGTCCTTCTTTATAACCATAGCCTATGAAGGAAGTCCACTGCCTGAGTTTTTGAAGAAGTTGTGGAGGTCATAATGGTGATGATGATGATGATGACAATGATGATGGTGACAATGATGATGGTGATCATGCACACACATGCTACTGATGATGATGATGTAGTGGTGGTGACGATGATGATGGTGATACAGACATGCTACTGATGATGATGTGTTGGTGGTGACGATGATGATGGTGATACAAACATGCTATTGATGATGATGATGAAGGCTGTAACACCTTATAATGCACGGCCCCACACTGATCCAAAGGTTCAGCGGTGCAGAAGCCGCTCCTCTTGGCCACAGAGATCCCCGCTCCGCACTGCGACTCCTGCACAGCAGCAAGGCAGCACTGCTCCTGCGTGATCCTGTAGCCATATCATCATCAGCATCATCATCAGCAGCAGCAACAGCAGTATCATCAACAGCAGCATCAGCAGTCACAGCAGTATCAGCAGCAGCAACGTTATATGCAGCGATATAAACAGCAGTATCTGCGTCGTCACCATCAATAGGGTTGCTTGCATTGGTATCACCATCACCAATAGCACTTTCTGCACGTTCATCATCATTTCTTCTAGATTTGAAGCTTTCGTGACTGCAAGGATTCATATTCTTAGGTTTTTTTCGGTAAAGTCACGTAGGTAAAAAAAATTAAAATTAATAAAAGTAAAATAAAAAATAAAATAAAAATCACGACGTTTCGGAGGCAACACAAGCTTCCGTCTTCAGGTGGAACCATCACAGCCACGACAGCTGTACCTACGTGACTTTACCGAAAAAACCTAAGAATATGAATATTCATCATCATTGGTTGCAGCATCAATAGCACATCGGCGCCGTGATAAGTAGCAGCAGCAGCAGCACTGTCCACATCATCAGCATCGTCAGCATCACCATCATTAATAACACGTATATCATCATCATCATCACAGCAGCAACAGCAGTCCAATTTTTATCACCTCTGCTGGTGTCATCAATCGCAGCACGTCACTGTGCCGAGCCCCACGAAGTGTAGACACCGCGTGGTTACCCGCCTTACGAAGCGACGGGCGGCAGCATCTGGAGCTGGCCACGAGCGAATTGACACGGAATGGACTTCCCTGCCAAGGCCGTAGCCATGGAGTCAACATTGGGGGGGGGGGGGGACCAAATCTTCCAGCGTGTCCCAACCCATGAAAAAAATCTACATTTGAAAACTAATTTCCTGCCTAAAATAATGAAAAATTCACTAACACATGGGATGGACTTTTCATTTATTTTTTACAATAGTGCCTAATAGAGTATTGTATTAAATTGCTCTGTTTTTACTTTTTTTTACCATTTATTGTTTCATTGTATGTAATGGCAGAGATTATGGATTAATAAAATACAACCATAACCACAATCATATAAACAAAAAATATATGCATTGATTTATATGAATACAAGTCCAAATATTGCAGCCAATGTTAAGCAAATTGTTGTTTTTTATTTACATAGCATAGCAATTTTTTTCATAGCAATATATTGGGGGAGATATTACGGCCTTGTCTCCTGCAATCAAATGACACCGCCTGCTTGCACATCCTTCGTGCCCTAAGCCCTGCGAGACGACATTTCAACGTTGATACCATCGCAACTCGGTTGTCGCCAGTGCCAGATTCAGCTCGCGCGGGGCCTGTAGCAAATGCTACTTTTTGCTACGAGGATAATCCGGCACTGGCTGCTGCTGATGATGATGAAGACTGGTATATCTGATTGTGCTGCTGATGATTATGATGATGGTAAAGACTGGTAGTTACGATGGTGCTGTTGCTGATGATGATAATTATGCTGCTGCTGCTGCCACTGGCTGACGATCGCGGCCTCTGCGAATGACAACGGTGTTCTAACAACGCTTGCGCTGCCCACGACGACCAGTGGTGACAACGGCAGCGGTGTGGAGCGGGCAAATCGGTGCGTGCGGAGGGGTGGTGGTGGTGGTGGCGGTGGTGCTGAAACCTGCACTCTTCCGTGGCTCCGCGAGTTTTTGAGGCCACGTCCTCGCAGCGACCCGTGGCCATCGCCCACGATCGCCCCTCGTCACAGCAGCTCCCGATCAGCTCCTCCAGAGAAGCTGTGGCAGGGGGTGCAGGCCAGAGGGAAACACAAGAGGCGTTGCGTTCGCGGGCGTGAATAAACCTAAACAAAAATTATTCGCGATAAGCTTTTTTTTTTTGGGGGGGGGGGGGGGGTTGGATCGCGTAAGTATAAATGTGTCGACACATTTATATTTAACACTAAAAAAACATCTTATTATTAGTAATATTGGTCGCGAAAGCCTACGCGTCAAACTAAAAATATAAATGTTGTAGCAGGTCAGGCCCATTGAGCAGCATAGCTAACAAAAAAATCAGAAGCGACCTGACCACAAATTCTTCCTTTTTTCATCACCACGCACCGCCGATTTGATCAGCCCCTCCAGCGTATTAAATTGACCTTGCTGCGTCGTTGGCAAATGTTGAAGTGAAGAACTGCACATTGAATATCTGAATCAGACAATTGTCGGTATATCACTGATATCCATATTAAAATTATTTAAAACATTTTATTTTACCAGGTTTTTTTATTTTACCAGGTTTACTGAGCTGTATAGCTTATTCTCGGAAGCGACCTGGCCATGACAAATAATAGCCGAACGAAGTGGCTTATCACGTGGAAATGTACATCAACCAAATACTCTAAAACGCATTTTTCTAAATGTGTAAGGGAAAACCGAAAGACCCGGAGAAAAATCAACGCGACCACGGTGAGCGAGAGAGACACGCAAACTCCAAATATACAGCAGGCGTCAGGGTCGGGGGATCGAACCCACGACCCCTGTATACCAGGCGAGGTAGTTAACATCTCCTAGCCACCACGATCCTCGTAATGAAGCCTCCCTTCTCAAGCGGGTGGGGCGACTGCGACGAATGACTGCCGATTTTGTGGCTTTCTTTTAATTGGACTTTGACGAAAGTGTGAGCCATGTAGCTTGACCAAGCTTCGGGAGCGGAAAACGAAAGTTTTTTTTCATGCGATAAATTATTGAATGAGTATAAATCAGGCAAGGTTGTTTGCTCGCTGAAAACAATACAACGTGATGTACGTAGTGCATTGGGGTGCAGCGATGGCACGGCGAACTGCCCTACGCAGCTGGCAACCTGAGTTGGATACGCGGCCTCGGCTAACGTCAATATCTAAACCGGTTCTGTGCACCGCCCTACGCCAACCTGCAAAAACAAACGTGGTGAAGTATGGTCAAACAACCCCCACGATCACGTGGCATGGTGAGATCTTCATCTGAGCGATACGCTCATCTCCCGTGCGCTGGCGCTCACACGCTCGCGCTGACTCTTAAAGATACAACAGGCGTCAGGGTCGGGATTGAGCGTTGCTGCGTTACCGGAATGGTAACGCAGCAACCCTCGAACCGCCGCCACCCTCCTGGCACGGGAACGTGGAATGTACCTGCTTGTAGGAAGAGCCAGAGGGCGACGCACGGCACGAGCAGAGCTCGTCGCCAGCGGCTCCCCATGGCAAAGCGTCGCTATTCCCGGCACCACCACCACCACCAACCACCACCACTACCACCACCTACGCAGATTAGCGCTCGTGCTTGTTCGCTGCCCGCCTGGCCACGGAGTTGACTCACGACCTCGCCACCCGTGCAATCACGGGGCACTTTGAGATGTGTTTTTTTCTACCCCCCCCCCCCCCACACACCACACACACTTTCACAATCGACGCGTTACTCGGGCGGGCGTGTGGGGCTTGCTGAGCACAGACACACAGAGGGGCCTCAGTGTGCACGGGAGAGGCCGTGACGCCAGGACCCGCGTCTTCTTCTCGTGTTCACGTTTGGGAGCCCCCCCCCCCACACACCGGACCTTCCCCCCCCCCCCCCCCGTGAGGTGAGGCAATCGACGCACGTGGCTGGACCTCACCCATTGACGACTCGTGGCGGTGTGGGTGGTAGTGGTGGTGGTGGACTCATGCTGTTGGATGGACAGAAGTAGAGAGAGAGGTGGAGGGAGGCGCGTTGAAGAAACTCGCACGGTCGTTTAACAGCTGCCGCGCCTGGAGATTGGATCGAGTCTGTGACCCCCTTCTGGGTGGCAGGTCCGTCACGCGGCCACTGCATGGCGGCAGCAGCGTCCCAGAGCAATGTTGACAATCGTGTTATATTTATTATTTGAATTTATTAAATGATTGTATTGACCTCTTGACGGTGAATTTATTACATTCGCAATCCTGTGAATGTGTTCATTCACCAACAGGCTTGTTGTTAATCATATATATTTTACATTAAAAAAACGGCTCTATTGTGATTATTTTAGTTCACTTATTAACGTTAAAGTCGTTTCATTGCACTATTAACTATGCAGTTAGTCATGAAAATCCTTTATTCCACTGCCAAACACTTTTGTAAACTTCTTAATCACATTTTTTTTATTAATCCCGCACCGCCGATTCGTGGGGTTGGTCACGTATGGCGCAAAAGAAGTTCGACATACATTGGCAATTTAACACGTAGTAGGCTTTGTCGACCAATATTATTCATAATAAAGGTTTTTGGGTTAGATCGTTGTAAGTATAAATGTGTCGTAACCCTCCACCACCCGACACAGCCAGCAAGGTTGTGGATGCTGGATGTAATTACCAGCGAAACGTCGTACTACTCAAATTGTAAATGTTGTGGTTTTACTCTCCAACACACCGATGGGTTCAAGTAGTAAATCATTGGCGCACGTTGTTTACGTGACAAACCTTACTGCCTGTGTCGGGTGGCGGAGGGTGACGACACATTAGTACTTACAGCGATCTAACCCAACCACCTTTATTAAAACATTCGCAATGGTACTGACTATCCCGCCTTGCATTGCGTGTGCTGTGCTCATGGCGTGATCTTCGTGCTGTGTTTTTACGACTGATCGAGCGTGACGCATCCTCCTCATCAGCTGTACCACGGACTACGACGATTATTTACTGTGGCCATCGACCGCATGCTCCCTCCACGTGTAAACCAGGAGCGCCACGGTACCTAGGAGATGTTAACTACCTCGCCTGGTATACAGGAGGTCGTGGGTTCGACCCCGACCCTGACGCCTGCTGCTGTATGTAAGAGTCAGCGTGCTCTCCCCGTGGCCACGTGGATTTTGCTCCGGGTCCTCCGGTTTTTCGTTTCCCCCTTCGCATTTAGAATCGACATCACGCGTTTAGAGCATTTGGCCGCTCATACATATCTCCACGTGACGATAAGCCACTTCGTCTGAGCTATCATTTGTGGCCAGGTCGCTTCTGAAAAACAGCTCAGTCGGGGCCTTTCACCTGTTAACATAACATTTAAAAAAAGTTAAACAAAACAGTTCGATGGGCTGACAGTCGCTCCCAGTTGCATGACCTCGTGCGCGATGGAGCAGCACACGCGAGGCCCCCCTTTGCATCCACGCGCTAGCGAGTGCCACCGTCCGTGAACAAAGTTCACCCATTTAGTCGGCGCGCCGTTAGCAGAAAGGAAAGGAAGAGAGAAGGACGCAGGGGAGTGGAGGGAAAAGCGTGCAAGGGGTTACAATCGGTCGGAACGTTTCTACAAAAACAACAACAACACAAATGCGTGTACATGCTAACGCAACTGGTTATGCACGCAATGGCTTTGGTATAATGGTCAACACGTTGGGCTCGCAATTCAGAGGTTGCCAGTTCTCCGGTTGCGGCAGTTGCGACATTATTCACGTTACTCTTTGGTTCTTTGGGTAAAGTCACGTAGAAAGAAAATACATTAAATAATAGAATACGACGTTTCGATTGCAACACAAGCAATCGTCATCAGGTACGAATGAATGAGAAAATAAACCTAGTAAACTTAGAAATATAATGCAGTACAACACAGAGAGTCGGCTAACATAACAGTCAACACCCCACCTGGTTGATTACGTTCTTCCAAAGATTGCTACATTTGAGAGCGAGAGAGACAAGACACAGACACGGAGACACATAGCCAGACACACAAGCAGAGAGAGACAACACGGGGACACAGAGAGAGACACATACATAGACACACAGAGAGGGAGACACACATAGACACACTCTGTGTCGAGCCCTTAAATACGTTTACTATGTTTGTTTTCTCATTCATTCGCTACCTGATGACGATTGCTTATTGCAATCGAAACGTCGTATTCTATTATTTAATTTATTTTCTTTCTACGTGACTTGACCGAAAGAACCAAAACGTAATACATATATGTTTTATACATTTTCATTCTGAAAAGCCTCACTGAGTCTTAAGATTTTTTTTTTTCAGGCGGATCCTGCATTTGGACGTGAGGCGGATGCCATTCATCGGTGCTTAGTTTGTGTTTAGAGAACCCAGGGTCCCTGGAGAAAGCTCACGATTATGAAGGGATAACCTCGCTCTTGAGTGCCGGGTTGGAAGGACACAAATCTACAACGTGGCAATCAAATTCAAACAGCTCATTGAGGGGAAACGGCAAGTATTTGCCGCAACATTAAACATAATAAACTTTATTCCAGCACTTATTTCAGAGCTTCGGCATACAAAGTCTAATGTATAATTCAACAGTCCCTTAACTTAAGATATTAATATATCAGTCTGCGTGATGATGCCCACAGAATGCGGAGTGCATTCATTAGGTGGCCACTCAAGAGCAGAGAGAGGTTAAAGTTCGCCTGCGTGGCTTGTCGTGAGATGCCAGGACTTGTCTTGATGCAATCACCATCGGTGTTGGCCTGTCAGCTCTGTATGTGTGTATGTGTGTAGAACTATCTTGCGCACCGTACCTATCCAACCGTGCTCATCGGATGGTGCAGGCGAGAAAGAGAGAGAGGCGGGGTGTGTGTGGACAACAAACTGAACACAATTAACGATGTCAGAGAACAGCACCGCGCGCGTGATCCACGCGAGCCGCAGCTATGCGCGACGTCTTGTGCTGTTGCTGCTGTTGTTGCTGTTGTTAATCTTGTCTGTTCCTACTCAATAATTCATCCCTCTCAGCTCTGCGTCGAGAAAACGTCCGAACCGCGCGTGCCGCTCGTGGCACAGCTCGTGCCACGAGAACGTTCCAAACCCCCGGGGCAGGTCAACATCGTTTAGCACAAACAAGAACACGCGCACGCACGCACGCGCCCCGGGACTGGGTAGAGGTCCCGTTACTTCGGAACAAGCGTCCGCCTTTCTACCTCGCCACTCCCGGGGGGGGGGGGGGACGGAAGGAGTGGGGAGGGAGAAGGAGTGGGGATGGAGGGGGTCATTCACGGTGGCACCAGCTCCACTTCAAGGCCGCTTTTCACCCCCCCCCCCCCCGTCCGAGCACTGCATTCGACCGCCTGGCCCGGTGGGGCCTTGCGCAACCACTTGGGGGGCTGGGGGGGGGGGCGCCCTTCTATTTGGCGCGCGCGCCTCTCGCGACCAGCCGTGTGCGCCCCCCCCCCAACACACCCCCCCCAACACCCCGCCCCCCCCGCAACACACCGCCCCCCCCCAACACACCGCCCCCCAACACCCCCCCAACACCCCCCCCAACACCGCCCCCCCCAACACCCCCCCCAACACACTCCCCCCCAACACCCCCCCCCCAACACACCCCGCCCCCCCCCAACACACCGCCCCCCAACACCCCCCCAACACACCCCCCCCCAACACCTCCCCCAACACACCCCGCCCCCCACACACGGCCCCCCCCCAACACCCCCCCCCCCAACACCCCCCCCAACACCCCCCCAACATCCCGCCCCCCATCTCCCTCTCTCTCCGTGCCAAACTCCGTAGAAGCGAGTGAGATCTTAGCGGAGCCGCGCGTGTCGGGGGAAGACGCCACTCGAGAACGGCGTGAGACGCCTCCTGTCGCGAGCTCGGCTGCTCTTCGTTGCGAGGCCCCGCGGGCCAAATGACCCCAACCCCCCAACCCCCCAGCCCCCTCCCCCCCGCCGCCGTGGCCCACCGGGTGGTGGCCCTGAGTGTGGCCCTTGACGGTTCGGCCTCCCGCCGACAACGCACACAGCAAGTGCGAACACCCCCCGCTCGTCATCATAGTCCTCGTGCTGCTGTCAAACCCCCCCAGTGGTTTCAGAATTGACACCTTTAAAAAAGGCATCATGTTTGCAATAACCACAACACAAGTAGTCCAAATGCAAACAAAAAGAAACAACTCTGATAATGATAATAATATCATTATCAGAGTTGGCGTCATCTGGTCCAACACCAATGAAGACTAGGCTCTAAGGAAAGCTGTCTCGGGTGTGGACCAATGAGCTTCAAGGACAGTGCATATCATCATGATTATCAGAGTTGTTTCTTTTTGTTTGCATTTTGACTACTTGTGTTGTGGTTATTGCAAACATTATGCCTTGTATAAAGGTGTCAGTTTTGTACCAGTTTAAAGGGTAAAAACCTACTACTATATTTTGCCACTGGTAAAGGAGATGTCTCATAGTGGTTTCAGAATTGTGTGGGCCTCTCGAGCCGGTGATGTCTCATTGGCAAAAGTAACCCCCCCCCCCGCCCACCTCTGAAAAGGACTGAGAACACTGGCTGAGCTTGCCACCCCAACCCCCACCCATCCCCGTCCCTTCTATCCCCTTCCTTGTGTCCTTTCCTTCACCTCCCCACATACTAGCACAAGAAACAATCCACGGTCCGTTTCGCGGTCCCCACCTCGGTCTATTGGATTTGATTTCCATTAATTTCTATGCGTTTCTCTCGACATCCTCCAGACATGCAGAAATACACTCGTAAAGAATGCAGTCAAAAAATCTCAGAGCAGGACTCTGCTGAACACAAATCTTGAGGCTTAGTGAGAAAATCCTGGTTATGTAATAATATTTGTTATTATTTGAATGCGTGATAGCTATCGGTATAATATGAACAACTTCAAACATCACACTTAAACAACAAATTCCAAATGCTATTGTGGGCAGTGCAAATAAATAAATGTAGTTATTTATCGAAATATTTTACTTTGGGTTTTTTTCCTTCTTAAAAATATAACAGCCATATTAAAAAACAAATAAATAAAAATGTTATACGTTCTGTTCGCGCAAAGCGATTTGTGCAACTATTGCTTTATTAAGGTCTCCTTCACGCCAAGTTATTCCGTAAAACAGTGGCCTCTTTCAGACGATCAAATATTGCGTTCGTGGGTGAAATAGCTGCATGCGAGGGTTTGAACCAGACGGCTCTAAGCGCCAGTGATGTAAAAAAAACAGTCTACAGCTTCTAACTTTGACAAATATAGAACTCCTCGTATCCGCCTGTGCTGAGGGCGAGCAACCATCAAAAGATTAGCTTTTCCGCGAGGGTTATCCACAAAGTGTATATATTGTCTTAATGTGGATAAAATTGCCAGTAATAGGATGAATTTCGCCAATGAACTCTCGTGCTAACGAATGTTGCGGATAATGGGAAGCTGTTGCACTTTGCGGATAATGGGAAGCTGATGGGGGGGGGGGTAAGTGGATATAGGAATAGGGCCACGCATAATAGTATTCGCTGACCCTACAACTCCAGTGGATTATAAGGGTTGAGGGTAATAGGGTCGCAGATATGAGGAGCTTCTGTAGTAGTGTTTTTGTAGCAGTAGGTTAGTGGCAACTCCTGCTGCTGCTGATGATGACTATGATGTTGAGTACCACTGTGTGGGAAGTCAATGGACACTGTCCTGTAGACACACTTGCCCCTGCCATACAAATGTGGAATTTCCATCACTAAAGAGTGTCGCAGTGTACGAGCACTGCGATACTGTTTAAGCATGACACCGGTTTTATTTATCTTGGAGTAATGATGACACTGATAGAGATGATAACCATGACGACAATGAGTTCGGTAATGTCTTCCGCTAAACCACAGTTTATGGGGTTTGAGCAATAATAATATAGATTGGTGAAGATCTCAGAGTACGATGCGTGTGTAGGAGAAATTGTAAAAGTGTACAAGGATGAGATAATGAAGAACAGGTGGCCGTATAATACTGTATAGATTATTATTATTAAAGTACACACACGTCGAGATGATTATGAACAAGTAGCCGTGGGGCGCTGTGAGAGAGGACAGGGAAATATTCACGTTGAGATCATTAAAGTCACGGGCCGCAGGGTGGAGAGGGCAACCGTCCAATTAAGAGCGGGGCCGAGATGGTATATAAGCCGGAGCAAGGCCCGGAGTCTGGACGATTGCCCTGGACCAGGATCTATAAGCTGCAAGACATCGGGGCTGACTGATCGTGAAGCAACACACAAGGTGGAAGACATTGGGACTGACTGCTTGTGGAGCTGTATGTACGTAATTTTTCAGAAAATAAAGACGTCGCCTTTTTTATGATGGACGTCTCCAAGGAGCTTCTTTACAGATGTGTAGTGACTAACTCGGGGACGGTAAGACTTGGAGGCACTATTTTTATTTAACGAGCATTATAGAGATAACACACACTACGTGGGTACACACTATCACTGTTGCTAGCCTAAACACAACGCTAACCGTCTAACACTAACAGTGCTGAACGGAGACGGTCAACAACTATCTACCAATTCTAGATTTGAAGCTTTCGTGACTGCGAGGATTCATACTCTTAGTTTTTTCGGTAAAGTCACGTAGGTAAAACAATTAAATACAGCAAATCTGGCTGTGACGGTCCCACCTGATGACGGAGACTTGTGTTGCCTCCGAAACGTCGTGATTTTTATAATTTTATTTTTATAAATTTTAATTTCATTTTTTTACCTACGTGACTTTACCAAAAAAACGAATATCTATCTAGCAGTGCAATGTCGAGTGAAGCGGACAGCGACGATGGCGACGAGACGACAGCGACGATGGCGACGACGAGATGGTAACGACAACGATATTGAACAGCAAGACGGGATCCCACTTCCAGCAACAGCCCCGAGGTCCCTCACAGGGGCCCTTCTTTTACTCTCAGCGTGGCCTCACTCCGCCCTGACCATGCCCCCTTTCCGCCCTGACCACGCCCCTTTCCGGCTCGGCCACGCCCCATTTCCGCCCTGACCACGCCCCTCTCCACCCTGACCACGCCCATCTCCACCCTGACCACGCCCCCTTTCCACCCTGACCACGCCCCTCTCCGCCCCGGCCACGCCCCTCTCCGCCCTGGCCACGCCCCCTCTCTGGAACCTACTAGCGGGTTCCTGAGGCTTCCAGATGGGCCCTCCTCTGTGACCTTTCCCCCAGATGTCCCCCTCGTGTCTATCATGGCCAGCTGACGTCTGTACTGCTATACACCGCAGATCCCATTTTTCACCAGCAGCCAGCGCTATGCCACTACAGATGTGTAGTAGTGGGTTCTTTTGAGACGCACTCTTGAGTATGGAGGCAACACGTTTTATTCACACACACAATAGGTAAGGCTACACTCGACGGGATAACGGCTAAGGGTGGTGACCACCCTGGATAGCTACATAACACTCACGGGAACACTATATAAACTGCCGGGCCAGCTCACACGTTGCCCGGCTCTGGACAACTTCTCTCACGCCCGAAGACCGAGGATCCAAGACTTGGCGGGCGGGCCCCATCTCTCTTTGACAGCCCTCCAACGACGGCGACCCTGCCGGCTTCTCTAATCGGGTCAGACAGCACGTTGGCTGCTCTGACCCGATTATAGATATCCCGTTTGCGAGAGAGATAGGTGTCTTGTAGTCCCGTGTGTAACAGTGTTGCATAAGTGTAGAATCAATGTTAATTAGTGTCTCTGAAATGACTCACTACACATGCATACAACACATTACAGACTGTGGGGCTACACTGAAAGCCGCATAGAACAGCCCAGCAAAATCCAATGTATTATCCTATGCCCCTGGGCAATGCTCTCCACCATAACCAACCCGCACTATCCGGTGCGGTCAATTATACAATAGCCCACACCTCCCATGGCCATCACAACAACAGTGCCTTTGACACTGGGCTGGATGATTATGACTATTTCTCACAGACAGGGCAGCTCTTGACTGACTCACCGAGAGCAGAGATGGCCGCTGGCGCCGGTGGTCCCGTGATATCAGCATCAGGCGGTGCAGGAGCGACTGCGGCGGTCGTGGCGGCAGTGGTGGTGGAGCCATGAGCGCTGGAGTCCCGCACCCACTCAGTGGTCACTCCTCTATTCTGGCCACGGTGCCATCCGATCGTCGCTTGTACCTCGGACACTTCTTTGGCGGCCGTCGTCCCGGTCACAGATGAGGCATCCTTGACCGTTATCCATCCGGCAGCGTCCGAGTCGAACGCCTGACCGATGGTGCCCGACGTGTCGAAGCGCCCATTACCTTCAGGAGAGAGTTGTCCGTGCTTCTCTCTGTGCGGGGCGGCTGCTGTGCCATGCGCCTTGTCGTTTACGATCTCTCCGTGCTCCGAGATGCCACCGCTTTCCCCGCTGTCCGTCGGCATTGTCGCTGCGGCCGGTGATACGGGAGACCTGAGTGTGTTTTCTACCTCCTGAGTAAGAACAATTCCACTGTGCCATGCCCTTGGCCCATCAAGATTGTTACCCTCTTTCTCGTCACTCCTGTCATCATAGTTTTCACCTTCTGACCGAGTCACATAATTGTCTGCAAGTTCTGCACTTCTCTCCAAGTTGGATGCAGCGTCAACGTACTCGGGTACCTTTGCAGAGGCCGTTTCGCTGAAATGAAATCTAATGGGGGGCAGTTCATTCACTGATGGGTCGTGAAGGCCGTTTGCCACTCCGAGTGGCACACGCAGATCCGGCTGCACTTCTCGCATGCCTGACAGGTCCACTGGGTGGGGCTGATGTTTTGGCAAGGATGGATCCAGCACACCGGGACTTAGATAACTCGCACCCACGTCCCCGTACAATGGATACGAGGGCAGGGCATTCGCATGCCATAGATAATCAGGATGCTCTGCGAGTCCCGGGTCAAATCCGTAAGCAAAACCATCGCCACCAGCATTATCATAATGACTGTCGTCGCCGTCTATACCGTAGTCATCCCCTCGCCTGCCTCCCCTGTTGTCCACCGGCGAGGGCTCTGATCCAATGCCATAAGCAAAGCCACCGCCGTCGCCACCGTCGCCACCGTCGTCGCCACCGCCATTATAATCACCACCACGTCCAGCAACAGCAGCGGCAGAAGCGGCATTCTCATAACGACCACCGTAGCCATGTTCACCACGGTCATCCCCTCGAGTGCCCTCCACTGGAGGGGTGGCGGCAGCAAAATCGACAGCCGAGTCGCAGCCCGGGACGGTGTAGCACAGCAGCTGCGATTCCCCAAGGGGGCAGTGGCAGACGCGGCAGCCTGGCAGGCGGAAGGTGAACCCGGCGTCGTGATTGTGGCCACTGTCCGAGACGCAGCCGGCGCGGAGGCACACGGGGCAGTGGTCGAGCGGCCGGTGGACCTCCTCGATGCAGTTGGACGGGAGGTCTGGGCAGGTCATGAAGCTGCAGCTGATGGAGCCGCCTCCCGCGGGGCACGAGCATGCCGTGGTGCCGTCGTCGACGTAGTAGACGTGCCCCTCCGGCACCTGCTCGCGCACCAAGCACGGAGGCTGAGTCAGCACCGGGTTGGCTTTGTACGGTGCGAAAGAAGCTCAGCATTCCTACGTGCGTAATGAAGGACTCCAAAATGCGGCACTGCTTGGATTAAGTTGATTATCCTCGACAACAATGTCCAGTGGCCTAGCACCAGCCAACGCAAGTCCCTTGCTTTCCCTCTCGCGAGGGCCCACCACTTCCCCCTCACCCTTCCATTTTTTCCTTTTCCCCCTCCCCGTCTCTCATCTCCGCCCATCCCTTCCTTCTAATTAATCCCTCTGCTCCCCTTCTAACCGACTTAACTGATCCCCGCCTTTATCGCTCTCTTTTAAACCGTCCAACCAATCACCATCTAGCAGGACACGTCACGGCTAACCTTACACAGTAGTTCCCCCTCGTGGTGGTTATGATATCTTCTTTTCTATTCTATTTATATAAACGCCTAACTTTTGTTACGTAGGCTAGGCGTAGTCACAAACCGCACCTCTCCATAATAAAGGCTCAGTCATTTGTTATGTAGTCTATTCGTAGTCTCAAACCGCACCTTACCATAATAATCAAAAGTGAGCCGTTCCTGGCCCTTCCCCCCCCCCCCCCTCCCTTAACCATTATATATACGGATTGGTATTTCTTGTAATCTCTCATTTACTTGATACATCTGTCGGGCTGTGACGGTTCCACCTGAAGACGGAAGCTTGTGTTGCCTCCGAAACGTCGTGATTTTTTATTTTACTTTTATTAATTGCAAAAAAAAATTACCTACGTGACTTTACCGAAAAAACCTAAGAATATGAATCCTTGCAGTCACGAAAGCTTCAAATCTAGAATTTATCTGTGATGAACGCTTCACTTCCCGTCGTTTTCACACAGGGGGCGCGTAGGTTTGAACGACGGAGGCGCACGGACAGACGTTCAAATTACGTTGGAATCGATCTGCAGAACGAGGCGATTCGGTGTCGATTCCCAGAATCGACTTGTCCCCCACCGACACGACTTTACCATTTGTTTTGCAATGCCGACGACGACAATTTCCCATTCTCCCCGCATACGCTATCACAATCAACAAGTCGCAGGGACAGACGTTCCATTGCGTTGTTAAGCGCACAACTTTATCTATCTTTCTGTGATGATGAATATAATAATATTAGATAAAACTTCTAAACGGAGCATCGGGTGCTTGCGAGAATGCGTCGTTCTTGTGCAAATTTTGTGACTTTCCTGGCCAAAGGAATGTCACCCCACATGTCATTCACAGACGCTATCCAAGGATGTCGAACATCCTTACACAAACTTACGTACAAAGTTGCGCGCACGCACGAAACGCCGGTTATAATCGCAGTGATTCGATCAGTTTTAGTGAGCCATTTCATCGAGAACTGTAGTCTCAATGAAATGTGTTGTTCTTCTCCCGCACCTCCGATGGGCACTGTTGGCTACGTACGGTGCGAACGAAGCTCTACATACATACTTAATTTGGAGCTTTCGTGACTGCAGGAATTACTCTTTGGTTCTTTCGGTAAAGTCACGTATAAAGAGACAATAATAAATTAAATACTAGCATACGACGTTTTGATTGCAACACAAGCAATCATCAGGTATAAATGAGAGATAAATGTACGTCTCTCTCTCTATGTATCTCTGTGATATCTCTCTCTACTTATATGTCTGTCTATATGTCTCTGGTTCTGTGTTTTATCTCTCTCTCAAATTTAGCATTCTCAGGAAGAACGTAATCAACCAGGTAGGCTGTTGACTGTTATGTTATCCGACTCTCTGTTGTATTACATTACATTTCTAAGTATACTAGATTTGTGTTTCTATTTTATTTATACCTGATGATGATTGCTTGTGTTGCAATCGAAACGTCGTATGCTAGTATTTAATTTATTATTATTTTTTTATACATGACTCTACATACATACATAGTCATCTCTTTGTAGATGCAGTCCTGCAATTTGTTTGCTCATGGCACTGCTGCTGCTGTAAGGACCTCTACTCGAGAAGGCTCAAGGGAGTATCTCTTCTGGGCATGTATCCGCTCTTCCATGCTGGCCACACGTCTTGAATGTGGTCAGCAATATTCACACTGTTGGTCCACTACACACAACCCGCCAATCAACTGCGGTGAACCCATCTATTCTGCTGAGCGGACAGAGGCACGGGGATTTAAGAAACGTGTCCATATCTTCAACTGCCCTGGCGGCAGATTGTATGGAGCCAGTGATCTACAGCGTGCTAAACATTACACCACGTGCCGGCTTTCTCCAGCCACCCTCTGCAGCAATGGATTCTTCAATCTTTGAATAATCTTTAGCGTTAGCTCCCTTGTACGCGTGCATTTTCTCCAACTTCCTCGCACGTGCCAAGCACTCACGAATTAAATTGGTCTAACATCTCAATGCAGAACTCTCCTGAAAACAAGGCTTGATCCTCATTTAAACTCTACTGTGCAAAGAACCGCTTTTCCATGGTATTACTTTTACGGCAATACATAGCATTACATACAGGCTTGGTAGGAGATACTGGTGATACTGGCCACGATAAACCACAAACAATTCCTGACTTTAATGTAAACGTGCTCGAGCCACCCACCTGCAGAGAGAATGAGTGCTTGTCTCTAAACGAGACAGTACAGCAAGTAGGTTGCCCGCCTATCTGCGCGGCGGATTCTGCGCGTGGCTTTTCCTACGGCGACTCGGGTTCGAATATCCCACGGGCACCAGTGCATGCACGACACAATAGTCGATTGTTGACAATCATGAGACCGGGCTTTTAATACCACGGTGATTTAAACATCGGAGTGGAACGCACTGAAAGCCGTCAACACTGCGTCCTCAGCAACGCTCAAACGGCATGGTAAAGATAGACCACGCAAAGGCATTTGATCCGGTGAAATGGAAAAACGAATGAACACATTCACACGCCTCCTAAGAATTCGTGGGAGGAGTGGTGGTGCAGTGGTTCGCGCACTAAGGCTACGAACCCTGCAGCTTGAGTGTCGCTCCTAGTGGCGAGTGCCACGTCCCACCCTCCATTTCTATAACCGGCAACGAATTGACCGGCGTGATGAAAAATGGTCAAACTACGTCTCTAACCGACATGGCCGGGGGAAGCCTTCATCTAGCAGTGGATTGACAAATGGCTATCATCATTATTATGCACTCACAATTTTTGCCCTTGCCACGGGAAAGTTTAATTTCCTATGAAATTCTTTGGGGTTGCAAAATATTCAAATTTTATATTCGTGCACACACTTTTAGGCACGTTAGCTACGGGTGCCTCTTGACAACAGGAGCTCCCACAGCCCTGAGCAGGTTCAGCCAAGGCCGTGCACAAAGCTGTCGAAACGAAGAAACACTCGGGAAACTGCGGTCAAAAGGCGATGAACAAAACGAAATACCTTTCCATTTGTGTATCCGGCAGCGACGCAGTCATAGTACTGATATCCCTGGCAGGTGCAGCCCAGCTGAAGGCACGTCGGGCAGCAAGTGGGGGGCTCCGAGCTCTCTGCGATGCAGCGGTCGTTTGGGGGGCAGACCACCCCCGCGCAGTCCGGAGGATACGCACGACTCTCCTTCGCTCCCAGCGTCAGCACGGCCAACGCGGCGAGCACCAAACGCAGAGTGCCCGACGGTTGTGCCGGGGGTGCCGCTACTGCGCGATCCATTTCCTGCGCGAACTAAAAAGAGAGACGAGGGCGCAGAGCTCACGGCGGACGGCGAAGAGTTCCCCGGACTCGGTGAACGGCTCACGTCAAGTTCGGACCCCGGAGATTGCCCGCTCGGTGCGTCGTAGTCCATTATCCCACGCGCTCCGTGGCTCTCCCAAGACAAACATTACAAGGGGAAGGAGGGGGTGGTGGTGGTGGTGAGAGAGAACGTTCCGAAAGGACTGCGCGTGCTTTGGAACGACGTCTGTCCCCGACGGCATTGCTCACGTGCGATATTGCTCGCGGCGAAACCGCCCGCGCACCGCAAAAGGCGTCAGCCGCGAAGAACAACGGAGACAAACGCAACGGACGCATGACGGGCACGTTTGTCGGCCGGCGAACGCGACGCTCGGCACGCGGAGAGAGCGCGGGCCATGCACGCGCACGCGCGCGTTTGTCTTCCCTCGCGCACAACCGCGCCCCCCATCTGCACATGAGATCACGCATCGCCACCCACTTGCTCCTGGCAAGTGCAGCAGTTGACAGCAAATGATCCCCAAAATAAATAAAGAAAGCCACTGCTCACGTGGTTGAGCGCAGCGCAGGAGCGTGATTTCAACGATTAGTCGGGTCAATGTGGGAAAATGAAATGAATTTGCTTGCTTACCAGTTAAAAAGGCATTGCCCGCACGCCTGCACCTCTCCCCAAAGGTGCCAGACTTAAGGAATGGGCTTTTTTATTTAACGCGGAGGGAAGTGCGTTTTTATTTACAGGATCTCTGCCAAACTGGCGACCCAGAGAAGACCGATCAGCAAATGTTCAGCTCTGAATCTGTAACAAAAGAGCCAATGTTTGGCAAGGCAATATGGAAATTGGGTGGGGGAGAGAAATGCTGACAACATCGCAGTAATGATGATTCGGAAGTTTGGCGTTTTTGTTGATGGTCCTGGAAAAAATTACTCGAAACGGAACACTGAAAAAGTTGACATCTTGTGTGTCGGTCATTTCTTACAAGCATCGCAATGTTTCAGACGCTTGGACCTTTTAGGCCCACACTTGGATAGCGTCCGAGTGAGATGTATTGCATGCGGATGGAGTAGGTGGAATATTATCAATGTCTCAAGATGGAAAGGGTTTTTTATGTTACTTTCAACTGCGGTGATTTTTTTTTATTGGGATACTTGATTCCAATATTCCCCTGAAAGTATGAAATGCCATGCATTGACACACACACACGTGTGTGCCTTGGCCACCAGACACACAGAAGAAGTAGAAAATTACGATGTGTGGAACCAACAAAACCTTCCATAGATATTTTCATAAACTAATATTTGCTATACTGTACTTTCTAACCAAACCCAATGACGCCCATTTCAACAAATACGACCAAGAAAACACAAATATTGAAATTGCAGGAAAAAAAAACTGACCAGGATTTTTTAGTTTTGCCCCGTAAAAGCTCACATTCCTGACTACAATAATAATAATAGTGTCACGGGAAAACTAAATTTGCGATAATAAAAAAAATACCGCGTTGCAGTGCGAAGACTGCAGCTTTAAAAGGAGGCATTGAGCCAGCGACAAACGAAAGTTGCACGCCCCAGAATTTTCGCGAGCTCGGACGTGCGCCTCGATGGTCACACTGCAGTTTGGCACGCAAGCCCAAAGGCATGCTGTGATGGGGGCAGAGATGGGAAACAGCATCACATTGTAGTTTTCCCACGACAGAGATAGTGTGGGCACAAATACCCGTGGCCTGCATATAACAGGGTGGTAGATTTGAAGCTTTCGTGACTGCAAGGATTCATATTCTTAGGTTTTTTCGGAAAAGTCTCGGAGATAAAACAATTTAATTAATAAAAGTAAAATAAAATCAAAATCACGACGTTTCGGAGGTAACACAAGCTTCCGTCTTCAGCTGGAACCGTCACAGCACGAAAGCTGTATCACCTTGATACAGCTATCGTGCTGTGACGGTTCCACCTGAAGACGGAAGCTTGCGTTGCCTCCGAAGCGTCGTGATTTTAATTAATTTTTTTACATTTTTTATCTACGTGACTTTACCGAAAAAACCTAAGAATATAACAGGGTGGTGTTTCGGTGCCCGTTAAAAATAAAAAGTACATTCGCTCACAGTCCCTGCGTAAATGGGGCGGACAGTCCGACCTTCCCTCTTCCCAGAACCCAGCAGCACTGAGTTCGGGCTTCGGACCACGAAATTTCTGTACCCCCCCCCCCACACTGCCCCCTTGTTACGGATTATTTAAAAAAACACGTTACATTTTTTTTGTATATCATACTCTGAAGCTCAAAAATGTAACAGCGTTGTAAATCCGAGCAGACTGATCATTAGCCGTGTCTCCAGGCTGCAAAACAAAAAAAGATCTCATAGGTCAGCGTTCTCCACTAATGTTTAGAGGGGGGCCACTTTCGCCGATAAAACATCATCAGCGTGAGGGCCCCCACAACATGTTAACATCATTGGGGGTTTGACAGCAGCACGATGATGTTGATGGATGGGGTGCTTTCACATTTGTGTATTGTCGGGGGCCGCACTAAAGGCCACCAGGGGCCGCCAGTAGCCCACGTGCCTTGCAATGAAGACCACTGCCACAGATAAATCTGTTTAGTACCGTAATAATCATTACATTTATGAGGCGCCCTTAAGCAATCGTTCTCAGGGCGCAATGCGTGAAAATCCGGAAATAGCTTGACATCAACCAAATACAGAAGTGAGAAAGACGTTTGAAAATAACTAAATAAGAAAAAAAGTCGTTTTTAAACAGGTATGTTTTTAGCCGAGATTTCAAGATTTGCGTCTTGGAAGTCCTGACCTTGAAGGGAAAGGGGTTCAAGAGTTTAGGGTGTCGCAATTGCAATGGCACGATCACCTCCAATTGTGAAGCCACATCTGGATTGTGGTGTCTTTTTTAAAACACTTTAATGTAGATTTCATTTTATATCGCTATAATATACTTAAAGCGGAATTTAAATATTATTACAAGCTGTAAATGTTCTTTGGGTCTTTTGGTTAAGCCACGTAGATAAATAAAATATATATTAAAAATATCACGACGTTTCGATCGCAACACAAGCAATCGTCATCAGGTGAAAAAATATAGGGCCGGCCTTGCCCTGATCTCAGAGAGAATAAGATTGCCCCGATTTGAACTAGACAATTTAGAAAATACTCTCTTGCAATCACACTTAACATTGACAGAAAAAAATGTCTACATCTGATTGGGACCATGTAGAAAACATGACAGCCTCCTCAGCTGTCAGCTAAATGCAAAGATAACCTGATTTCCAAGTTTAACCTCCTTTCCAAGAAGAAGCCAGATCCACACATTAAAAAGTTAGACGGTGACAAGATTGTTATCAATCCGAGTAACATCCCAATTGACGACAGCTTAAAATCGGGTCTAGCTAAAGAGTTGAATTTCGCAGTCACCCCTAAACACATCTCAGTTGATGATATCATTGCCCAGGTTGACGCAGCCCTTAAGGGTTTGGGACACATTCCTGCAGACGTGGCAAGATCGGAAATCGCTGAATTCCTCAAAAACGCTGACACCTATTAGCAACATCAGCAAGGATGAGCGCCTTGAGCTTTCTCAACTAAAAAATAGAGATGACAAAGTCATCCTCTCCTCTCAGCCGACAAGGGCAATGCCACTGTCATCATGGACAAAACCACACACAATAACAAAATGCAGGGCCTACTTAATGATGGCAGCTATACCAAATCAATAGAGATCCTACCAACCGCCTGGTTACGAAAACCAACAATATGATCACTGATTCGACATCTTTAATCGAACAAACCAAGCGGTTTTCCTTTAAACCCTCTGCTGCTAGACCGCCCAGATTTTATGGCTTACTACAAATCCATGAAGAAGGTACACCACTCCGTCCGATCGTCTCCACCATTGACTCACCCACCTACAAACTGGCCCGATTTCTGTCTGAGACCGTATAACCATTCACTGGTAAGACCTTCTCAGCTGTACTTGACTCAGCTCACTTGGTATCGCTAATTAAGGACTTCTCACTATCTCCAGGTGATTTGCTTGTCAGTTTCAACGTAGTATCTTTGTTCACCAAAGATCCTGTGCCTGACACCATTGCAATCATTGAAGATTTGGTCCAACAAGGACTGAATGCTGATGTTCCGGCCCTGGTGAGACACTGCCTCACCAAAGCTTAAATAAAAAAAATCACGTGTGGTTGTCTGTAAAAAATTCACACACACAAGTTGTATTGGAGCAAACCTGTACAAGTGTAGTGTAATAGCACCAGCTGGTGACCAGCAGCAGCAATTGCGGTGTACAAACAGTACACACGCCGGTGAGCATATACACGGGTGTCTCGGCAGGGCGGAGGAACTGGATCAAGGGTCATGGAGGGCCCCAATAGGGAGCTCCGAAAACCTGCGAGTGGGTTCGAGAAGGGAGGCGCGACCAGGGACGGAGCCAGACCACGCTGGTGGGAATAAAGGGGTCAAGATCAGGAGCTCGAGGCTGGCGTGTTGGGATTGGATCGTCTCGTCGTCGCTGCCATCTTCGCTCGACATTGAGCTGCTAAAAAGCCTGTTAAGTGTCTCATTTAGCGCTGCCGATGCGAGACGGCTAGTGTTGTGTCATAGGCTAGCGAGTAGTGTGGCGTGCACGTAAGATCATGTGTGTTAATAAAAGGTGCCACTACAAATATCGTCTTCGAAGTCACTGCACTATGCATGTACTTGCCGACACACAGGACAGAGTGTACTCTAAATGTTAACTTATTCGTTTTACTTTGTCAAGCAGTTCCAGTGGTTGAACTCGCTTGAAACACACGTTTCTTTTGACTTTGATTCACTGCATCTTTGGCCACCGATAGTTATAAAGTGTTGTGGGACTCATAAAAAAAACCCCCACCACCAACAACACTGCTCCATTCAGGAAGGGCCTCGCAGCTTCGACCAATTAACGCGCGTGCCCGTCTGGGAACGTGCCTTTGCTTCTCGGCACCCTTGCGGCTCTTTTCCATGAGCAAATGATCTCCATAGAGATTCTGACCTCAAGTCAAGACGTTCTTCAAGCGCTTATCGTGAAGGCTGAAGAAACACCTTCAGTGTCACGGAACTTGGAACATCGCCGCTGCACCGTGCAAGTAAATTATTTCAAGCTGCACTCGCCTTCACGGGACTCGGCCAAGGATCACTTGTGCGTGTTGCCAATTTGCACAAACATGTGCTCACCAAGTTTTTTTGGCTTCGTTCGTTGGGTCAGAGGTCACCATGCAATTGCCGCAACAGAATGAAAAAGTAATGTCTCAACAATGTTTGAAGCCCTGGCCTCTTAATATGGGAATCGATATATTAAAGTCGATTGCTTAAGGAAGAAACCGAGGTGGTGGAAATTTATAATGCAGGAAAAGTGGTGGTTTGGCAGGCTCAGAGCATTGAGTGGCTTATACCAATGCCTGCACACACAAATAATCAATTGAAGTTGTTTCCAATTATACATTTTTTTCCCTTATAACTGGCAACAAAACTGACTGAAAAAAAGGTGTCAGTTTTGTTGGCAGATAAAAGGGTAAAAAAACAATTATATATTTTATTACTGGCAAATGGGGTTCCCAACGGTTGTTTCCAATTAATTTTCTAAATGCAGCTGAGAAAAAAACCTATTTTCAAAGATTCATGCGCTGACAGTCCACACACTCGTGTATGGGAATTAATGGACTGATGCATCGTTTCAGTCTCCCGTGCGAGTGAGATAAACAGTTACAGAAAATTGCACAGTAAAAAATAAACGATCACAGGTGCAACTCGGTCATTTATTTCGACAATTGTTATCGAATGACAATTTCTGAAAACCACAAAGGTTCAAATGGGGGGGGGGGTGGGGGGAGTATTCCACATCGGGACAAAGCTAAAGTACAGAATTTCAAACTTTGTCATTGGTCAACCGAAGGTGGTGAGAGAAAGCAACAGACGTTGTATTAAAGGTACCAGCAATGTTGGTAACAGAGAAACATGTAAACAATAAAAGCACTTTAGTAGCTACGCAAGTATTCTTTGGTTCTTTCGGTAAAGTCACGTATCTACGTATCTACGTGAGTTTACCCAAAGAACCAAAGAATATTAATTCTTGCAGTCACGAAAGTTTTAAGTCAAAATTTAGCTACACAAGCATATTAGAATATATGCCTTAAATGGAACACAAAAACTTTGATTTGCAAAATGTGCATTTAGGTGGTCTAAGACAGAATTCCGTTTTACACAAAAATTGGGGGGAAACACCACTTGCATACAGGGTGTGACGTACAGGTATTGCTGGTAAATACAGCTTGGATGGTGTAGAAAATTGTCTAATAAAATGGCCACAGCTTATACAGGCATGCAGAAGCCAAAGGACGTAAACTTGACAATTTCACACATTGCTAGTGCAAGCTTATGCCTTTAAGTTAGATTGCCGGTCCCTTTACAATGGCACAAAAGCCAGGATTTTTCGTCTTTCATACGTACATAAATTAACTACTCCAAATCTAGAAGACCGACTTGATTTGCTTGTTCTTGCCAAGACTATACAAGAAGCTGCTATTATTATCGGCATGTTGTTAAACATATACATACAGGCATACAAGCCCCACGCCTTCTACTCAAAAAGTTCGACGCAGTTTAGCTTGTCATCCTTCCCCCGCACCTCCTATGAGCACGAGCGGCTACGTAGGATGGCAAAGCAGTTCAACATACATACAAGTGGTTCACATCTCTACAGGGGGAACGTACAGCTAAAACACATCTCCGTTAACCTATCATTTCACATCCACCACGGTGAAAGCAAATGTCTTCTCGCATGACCCTACCGATGTTCTTGTCGTCCTAATAACTCGACTATGATGCACAAGCCAATATTTCATGGCCATTTTTAAACACTTGAGTTGAATAGGTAATTTTATGTTGTTGTAAAAGAGTGTTTTCAGAAGAGATTAATCATTTACAACCTCATCTCAAATACACGGCTGGATGAAGATCATTCCCATGCTGTGTCGGTCATCGGAGTTGTTTTGACCATTCACCACGCTGCTATTTGCAGGTTGGGGAACCTGGTCCAAGAACTGGCTATTTTACCATTCGCCACTGGTGTTAGCCATGCCCAGAAATCAAACTCTGGTGACTGAGGCTTGTAGTGCAGTGCATTAACCACAGCCACAGCACCACTCCCCCTTTAAGTAAATATTTAAAGTTAAATATTGCATACAGTGGCGTTCATGGACTGAATTATAATTATTTGCAAAACACAGCTTCCATCAATATTATTCTTAGGCTTTTGTGGAGGAATTGCATATGATGTGTTTACAGACACAACATGATAGAATAATAACTTTGAAAACGTATTGTTATTCTGGAGATACAAATTTTTGGACAGTAATTCTAAGGGGTTTTAAGAATGCAAACATTTTTAGTCAGTGCAAAGTTTCAGAGATGAGTTCCATAGGACCAAGAGAACAGTGACGACCTAAAGTTTGTGCATTAAGTGGTCTCCGCATTAAGAAGTGGTCATATCAGTGTCAGCTCTGCTCTACGTTAAAGATGACATTTCAACTAGTGGGAAAAAATAAGGTTGCAATGTAAGCATATATATAAATAGGAGGCCTAAAGAAACGTTAAAGAGTAAAACAATCAATTTGCAGGATTGTAGGTCAATGGTTCTACCATTTCCTGCAAGGGGAAAGAAAATGTGCAAATGTTTCAAGGGAAGAGAACCACTATTCACAGTTTCTTCGTAACACTGATATAAAGTTGTGACGTACAGTACAGCAAAGGTAGCTACATCGGTTACATTTTGTGAGCGGGGGTAAACAAATGTGTTTTTTTCTTCAAGTATCTTATTTTAGTTTTCGGTGGTATTTTATTTTTACATATTTCACCTTAACAGTGCAACTTTACTTTAAGCCCATATGACACTGTGGCTAAAAGACAAATCACAACACACACGAGTAGGCATTTTAGTCAACCGCGACGGGGTGGGAGGAGGGAAACCCCCCCGCCGACCCACTAAAACTCACTTACAATTTCGACATCGGATAACGTTCGCCAATTCGTACGCGGGGCTGAAAAATTCTTAAAATTTAAGTTGCTGCCATCAAAATGGGAATCATGTGTGATAAATTTTTCAATTATTTATCGCTCGTCTTTCAGTGAGGTTGCAGTAAAAAAATAATGCCTTGCCCCTACACTCAAAGCTGTTTGTCTTACAGCGAACAACAATGCCACCACCAAAACGCGTGCGCATTTTTTCCCAATGGGGAGACGACGCACAATGTTTCCGCACGTACACCCTTTTTTGTTCTTCTTCTTACACATATGCAATGTACAGCTTTCAGTCATGCATCCGCAAGGCACCACATTGCAAGGACTTTGTGTTTATATTTAGTCTGAGCGCAATCTTCATAGTGCCAAAATAATGCCCAAAATCAAGGTTGTAGGATTGTTTCAAAGTGATTGGCCACACAATAGGCTTTGTTTTTACCTCTTTGTTCTTTCGTATTTTTTTTTCCGAGCAAACGGTAACATTGAGCATTTTCACAGTCTGAGGTCTTGGCTTCTTACCTACACCATTTACACCTGCCACCTATCGTTCCCAATGGCTTCAGAGCAAAACACAAGGCACTCTCTTCCAAAATTACGGGGTTTTGGGTTGACCTAGGAAGCATTTCAACGTTTGTCCTTTGTTTATTTTTTTTAACACGTAATTTACATTTTATCGCAATTATGCATCTGGATGCTTGCAACGCTGAAATCATGTTGCTTTTGTTTTGAGAAATTAAAAGGATAATTATGTAAAATAAACAGTGACAAGGGGCCCTTCAAAAGAAAAAAATATAGATGTTTACAATGCTGTCTCATGCATCCTCTAACAATGTGAAAGTGTTTTGATTTGGACACGTGCGGTTAGAACAAAACAAAAAACACCAACGATCGATCGGGCGCAACTCTCTACCGTTAGTTCGTCTAACATATTGCTCTTTTTTTTGTTCAGCCATTTTCTTGCACAGGGCAACTAAGGCGCGCTCGCACAACACACAACAACGCTGCCACAAGCTCGCATTAGGAACGCACAAATTGCGGCGTAAATAAATACACCGGTCCCGCTACTCGTGATAACGTAATAATAAAAAAAACTTCACGTAATAAATAAACTTCAACCCGGGGGGAATAGCCGCGGGGGAATAGCTCTCCTCTTTCTTGCTCGTTCATGTAGTCCGCATGTTTGGGCTTGAATTGGGGGCAGCCACGTACACGGGGAACGACTGAACCCCTCCGTTCCCCATCGGCTGGTACTGCGCCACCCCCTGCGAGGGCGCAGCCGACGCTTGCTGGCCGCCCGGCAGTGCACACGAGGCCCAGCCCATGCCCACCGCTCCGCCGTAGGTGCCCGGCGGCGCACCGTACTGCACGCAGAGAAGTGGGGCCATGGGCGTAGCCGACGAGTAGGGGGTCGCGGGTGGCCGCGACCCGGGGCAGCTGCCGCCGCCGCCAAGGCCACAAGCCGCGGTGGCCAAGGGAGGGGAGTGCGGAGAAGCGGACGCCACCACCCCAACCTGCAGGCCCAGCTGTGCCGGCGCCGAGAGTTTGCGCATGACCGGAGGCATCACCACGACGGGAGAAGTCTGCAACAGGAATAATACATTTTTAAGTGAAAGTGTAGCATTGCAATTTCCTGGCTGACGTCGCGACTGGCGGAAGAACCTGTCTGAGGGAGCTCTACAGAGCTCCTCTACAGGGTATTCGGCCTTCTCTTCCACACTGGCCAGATATCGTGGAAGAAATGGGGTTACCCGCATTTTATGGGGTTACCCACGCGACCGTGGATACCAATTTATATGTCCGGGTCGACAGAGGCAAGGGTTTTTTTTTCAGAAACTTGCCCTATTCTCTTAACCGGCTTCGAACCCAGCGACCTCTGGATTGCATGTCCATGGTGCTTATAACCATTGCACCATAGCAGGATGGGGAAACTGCACTGCGACAAATTACAAGTGACTCGCTTGGTCCCATGGATTTGCATGCGATTCAAGAAAATGCAACTTGTGCCATCGTTCTTGATTTGAAGCTTTCGTGACTGCAGGAATCCATAAAATAGATCACGACGTTTCGGGCGCAACACAAGCGTCCGTCATCATCATCGTTGTGCAATCGTGTATAATAATTCATTGACTGCAGTGTACTATTATGTATGTTGCACTTCGTTCGCACCGTACATAGCCAACCGCACGCTAACCGGAGGCGACACGCTGCTCTGCGAGACTTCCCACAATCCCTATAGAGCTGTGGAACGGATGCAACAAAATATATGGTGCTTTTTTATTCTAACACTTATATGGGACTATCGTTTTGAATGGAAAAAAAATGGATAATAAATACACTGTAACATGATAACACGTGTATGTTAAATTTCGATTTAAAGCTTTCGTGACTGCAGGGATTCATCTTCTTGGTTCTTTCGGTAAAGTCACGTAGAAGGGAAATAATAAAATAATAAAAATAAAACATTCAGACGCTGTCTCCCCGAAAGACGCGGTCTTCACCTGAGGACGGCTGCTTGCGTTGTGGCCGAAACGTCGTGAGAATTATTTTATTATGTTTTATTTTTATTATTTTATTACTTCCCTTCTACGTGACTTTACCGAAAGAACCATGAAGACGTGTATGTTAATAGCTTCAAAAAGTCAGAGTCTCCACTTATTCGCCATCATTGTCAACACATGCCTGGAATATTCTGCAGGTGGTCACCAGAGCCCGGAGGGGCACATTTCTTATTGTTGCAAATTCTCAGAAGCGTTAACATTGTTGCAAAGCACCCTGTATATATAAACCCCTCTCTTTTGACGGAGCTTTACCTCTGACTGGCAAGGCTTTGGCCGCCCGCCCGCCGTATCCTGCCGGCTCAGCGCGTGCTTTGTCTTGATGCTGCTGTTGGTGCTGCTGGTGGCGTCCTTAGCCCAGTCGTCAACGAGCTTGTGCAGGTCATCGGTGAAGGTGCCCTTCTTGTTTCCCGGGGCTGCTGCTGCTGCTGCCGCTGCCGCTGCCGCCGCAGCCTGTGCTTGCCCGCCGTGCTGGTTGGCGCTGAAGCTCCTTGACCCTTTGCGATGATTAAAGTCCGCAGCAAAGAGATGCAGAAAAAGAGGAGAGGGAAAAACTCATTTGAGTAGGTTATGTTTTATTGTATTGCATGGAGATGGACTGTGCACAACAAAATACAGTGAGGCCTTTGACTGAATGTTAAAGTCATTTGTCTCTCAACATCCACTTGTACAGGGATTTTTATGCAAATTTTACTGCACATGTTTTCCATTAAAGTTCAATGTGTCATTGCATATCTTAGTGAGCTCAGATAAGTTTTAGGGTGTTCCAAGTCAAATTGAAGAGGTGACCTCGGCCGATAGGACAACTCTACCACACATCGCCATCACTTCCTTCCATCTGCTAGATCCCAGTTTCTGTTCAAGTCGACTGGCGTTATGCAATTTTAGTATTCATGTCAAATACCTAGGATTAAAAAACTAAAAGAAAAACATTACTACACATCCATGCGCATTTTATACTGCAAATTTGCAAACGTTGGTTTCATTATAAGCTTATTTATTATTCAAGGTCTGCTGCAGTGTACAAAATATTAATACACTAAAAATTTAAGTCGACTAAAGAGGCCTCACTGTATTACGGTGTAGTATCACGCCACATATATACGGGAAGAAAACTTTCCGATGATCAATACTTGCCACCATAACATGAGCACAAGGGTTGCATTCTGATGTCCGTCAAATGATGCCAAGCAAAAATCAAGAACAGAGCCACGCGCTTCCACCGAAAGCAATAAAACCTGCACAAACGGCGACAAAATAAATGTACAAGGAAGCACCGATACCATGACAGACGGACTCAAAGAGAGAAACATCGACATGCTAACATACCCACGTTCAACAAAGAAAACACATTAAACAATGATCAGGGATGACAATAAGGCGTTGCTGTATTTTTGTCAGCAATAAATTGTACACCGTGAATAAATTATTTAATGATCAAAAATGATCCCTGCGATTGGAACAAAACCATTGCATAACAATGGAATTTGTTAACACATCCAAAAGGATGCACAGCTGAAAAAAACAAATAATGTTCTTAATCAAAACCTCTCAAAGCCGGACTCAAGTTAGCTAGAATTCGGGGTGAGCCTGGTTACCCAAAATAAACAGAAAAAAATAAAGCTTCTCCACAGGAACAATCTTCACACGCTAATTAAGCTGTGGGCGTCAAAAGAAAGTGTGCACATGCTCACTAGTAATTATAAAGCTGTAAGCGTATCGTATTTATCTGTTTAATGGAATCATGCAAAACCCATTGAAAGCCAAGTGCTCAAAATCACATCTTCAAGTTTCATCATTAGACCTCCTTTGCCAGTACCAAGATATTATAATAGGGTTTTCCCCCTCTTTTCTGGAAACAAAACTGAAACCTTTTTACAAGGAATCATGTGTGCATTAACCACAATAACTTGTGGTCAAAATGCAAACAAAAATGTATTCGGCTTTGCACATCCAATGAAACTCGCGGCCTTCCACCTGTGCTTCATGGTGACTGATTAAATTACACAATACTAGCTTTATTGTGAATTAAAGCCTCAAGCTTTGTTATTTGCTAAACATCTCAGGTGTTCAATACCTATTTGATTACAATCTGGTATTTAAAAAATATTGTATGTATGTAGACCCTCTTTCGCACTGTATGTGCAGAAAATAACCTTAATTATTTGCAGGATACAAAGCGTCCTCGTTATTGGGAAATGCTCTCCGCCCAATAAGTCCTGCTTCGAGAGGTGAGACCATATTCTTTGGGTCTTTCGATAGGACCATTTAAATTTGGTGCAATTTTTTATCTCTCTCTATATATAAATCGGATAAAATAACTTGATCCACCCCTTCCCATCACAAAATGCTTCATTTTCTTATTCCCCTTCACATTTTTGGAGCCCAGTGTGATCCCTGTGAAAAAAAATATAACAAAGGGAGCTCACACGTACACAAACACAGGCACAATGGCACATGCAGCTATAGAGGAGGAACAAGAAAAAGACCGATAGTTACTACTGCGATCTTTCCCTAGACAAAACCGTCTTAGGGAGTTCCCTGCAAAGCAAAGGAAAGAAAACACAAGTGTTAGGCAAAAACCGCTGGGTAGATCTTGCCCTGCACGCATGACCACTCGGCGATTTTAAAATAAAAAAAAACCCAATTGGGATAAAAGTTTCAATTGCACGGACACCGTACGGAAAGCAGACCGACCCCAGAAACAGGTCTATGTGCTGTGTGGTTAACAGCGATGCCGTACAATAACGCAATGCTACGCCGACTATTGTACTTATAAATACCAAACGGGAACACGATATTTAATAAACGTTTATTTATTTGTTTAAGCAGTGAACGCGAATGCAAATAAGAATACTTTTGCATGCGGCTTTCGGATAAAAAAAGAATGGTATATCTTAATAGACAATAAACCAAATGGACGAATTACTTATTTCCCCCCTCCCCAAAACAATTAGGCATTAACAACATACACAAATTCACTTTACGAAATTAAAATGTACATTTCTTTCACAGACATTTAAAATAAACACTTCTTTTAAGGGAATTGCGAGTGGGGGGGGGGGGAAATAAAAACGCAAATTAATGCGAGCCAAGCAAATCCGACAGCCCTCCCAGATCTGCAAACTTTGTCAAAGAGTGAATGCAATTCAGCACAGCATGGAGGCATGATGCACTACACGCTAGTATAAGAGTTAGTCAATGGGCGCCTGCAATCGGAGGATTGTCCAAGCGTGCGTGTTTTCGGTGCAACGAAAATATTTCCGTCGCGTAAGGTTACACGTGATCATCTAATCTGGTAACGACACACGTGGACTTGGGGAGATCGTCTCGACTTGGGACTGGCAACAGCCAAGGTGATTGTTTACGTGATTTGTGGGTGGAGCGCTAATGGATTCGAGTTCACGTGCAAAGAATGCATGTGCGCGCACAAGGGGAACCCGTCAAGTGAGGAATCAATCTGCCTGTAGACATTACACAAAATACCTCGTTTACGCATGCCTCCATGACTGTACGCTGAACTGTCAAGATACATCAATTCCGTGCGCATGCGTTTCGGTTTAGACCAACCACGTTACAATTAAAAGCGGCCAATTCCTGTTCACTACTGGAAATTGAATCACCAGAGTGGGGAATGAAACATTGTGGTGAAGGGTGGTCCAACTATTTTAAACCGAAGCCAAAAGTTTTGGCTGTTGATGTGGAAACAATGGAATGTGAGCCCAATACTATTATAGGGCTTCAAGTGCAGACGGGCACAACAGCGCCACCGTGTGTACAATCGGGGAGAGCTGCCAACAGCTGCACGTTTAGAGTTTAAGACGAAGAACAATTACAGATAGACCAGGACATGGATCCACTGATGAATCTGGTACGAGGTTTGCTACTAGATTTATTGGCGACTTTCTCGGAGGGTTTGCGGAAAAGTGTCCAACCTACAGGTGAAGGTAAGACAAAAGAGGGGGGAAGGAAACGAAGGAAGACACTCTCACAGGTCAAGTTGTTAATGACAAACGGTACACGCTCCAAACGACAGCACGCCGAAGCGACAGCGAACGCGGTTTCGTCACCGGGGAAGGAACGCCAATGCCTCACTGCGTCAGAGTACCACTGGACGTCGCGACAGCGGCACTCATGAGCCAGGCCGACGTTGCTCGCGTAGCGCCCTGGTGTCGGGTGCAGCCAAGAGAGAGGTAATGCGACTCTTAAGAACAAATGATAAATATTCAATCAGCGGAACTGTGCACAAAAGGTGCGGACGTCGGAAAGAACGGCGTGACTCATGCGACTCCCCCGGCGTGGCGAGCGAGCGCATGTCCCGACCATCCGAGACACTTTGTTCTTTTTTTTGTAAACTATACTTTCACAGGCTTGAGAGCTATTTTATGTATCTTTTATTACTCGAACGGTTATTACAGTGCAAAAACGAGGCAGTATTCAGTGTTTGGTACAAGTGTCGCAACATTGATTCATAACATTAGTAATAAAAAGGCGATACAACGAACCCTGGTGTTCAAATATTACAAAAGTAGAACATTTTTACTTTTTCTTTACTCAATTATGAGACCACTATACCGTAAACGCAAAGTTGTCAGCATTATTTTCGCGTAAAACAACCGTTCTACATAAAGTGCTTTGAAGAAATTGCGATTTAACATCGAAGCGCACTTGTTCAGCAAATCAAGCAACTTTTCAAGTTAAACACACAGTCGTAACAATCGTCCCCACAGAAACAATGGAAAAAGTCCAACGCCATGTCCAAAAACAAGATGGACTTAACCCAAACGTAGCAGATTTAATTAAATACACGTCACCTTCTCCTTTTGGCCAAAAACCACTGCCCCACCCCCCACCCCCACCGGCCGTTTAAAAAACACAAAAGCAATACAAAAACGCATAAAACATCGCGAGCAAATAAAAGAAGGCTACTTGGTGCCTTAGGATCAGCGGTTCCCTACCTTGGCTGCTGCCACCGTGACCCGAAAACGATGCGTCACCGAGCACGGCGTTCTGCACGCACTCCTGCTCGGGGGCAGCAGCGGCCGCTGCGGGCCTCAGCGCCTTGGGCTGCTTGGTCTGCACTCCCGCGGGGCACGTGCTCAGCTCCGGCCGTGCCGCCGCCAGCGGGCTGGTGACGGCGTCCACCAGCCAAGTGCCCGCCGTGCCGCACGCAGAGGAGGGCCCGGTCGCACCTGCGGTCGCAAACGATTGTCAGTCGTCGTCCGTCGTCGATCGAAGCGACAGACCCCCTCACCCCCCCATCCGCCGGAGACCACCGAGGACTTCTTCTTCTTCCTGTCGTACGGCAGATGCAGAGCTACAACTACAATTTTACATTCAGGTGGTCGAGTCAGATGACCGGATCAGGAGGAGCGGAGTGTGTCATCGCTTCGATGTCTCCTTCGCATTTGCGGATCGGGGCAATGCGTCGTTTACACGTTGTACCGTCTGTTCTGGATGACCGCAGTCGCACACTGGAGGGTTTTTTTACTTTCCTCCCCAAGAACTGTTGTGCGTAGACTGCCTATGGTCATAATCACCCGGAATGCGTCCTGTTCTCGTCAGACTTCGGAAGCTAATCAGGTTTTTTCGAGCTTGGATAGTGCTTAGATGGCATGCGTAACGGCCGTCATAGGCTGTGGGTATAAACTGTGAGCAGCAGATGGTAGAGCAAAACCCCAATGTTGTGCTAGACATTTGTTGCCATGTCTATGCTACTCACCCTTCCCGGACCCGGACTGACCAGCGTGGTGAAGTAAAGCGATTCCTTCCAAACGCAAACACTTATTATTATATATTTCTATTACACACACACACCAATGTAGGATGCTCGCCTCACCCATCTGCCAGGCTAAGTCCTCCTGTGATCGACACAATTGGAGGAGAAGACATGGGGCCTACTATATTTAAATTACCAAATCATATATTCCCGTATTCTATGGTTGATTCTCAAAACACGCACGAAACGTGACCACGTTGATTCGTACACAGTGAGTACAAAACACACGAGTGGAAGTTAAAATTGCAGAAACAGCTGATTAGAGCACGTCACAACTAATGAGAGAAAATATGTTTGTTTTTGTAAAGGAAGCTTGGCTTCTGCACGGGAAAACTCGGTTTCTTTCCCAAGGGAAGCCGTGTAAGAAAGGCTCAAATAAACACACCGTTTCCACAATTTCCCATGCAAAGCGACAATTTGTTTTTCTGGACGCCTACTGCTAACATCAATGGGACATCAATTTGAAAGCTCATTAAACGCCGTCAATCTACCCACTCCTATGAATTGCTAGACATCAACATCTGTTGCTTGTGTTCTGGATTGTTGCCTTTTTTTCCATTTCGGCACTATCCCAATTTTTTTTAAGGAACAAATAACGAGAGGGTCACTTTATAAAAACCTTGCACGTATATTTAACAAAAAAAAATTATCCTCCCACTCTCAGACTTATAAATCATTCTGGCTCGGTAATGGATGCCTTTCCTAATTACTCAGAATGCATTAACGTCTATATTTAATTACGTGCGAAGCTAAATCTTTCCAATTTATCGCTTACAATGGACAAAGCACTTCCACACTCAGCCGGACATTGTTAATTATTCACGGCTACTAACACGGAGGGGGAACAGAAGAAGAAGAGGCGCATGGGAATGGACTGGGGGGGAGGGGGGGGTGTCACTCGCCACTGGCAGGCGACGGCGCGGTGGCTTGCGCCTGCTCGCCTCTGCCTACTCCTCCTCCTCCGCCGCCTCCTCCTGGTGGCAATTTTCCGGCCCTGGCCGTCCGCGCGCCCTTGCCGTTGCGCCACCGCCGGCCGGAAGGTGGCACCAGCTGCGGCAGTCCCGCGGGGGTGGGCGGGAGTCGCCCGAGGTGCTCGTAAAGCTCCTCCATTTCCCTCCTCTGCTGCGTCTGGAGCTCCGACAGCTCCTTCATGTGCCTGGGGGTTGAATGGAAAAGAAGCAGGGGGGGTGGGGGAGATGGGGGGGGGGGGGGGAGTAGTGGCTTGACGCCGACGCGGACGTTTGGCAACGCGCGAGCGCGGGGGACTTTGCGGCGCCGACGGACAATGCCAGGATTTGGGGATTCCGGACAGAGGAACCATTGCCAGAGCAATGGCAACTCCAGAGCGTGGACACCACCCCCCCACAAAGGGTGTCTCCCTCGATGACTCGGCCGATGGAAGATCTTCGTAAATGACGGAGCTCGGTTACATAGCGACGGAGTTGTTTTGTCCGGCCGTCTGTTGAGGGGAGTGTGCTGCCGGGAGTTCAGCGGGCCCACAGGGAAGCGCGAGCACAAACGTTAACGCAGTTCCTTCCATCCAGTAACCAATGACTGTTTGGACCAAGTAATATGAGGAAAATAAAGGTTATTCCACACAAACTTTCCCCTGCCATAGAAATGTGCAAAATCCACCATTGGTCAACAGCAGTCAATAAAGATGAGCACAACCCCATTGTTTGAGCAGAGCAATAGTTTGATTTTGACTTAAAGCTTTCGTGACTGCAGGAATTCATACTCTATGGGTCTTTCGGTAAAGTCACGGATATAGAAAAATAATAGACGTGATTTACCGAAAGACCCAGAGAGTATAATAGTTTGATTGTTCATCAAGGCATTGATTACGGATCTTGCGCAGGCCCAACAGTTTGAACTCTGCACTACAATATAATACTGGTAGGAACCTCCTGGTTACACCAGCCCACAGGGGATTATTGTGTCCGTTGTGCAGGGAGGGGCTGAGTGGGGAGGGAGGGGCTGGGTGGGGAGGGGAGGGGCTGGGTGGGGAGGGGAGGTTGGGGAGGGGCTGGGTGGGGAGGGTGGAGAGGGGCTGGGTAGGGAGGGTGGGGCTGGCTGGGGCTGGGTGGGGAGGGGCTGAGTGGCGAGGGTGGGGCTGGGTGGGGGGTGGGAGGGGTGGGGCTGGGTGGGGTGGGGCTGGTCACCCCGTGGTGCCCTTATAAAACTCAACGTTTAACCTACTCACGCCGACTTGTGCCCGCCCTCACAGTCGAGCATATTTGCGGAATACACCACGCCGCCGTTGACCCTGGGCATTGACCGAGCAACCCAACGTTCCTACCAGCTCCCTCCGCAGGAATGTGTTTTGCAAGCGATTGCTTCAAATATTATTGCAGGTGTGCACCAATTTTATTTTATTGAAGGTGTGCTTCATGTAACCAATGCACAACAACAAACAATAGCATCGCAATTTACATCAGTAATGAACAGGAAACTTCACTGCAATATGAAACCATTCACGTGGGAGGGTATTTACTTTTAAATTAATCATCCACCGCATTTGTGATCACCGCCTTCCAAGTGAGCAAGATACTGCGCAGTCTGTGCTCGGGGTCTTGGCGGGGACAACCACCACGCCAAAAGACAAGTCGACCATCGACGCAGTCTCACCTCTCTCGAAGTTTCTGCAGCTCCTTCTTTAGGTCTCCCTCATCGGGATCCGAGTCCAAGTCGCTGCTTAAATAGGGCGACCGCTGTTCGTCGGACGATTCCTTGGCTTCATGGTAAGGGTGCTCCACCATCCTTGCAGAGCGAGGCTCGAGGCTTGCGTACATCTCATCATTGTCATCCTTGTCTCCGGGTACACTCTGCTCCGGAATGACGGAGACCATCGGCTGGAATGAAACCACCCCCTTCTTCGAGGGCGTCTGGCTGGCCGTCGTCGCCGCTAGCACCGCGGCGATGCCGTCATCCTGCTCCTCGGCGTGGCACGCCGTCGAGTTCGTGGGCACGGGAGAAGGCGCCGAATTCTCGAAGCCTGCGCGACGATTTGCTCGCTGGTCCGAGTTTGCCGAGTGGGAATCGGGGGCCTTGGCAGCGGTCGCGTCCATCTGCGCGCTAACGGCAGCGAGCTTCCCGCTCCCGTCAGCGGCGGCGGTGTGCTCGTCCACGCTGCGTCTACGCAGCACTTGCCCCGTTTCCATCTCTTCAACGGAAGGAACGACTGTCGGCGATCCAGGGGTCCGCAGTCGCCTTGGTGCCGGTTTGCACTTCCTGCGGTGTTTCCACTGCCACTGGGATCACCTGCAGTGGTACCAATTATAATGAAGGTGAATTGGTTAATCTCTAAGAAACTATGTCGTGTACTATTTAAACTAAACGCCCCGCTGCAAGTGAGTAAGCCAAAATGTAAGCTAACATATTAGCGCCGAGGTCAAAATGTGTTGTAATGGCCATGTAAAAGTAAACGTTAATTTTGTCTGTCGTTGATTTCTACACTTATCAAACACATATATCAACATGTAACATATTGCTTCCATTGCCCAAATACGATGTTTGAGTGCATTATCCGCTGGTCTTCTTTAGCAACAATATTTGACAGCAACGAGTTATATCGGGCAAAGTTTAACCTATTTCCACTTGCCTTGAGTCTCATCAGTAAGGTGCGGCTACTACTCAATAAATGCAGCTCCGATGTCTGGTGTTATGGATAATGTCCACACAGGGGAAACTGTGGGTCCCAGGGTAACACTCGGTGTGGTTCAACAAAACCGTAGGGAATAATCAAAAGCCCTCTCGGCAGATTGTAAGCAATAAATAAAACGATTCATGGGTGAAAAAATCTAACAATTGAATCAATCAACTAATGGGTGCATAACGATGACAATCAAATAAGGACGAGCTTAATGTCAGGTCATTTCCTCTGCTCCTAAAGGGGTTGCGAGTTTAGTTCTGGCATAGCTATTAAAATTATATGTGCAGTCTGTCCAATGATGTCAATTTAACCATTAATGATGACGATGATACACAATGAGACCACTGCCAGAAAATTGCGAACTCTAGGCTTAATTTTCACTGACCTATGAAAAGGGGGACATGGTGTAAGAATACACGGTGATTCAAAAGACGACTCAGTTCTGGTCAAGAAACGGCACTAGGGCCCATGTTTGTACTCCAGGCCCTGCAATTCCTTCCACCTGCTCTTTCTCTGTCTGTTCTCTCGCTGGCTGGCGGGAAATGATCGTAAAAAAGCACACGTTGCTTATGTTTGGGTAGGATTCTGCTATCCCAAGCAAATAACCAATTATTAGTCCTAAGTTTATACCATTGAAGACCGTCGATTTCCCTGGAAAGGGCACTATATAAATCCGAAATTTATAGAATAGACTTCAGTGAGAGATACAATCGACATTCAATGTGATTCATGTATTAACCTGAGTGACTTGAAGACTGCTTCCGCGGGCAGACCAGGTTAAAGTGTCAAAACTCGCTTTTGGTCCAGACATAACATTTACATTTTTAATCTCATGAACGAAGCATTTCAACTCGTGTCAGGCAGCTCGGGTGACACAGCCAATACACACATCTAGAAGGTAAGAAGTGTTTGTGCTTTGCCTGTGTCTTGAAAAAAAAAACGCATATCCAATGGAAGTGGACATTGACATCAGAGCTGTTTTGAGATCCTGGGGTCAAAATGCTGACCAACTAGCATTTGCGTTAACAGCAATGCTAAACGACACTCAACTTTTTTCACTTTACCTGGGAAGATTTACCGAGCTATACAGCTCTTTTCCAGGAGTGGCCTGGCCACAAACGATAGCTCAACCAAGTGGCGGCTTACCATCACGTGGACCATTTATAGCAGCCGAATACTCTGAACGCGGACGAACGTCACTTTTCGGCGAGTGTCCCCGGGGGAAAAGATCAAGGGCGAGACATCACCACGCGGCCAAAGGCCATTGACGCAGAGGAGGAAACAAAATACCTGAAACCGCCCAAGTTTGACGACGGGTTGGAGGCGCTCGTCGAAGCGAGCTTCAGACGGGCGCAACTGCACGCCCGCACTCGCTTGGGAATCTCGCCCTTGTACCGCCGCCACTGTGCAACAAAACCCGAGACAATCAGTTCGTTTAACACGGATTTCCAAGGGCCTCGCACGGACTGGGCGTTCGAAGGAATAATTCTCATGCGACGTACGAGGCCGTGTGCCGATGCCAACACACGCTCAAGATTACACTCACGGCATTGCCGTGCATCTCGGTGTGGATGTGGAGCTCTGTGCAGGCATGCAAAGTTGCTTAGCGTGCACTTGGGCAAATTTGTATCCAACTGATGTGTGGTCATTGGAGTTAATCAAATTGCACTTGGCAGTAAATGTTTGCCCGTTCTATATTAAGGCACACCTGGCATCGGCAAGGAATATATTACACACGCTGGGCAAGTGCTAAAATCCCAAACTGCAGCTTCCAATACGGCAGTCCACTTTGTATAATGTATCATAAACACACAATAAGCTGTAATCTCTTAATGGTAATGGAACAATATTAAACAGATACATTCAAGCCCTGTATTATACTCCAATTACATATGAAAACCAAATGTTTCTCTCTGGCAAGAAAAATCATTGCCTTGTATAGCCAACTTACGAATAACATACACTCTCACCGCCCATAAACATCCATATAAAAATAAAGCCTGATATACACGGAAGAAGAAATGCACTTACTTTCATTATCTGAAATACTGAATCGTTGTGAAAATTATCCAGACCAATACCTCCACATTCAACACCAACAGCCTGGAAATAAATAATAGGCACCGTTCAAGGCAGATATCAACAGGACAAAGATCGCATGAAGCATATTTTTGTTAAAACAGTAGACATGACTGATAATGTCTTTCCATTTGTTTAAATCACATTTAAATATTTTCAACTCTGTGCACGAGACCAAGCTTAACACGTAAACGTATTGGTGCACAATTCAGTATCAATCAGTGTGTGAAATCTAATACTGAAATGGAAAAAAAACACCATTAGTCTGTGTCAGCGCTTAGTGCATTTTTTCATACCACTGAAACACTGGCTCTTAATGTGCCTACGTCCATGAAGATAGTGCATCACATATACTAAAGTAAAGTGAGCAAGGGCGGAGATGTTAATGCATTGTGCTACGATTTAAGCGTTGCAGATTCAATCCGCGCTGTGCCTAACACCCATATCTTGTGGAATATCAACCTAGTTTGTGTCGTGCCTGGGTCAACTGAGCATAATGAGTAATGTCCCGTGTCAGCATCAACAACAGGGCGATAAAAGGCAACTGGGAAATGCTTAAATCTTCACTTAAAGCTTTCGTGACTGCAGGAATTCATATTCTTTGGGTCTTTCGGTAAAGCCACGTAAGTTAGAACACATAATACAAATAATATCGCAACACAAGCAATCGTCTTGCTTGTGTTGCGATCGAAACGTCGTGATAGTTAATATTTTTATTATTTGTTCTATCTACGTGGCTTTACCGAAAGACCCAACGAATGGGAATACGTAGATCTGGTCACAATAGCCCCTTGGGTGCCACGCTGTTCTTAATAGGTGCTTGCTAACAGCATCTGCCCCAAAGCTGTTATGCTAAACGGTGGATAAAACTAAATAAAGTTTTAAATCACTAAATATATTAATACACATGCACCTCTGATTAACACGGTTGATTACGCATTGTGTGAGAAGTTTAAAATACATACACACACAATATGAAATCAGATACATATCTTGACTGTAAAGCCACCTTGTCTTATAGTTTATGATTTTTAAAATAAATGTTAACCTGCCCACTGCTATGAAAATCTTAGCAGTCAAGTATTAGCTGCATTTTTGTCATTTATAACATAAATCACCTATTACCGAACTGTGAAAATATATAACAGTCAAAGGGGTTCAGCTAGCAGTTCGTCCTGGGGAAAAAAAGCGTAACAAATAACAAGCCGAGATCACATGACTTGTCAACAACAATCACACGCAAGATAAGGCACTGGTGTGGTTGGCATAATGCTTCGGTATCGTCACAGCTGTGCCAAGCTCCTCTGAATCTGCCCAACCTGTCAGTGCGATTGTGCAGTCACAGAGAGCACTTTCGCTGCCGTATCGGCTGGACGCTATAAAAAGAACAAGCAGCAGCATCCACAAAGAAGATTCGGCCAACCAGGGAAGAGAGAAAAATAAAAAAATGTACATGCATAGTAAAAATTCACACATAATGCTCTATTCAGCCGGTTTCTGCCGAAATACAAGAATGTGTCACTCTGCTGCAATAATTTTTTTGGTGTTGTTGGGGCAATGAAGGCAGCAGCCGCATGAACGTCATCAGCTGCCCGATTTATTTACAGCATCAACAGAACGTCCTTGGGATGCAAGGACATGCCATGTTTTTTAGAAAATTGCACTTCAGTCTCGCAAGACTGGCATGGTCATGATTTGCATTGCTTTTTACATTTTGCGCGTCTCAAAAACAGGCACAGAGGGCATGGCGGATTCTGATATTGGTGGAATTTCTTTTCTGCTTCATAAAAATAAACATTAATTGCATATTTGCATTATTTTAATGAACTAAAATGGCAGGTGTGTGCAAGCTATACATTCATAATAAACGTTTTTGGGTTAGATCGCGTTATTTATAAATGTGTTCCACCACCCGACACGGCCAATCAGTAAAAAAGTGTCACGTTGACAAAAGACAAATAGTTCACTACTTCAGCCCACCGGTGTGTTGAAGAGTGAATCCACAACATTTACAATTTTTGAGTACGATGTTTCGCTGGTAATTACATCCAGCAATATCAGGCAATTTTCCACTACTTTAGCCAGAATTCTGGCAAATTGCCCGATGATGCTGGATGTAATTACCAGCGAAACGTCGTACTCAACATTTTTTAAATGTTGTGGATTCACTCTTCAACACACCGGTGGGCTAAAGTAGTGAACTATTTGTCTTTTGTCAACGTGACACTTTTTTACTGATTGGCCGTGTCGGGTGGTGGAGGGTTACGACACATTTATAAATAACGCGATCTAACCCAAAAACGTCTATTATGAATAATATTGGTCCCGAAAGCCTACGTGTTAATAAGCTATACATTGTTTGCACAATATAATAAATCGAATTATATTTTCATTATTTCAGTATTAGGTTAATTATTTTAGTACTTGAAACACAGAAAGCTCCACAGAGATAAGTTTAGCAAGACCTAATTACGATGTATAAACCACAAAATGTAACATTGATCTTTTGATATCACCAATTGAGTTCATCTCACTTTGAAATTGTAAGTAAATTTCAACAGAGTGCATTAATTGCACGAATAAAATTAATGTGTTCTGCCCAACAAAATAATTTTCTAACAAAACATGTTTACAAATGGGAAGCACTATTCAATAACATGTTTTGTTTATCGAATTTGCTGTATTAAAAAATACTCAAAACTCTCCATTACTTCCAAAGCTACCGCATCCTATTGGACAAGGGCCTCCCCCTCACTTTTACTACGTGCTAATCTTTGTAAGCCACCCGCCCAGCTGCATAATCAAGAAAAGGGAATCGACTAATTCGGCTCAACTCCAACTTACAGGTGCGTACGGAGAAAGGGAATGAGCTCGGGGACGGCAGGCAGGAAGGAAAGGCAATCCAGCAGGGTCACCACTGGGAAGGGACGAGGCCGGTGGGGTTGGGGGCCGGTTGCAAGCTTGGTCGGGAAGCGCAGGCAGAAGAGACTCCTCTGCCGACGCTAGGGCGGGAGGGAAGGCAACACTTCCGAGTGCGGCATGCGGGAACGGGGTCGCGTTCTGCTGGCAGGATGGCGTGCCGGCTGGCGTAACGGCGGCGGCATTAGCGGCGGCGGCATTAGCGGCGGCGGCAGAAGTGGCGGCGGCGGGGAGGGGGAGGCCCGTGGTTTTGCTCGGCGATTCTGCGCCGCCTTGATCAGCGCCGCAAGTTTCCGAGACGCTGGCCGCGAGATCTTTCTGGCCATCGCCGTACGTCGCAGACGACACGGACGAGCTAGAACTGCACGAGTCCTGAAACAGGGTCCTCAGCTTCTCATCCAAGTCCTTAATATTACCAGCCTGGGTGGGCACCTTGGGGGTGTCCGGCTCAGATGTGGATGTGGACACTTCGCTATTGATTTGCTGCGACTCCACGGTCTGGGAGTTCACTTGAGCGACGTGCGTCTGCGCGTCGCCCGCGACAGCCGAGTACGAGATGCTCCCTGGGGAGACCATGGGGGAGTCGGCCGCTACCGGCAGCCCGGACTGGGGCGGCTGCACGGGTGCGCACGGCAACGTGGCGCTGCCCGGGGTTACGGCCAACATCAACGCGCACGGCTGGTGCTCAAGCGACGGGGATGGCTCGAAGCCAGAGGAGCTCACGGCTAAGAGGGGCGTCGCATTCAGTGCAGCGAAAGGGGCTTCCAAAACAGTAATGGCCAGGGACATGGGAACCTGCACGTGGGCGCTCGAGTGCTGCCGTGCGTGCTGCTGCTCTGCCGGCGGAGGAGCTACAGGGAGGGACGGGTCCGGAGCGCCGCACGCAACCGACGCGACACCGCCGCCGCCGCCGCCACCCCCCTCTGCCAGAGCGGCACATACTTCGGGCGACGGCATTTCTGCCACGCCGTCCGCGATCGACTCTCGGCAGACGGCGCTGGGAACGCTTATGAAAAGCTCGTGCGGTGCTGCGTCATTTTCTACGGAGGGGCTGGAGCGAAGGAGGAAGGGCGGGGGGCCGGCTTGGAAAGTCGGCGGTGCCGTGCTGGGGCTCTCGGACAGCTGGCAGCCCTTCCTCATCTCGTCGAACATCCGTTTCAAGCTGACGACCGAGTCCGAGTTGGACAGCCCCGCTCTGACATCGCTTCCTGCACGCGTGACAAAACAAGGATGAACGCAGTGTCGCTGTTCGTCATTTGCTCGAATTCAATTTCAAATCCTGGGGTTTTTTTTTTCACACGTACCAACATTTAAATTGTATGTTGCTGAATGTATATGTACGTACAATGTATTCAGCACTGTACAGAGCCAACTATGCTAATCGGAGGTGAGGCGGAAGGACAACAAACTAAACACAAAAATCAGTTCTAAAAAAATTAGTTAAGCCTATCAAATTACGCAAAAAGAGTGATGAAACTTGAACATGAAGCTAGGTCAACAGTAATTGATTCCATTATTTTGATATTCAAAGCAGAAGAAGAGTGTGTGGCCTCTCACGTGCACGCTAACACACTAATACAAATTTCATCAAAATGAATTTAATACATGAACAATAACTGTTCCCAATAAAACATTCAAAGCAGAGTCCAAATGTACGACCTTGGAGAAATACAGTGAAGCATTGCGGACTGATAGATAGACAATTTTTTAATTGGAGACAATATTTCATAAAACAGTAGGGCAGCAACATCATTATAGGAGCATGATTCACTCACCACCCCCTGGTATACTGATGAATGAATGAGTCAGCGATGACTCACTGTTTTCATTTGTAGCTTCAGGTACCCAGGGCTCTGTGGGAAATACATCTGTTGTCGAGTCGGTCTCAATGCCGATGTCTTCCAGCTGACTCTCAAGCACTGGGCTCACGATGAACTTGCGGCCTCCCGTGCGAACGACTGTGGAGCGTCTTGTGGCTTCTCCTTGAAGCAACAACAAAAATAAATGAGAAACACACTCATTGTATACTCACAAAGAGCATGAGCCGAGGCTCGCTGCGGCGCTAATTTGATATTCCCAATGTTAAATAAAGCATTTACACGGAATGCCTTGCAGACAAGGATGCTTGTAGCCATATGCGTCATTAAAAACCACCTCATGGGATCATGCGGCATGCGCAGGTTTTGGAAAGCCTTCTGAATTAGTGAATGCCTCTTAGCCCCCAAGTGTCAGATTAATGTATTTCATTTGCTAACGTGTTGCCGTTTGTTAAACTGGATATTCACCAATAACATGGTTGTCTTTTCGTTTTGGATTATATTAAGCTGTGAGATGTGACCATTTAGGCATGACTATAAAGGCTGACATTAACATGCAAATAATAAATCCTGCATGTTTACTTTATGCTGTCCGTCATGATCGCGGTTTCGGGTTCAATAAAGACATTATAAAAAAGATGGAAATAATTATTATTTTAATTGCAGGCTTTCATAACCAATATGATTATTCATAATTAGATAACAAAATGAAAATTAAACACCTATATGCATTCGTGGGCTCATCACACATAGTTAACCTATGTGTCCTACTCTAAGATGTATCTTTGTAAAAAAAACATTAACTGTATTACGAGATCTATTTTGGATAAAATAAAAAAAATCTCAAATTTAATATGTATATATAAATGATAGGAAATGCAAAACAACAGCTTATTTTAAGGCATGGAAATGAATTCAGAAAAGAAAATTGCAAAAATAAAGCCGACAATAGATTCACCTTTGGCATGGAATGGAACAAACTGGAGAAGATTGGATCCACACTTGGACAACTTCAGTTTTTAATGAGATTAGGTTTTAACTTTGTGATGGTACAGCAATGTTTGCAATACAAGTGATTCTGTAGTTGTTTTCTATTTAACGAGTCAGGAAATGTTGATGTGCATGGGATTCCTTCTGTATGAGCGTGTAAACAGCTGCGTTGATTCTGGTTATCCAGAGCAAAGTTTTGCTTACCACAGGTAAGTGAACCCGGAGTCTTCATTGACGAATGCTGCAAAAAAATGTCATACAGATGCCAATTTTTTTACTGCAAGGACAGCTCTTAGAGGTTCAGTGCAATTTGCTGAGTCAACTCTTGAATAATAATTTTTAAAAAATCTATTACACATTTTGCCAAGAGCAAAACCGGCAATTCGCCTTGCTAGCGCGATTCTGTTGTGTCGATTAAAAGATGCCAGTGTGCTCGAGCGAGGTTGCATGTTCCGCGCGCGCATTTACCTTGCACTGATGTTTGGTGGGCTCTTTTTCCCCATCGGCATTGGTGCCATCGAGACTCTCCGTGCAGTCTCCGTCGTTCACCGCCCAGATGTTCATCTCGTCAACCTTCTCCACAATATCTTTAATTTGCTCCGTGAAAATCTCCTTTTCCGAATCCAGTATGAAGTTGTTCACCACCTACGACATCGTATGAAATAGAATTACCTATTTGTAACGTGACATATGAATATGGAATAGTTTTTTCACGAACAAAGGTTTTCCTGTGGGCCTAGTAAATGAACCCAGCAGCAGCATACCCTGCATTTAACCATATACAAGAAATATTATTTCGTGAGACACAAAAACATTTACCAACTGACAACTACAGGTTGAAAACAGAACCCAACGATCATATTTAATGTTCATCATGTACATTTTACAAGCCCGAAGGAAATGTAATGCTGACGCATCCCTTAATTAAATTTAGAAAACATTACCGCGCTGTGAGGCGATGAGGGCGACAAATTGCCGCGTGCGAAGTCTACACATTAACGGTAAATTGTGTCCGCATTTAAGATGGCATACCATGTAATCCGCAATCTCCTCTGGGTCGTCATAATCTGGCTCAAATTGAAAGGTGACCGTCTTGTGGTTGTGCGTTTCCATTTGGCATTCAACGACCTTATCTCCCTCTTCTGAAACCTTCAGCGAAACAATGCAGAATGCGCGTGAGAAAGCAGCTTACAACCACAGTCCAAGCAAGCGGGGGCGGAGAGGACAAACCATTTAAAAAAAAAGCCATCGTGTAAGACGGCCAGCTGCTGGTTTTAAGGGCTACAGCAATGAGCTGGCAGCATTGAAATCCTGGGCTCGAATCCGATCAAGTTCTCGAGTGTAGTGAGTTTATTGTGTCAGCCCGAGATGACTGAACAAAAACATCACGTTAAGTATTTTTTTTCCTTCACTTTATTTGGATAATTCCAGCTATGAGCCTTGAAGTTCGATATTTAGAGTTGATAAGGAGGCCTAATTTGAAGTTATTTCAGAAGTAATTCTGTAACGTCTTCCGAAGCCATTCTCGGATGCAGAATGATACATTGTTAACTGCAAACACACCCACGGTGTGACACATTTCACCTGTGGCTACACCTAAGGTACGTGAGCTGTATAAAGCACTGTATCTCAGAGCTTTAAGTGTAAACATCTGCTTAACCGCTTCAGTCATTTTCAATATGGAACCAATTCCCATGACAAATAAATCACCGTATAAACAAGAGCATACAAATTCTATCTAATGAACACAAATACATTTAATATAGAGCTCAGCAGTTGGGACTGCCATCATCATAACCATGGATCATCTTTAAGAATTAATGACAATTTAAACGTGTGTGCATATAATACATGCAAACATAGCAACATAGAAAGCCTCTGCATTCAATCTTATCTCAAAATCCTACACAATAGGAGAGGAAGATCAGTTTAAGAGAGGAAGGAAACATATTTTCTTGGTTCTTTCGGTAAAGTCACGTAGAAGGGAAGTAATAAAATAATAAAACATAATAAAATAATATAATTCTCACGACGTTTCGGCTACAACGCAAGCAGCCGTCTTCAGGTGAAGAATGAGACACTGCCAAGCTTGGAGCTTATATATAAGCTGGGTTGGAGGTGGAAGAAGAGCGCCTTAACAAAAATAATGTGCACGCCTTTGTTAAGGCGCTCTTCTTCCACCTCCAACCCAGCTTATATATAAGCTCCAAGCTTGGCAGTGTCTCATTCTTCACCTGAAGACGGCTGCTTGCGTTGTGGCCGAAACGTCGTGAGAATTATTTTATTATGTTGTAGCCGAAGCGTCGTGAGAATTATTTTATTATGTTTTATTTTTATTATTTTATTACTTCCCTTCTACGTGACTTTACCGAAAGAACCAAGAAGATGAATCCCTGCAGTCACGAAAGCTTTAAATCGAGAAGGAAACGTAATCAATGGAATATAACTTCATAGCAACGGGTAACGAGGTGTACAACTTAAAATACACAACAGCAGCTGGTCACATACGGGTACGGAACTTTTAATAGAACCCTTCCTCCTTCATCTCACATTGAGAATGGTGACGCGTGGCTTGACAGACTTTTCCTGCCGGGACTTGCGATTGGACCTGCGAATTTTCCTCGAGTGTCTGCCGTCCGCTCTGCTGCTTCCGCCCGTCGCCTCGTTCTCGCTCAGCTCTTTGGCTGACGTGGCGTCGGAGGTCATGCTGGAGGAGAACACACAACAAGAGAGGGCCGGAAAAGGCTTTGAGAGCGCGATACTATTCACGTGCAGTGGTGTGTTTATCCGTTTGAGATTGCATTGATGGTTAATACCGACGACAGCCTTTTCTTAATCCACGACTGGATGAAATTAAGGCCGAGCCACCCTTTGTTGGTCGTGGGGTTTGTTTGACCATAAATGCACCAAGCTGGTCAGTGAGGGTCTTACTGGACATCTGTAAAAAAGAGCTGTATAATAGCTCATTGGATTCCTCCAGCATGAGTAAATATTCTGATTCTGGTTCTGAAAGGGGGTCCCCCCCCCCCCCTCCCTCAAGACACGGTTCAGATATCGCTCACCACTGATGTTAGGCATGACTCAAGAGTGAAACCCTGATAGCAGGGATCGAATTCTTACATCCGTAACAAATGCTATCTGTGTTATTAATAAACATTGGTGAAATATTAAAACATTTTATGCGATGCACTCCAATTCATACATTTCTCATGTGGTAAGATAAACGATACGCAAAAAAAAAGAAAGATTGCATGCAAAAAGAATTTCATTTGCAATCTGTGCATGCTGCTTAATGTGACCGTGTATAATTTAAAACTGTGACTTGTGTGAAAATTCTAATTACGCGTGGAATTTCCACAACACAAAAAAAATGTATAATCATGTTAAAGCAGTCTCAGGGATTAAGCTGAACGTGTGCAGACAATGGCAGCCACAAACAAATGTGGATCCACTTTTGGGAAAAATAATTACAAATCACATGCTTACCTCTCGTTCATGGTTAATCCTTGGGCGATCTGTGCTTCATTCATTTCACTTGGGTTATCGACACCAGAGTTGGACACCTATGAAAATGCATTGCCACCAGTTATTTTGTGGATGTTATTTCGTAGGTATATTCATTTCGTATAAACCAATAAAAGCATACGAATATAATCCTATAATCCCTGGCTCTCTTTCCAAATAACAACCAAAGGTTTGATGGGATTTTATTAATTGATCAAGCTCAGTGAGTTAATGCCACGTACACTACCCCAAAGCAATAACATAGTGATGTTAATATCCGAAAGAGATGAATAGCCGATGACTCACGTAATTAACAAGCAGAAATTCACACAAAGGCCAGACTTTCAGCGAAATGTCATTGAACAAAACGTGGCAATACGGTCAAGAACATGACAGATGCATCACATCAGTTTGATTGAATGGACAAGCTTTCCGACACCGGCAAAAAAAGTCACGGCACATCCAAATTGAATATGCTCTTCTGTAAAGTTCGGTAAAGGCTGGAATACATCATGACGCATGAATATCATTAAAAGCGAACGTTGCCCAAAAAGATCAAGGAGACATTTCTTACAATGACACGGTTAGTATCATAAACTAAACTATTAAACTCAACAATTTTTTCATTTTACCAGGTAAGTCCCACTGAGTTATACAGCTCTTATTCAGAAGCAACCTGGCCACAAATGATAGCTGAACGAAGTGGCTCATCACGTGGAAATTTGTATCAGCCATCTAACCTATAAAACGCATATAAATGAGGGAAAAACCGGACGACCAGGAAAAAAATCCACGCGACCACGGCGAGAGAGATACATGCAACTCAAAATATACAACAGGCGGCAGGGTCGGGATCGAACCCACGACCTCCTTCATACCCGACGAGGTAGTTAACATCTCGCTACCAGTGGCACGCCCCTAAGAATAAATGCGAGTCGATTCAACCTCTGTGCAAACGTACCTCTTCTTGTACCTGTCGTTGAGGCTGGGCGGGAAGGCTCCGTGTGGGGTCGTGCTCCTGACCACTCGGCATGGGGTATGAGGGCGCCACGTCCGTCGCGCTCTGCACGGGGACGTCCAGAGTTGTGTCACGAAACTGCATCGTCTCAGGAGGCGCCACACCTCCCGTGCCAACGGCGGATGCAGGATCGATGCCAGCAGTCGCTTTTGACTGAATCTCAGGGCAGACTTCGAGAGCCGTTGGCAGCGAAGGTGAAATCACGGTCTGTGGGCAGATCGCAAGCAGCAACGACATTTTTGTGGTGAAACAAACGGTCAGTAATTTTGTCCAATGAATCGACACACACAAATGCATGTGCTCTTGACACTTATATTCATATATACGCACGAGGCCTATACAGAAATCAATCCTATCACATCTTGAAATCTAAGCAGGGTTTGGATGGGTAACCATCATGCATAACAAATATCTATGCTGTCTGCCATCACCAACCCACATTTTGCATATGGGTAAGTAAAGTCAAAAGTCAAGTCTCTACCCACATTGAAAACAGCATTGGGCACTTCTTAACGTCATCAGCAGACCTGCGCGAATTATCAAAATTCTACTTTTCTATTAGAGTGACCAGCAGCACAACCATTGCAGACATTCTATAAAATGGTGCATATTTTATAACAATTGCTTATTATAACTGTAACAAAGCAAATGAAAAAAACACTGACAACATTCGTCATTAAACACCTCTGGGGTGAAGCAGTGGCACAGTGATTCGCACGCTGATTCTAGGAGGTCATGGCGAACATAAGTAATGAGAGGACACCTGAACCAGTTCTGCAGTCAACCCTTCACCTACTCCAACTGACCACGGTAGTGAAGTACGGTCAAACAATTCCAATGAGCAACACGGCATGGGGAGGCCTTCATCCAACAGTGCACTGACAAACAAATTGTTCACCTGCGTCTGCGTGTCAATAGAGACCATCAGTTGATCTGCGAGTGGCGCTTGCATAGTCTGCGCAGTTCGAGGAACCGACGGCATCCAATGAAGTTGGCCGGTGTCGGTGGCCGGTGGCGGCAGCGGCAGCGGAGGAGGAGGGTGCGATGAGGGGCAGTGCGGCCGAAGAGCCGGGTCGGCGAGTCCAACGGCGCACTGCACCGGAGTGTCCTGCCCCGCGGCGGTAGCGACGCCGCTCGACGTCGCGAGTCGAGCGGGGGTCATGGAGGCATCGCTGGCGCTCAGCTGGGCAGCGCTCGCCTGGGGGCAACGCAGGCCGAGTGTTAGAGATTCAGCGAGCGAACACAATGGCTCCAGTGCCATGAAATGTCATGACGGTAATTCACATTTGTAATGCACATTTCATCCGTAACAATGATTAAATACGACAATGACTGCTATTTTAATTTTACCAGGTAAGGCTCACTGAGCTATACAGATATTTTTCAGAAGCGACCTGGCCACGTTTGCAATGACCACAATACCTGCAGTCATAATGCAAACAAAAAACATAACTCTGATAATGTATGCACTGTCCTTGAAGTTGATTGGTCCACACCCGAGACAGCTTTCCTTAGAGCCTAGTCTCACATGGTGTTGGACCAGATGACGCCAAAAGGCGCACAACTCAAAGACAATGCACCGTCAGAGTTGAGAGCTTGGGGTAAGCATTTACACCATTGGAACCTCATTTGCCAGTAAAAAATATGATAATTGTTTTTTTACCATTTTATCTGGCAACAAGGAGGGAAAAACTGGCGTTAGTTACTACTTCAGCCCACCAGTGTGTTGGAGAGTAAATCCACAACATTTACAATTTGAGTAGTTCGACATTTCGCTGGTAACTACATCCAGCATCCACAACTTTACTGGCTGTGTTGGGTGGTGGAGGGTTACAAGACATTTATACTTACACGATCTATTACAAAAACCTTTATTATAAATAATATTGGTCACGAAAGCCTATCAATTAAACAGAGTGAACCAAGTCATTTATCCCCCATGCTTGTATCCTGTCACAGATAATGGAAATTGGGCAAAGTCCATAACCCAAAACTAGATATGTTATAACACATAATGATCACCGTAATTATATTAATAGGTAACATATTGCCTGCCATAAAAAAACTGAAAATATCCTCGTGTTAAGATGTACGAAAGTACAACTAACAATGTCACCACTATAACGGTTACGCATGGAGAAGTTCTACAGGCTGTCCTTACACTCAGGTCATGCAGACAAAGTGGGACTGGGGAACACACCGTTCAGACCGTTACAGACAGTCATGTGCAGTTCAGTTCCTACCGGAGATATTGTCCAATTAAATTACTCAATAGATTTGTTCTTTGTAATCTCCAATGAACCAAAAAATCGTGAAATAAACAATCTGTTTTTTTAATGGCAGTTCCATGAGAGCTCAGTTAGAACATAATTACCCAAAAGAATCCATGATGCAATGCATTTGACATTTCATACGTTGAATACATTAACATCTGCAGGCCCTTTCATGCACGCCATAATAAATTAATGGCTATGTGATTGTTTGAACACTTAAATCTGTCCACATCACCATTACATTTCTAGTTTTTCATTCTATAACGTAACCAACAAAATAAAATAACAAGCATTCAAAGTCAGGCTCCAAAAAAATTTTGACTGGCAATCACTCGTGTTGGCTTGCATTAAAAAGCTCTTTAAGCGAGTCACAGGATAAACAATCCAATTCCACCTGCATGACCCCAGAGAACGTGGGCAGTGGTGGGGTGAGAACAGCAGAGACATCCAAAGAGACAAGACCCACATGCTGGCTTGGGGCCATGGCTTCTGCATTTTGCTTTGAAGGGGGGAAAACCAAACGAGAGCACACCTAAGGCCACACCGCGTTCACAAGTCACACTCACCATTCGAGGAGTGCATTTGTACACTCGCAAAAACAGAGGGAAAGACTAATATCACGCGGTTTGTAAATCGATTGTTTCAAGTTGCACACGACACTACATTACCACCGGCTGACTCACGCCGCTCATCTCTCCCCCTCCCAGCTGCTCCCCTAGTGTCTGCTCCGACATTGTCACTGGCTGACTGGCGCAGCCTCTCCTCCTCCTCCTCCTCCTCCCAGCTCTCGTCCCCTGCCCACTCTCTCACTTTGGAAACCCTTAGAAGCAGTTGCATTTGGAGGCTTGCCCCCTCTGTTCTCTCCGCCTGGTGAAGACCGCTTGTGTTGCGATCGAAACGTCGTGGGTTTTTTGCTTTTTATTATTTTCAATTTCTTATTTTTAATGTAAATTTAATTCTTTTTATTTTCTATCTACGTGACTTTACCGAAAGAACCAAGAATATTTGCACACGACAGTTTTCGGTTGGATGGAACTCGCTTTGAGAGTGGTTTCTTTCGGTACATTAAACTCCAAGTCAACACATAATATCACGTATTCATGATATTTAGAAATCATCGGTTTACAAAATAACGTTAATTAAAGTGCAGAGGGGGTACTTCAGAGAAAGATGTACTGAAGCATTCAAGCTGTCACTTTAGATTTTTTGAAAAATTATCCTTCATTAATCTTCAAATTCATTTCAGACTGTTGGAACATACAACCTTGGTGCAAACCTTTACATAAGGCTTATTTGTTGACTGGGTTTTGTCTTCCTTTACACATTGCAATGCATATTCACAGTAGGTTTGAAAATATCATCATGGCCAAATGCCACCAACGGCTCACACCTTACCACCATTACATTATCTCTTCTGTCAAATCCCACAACTTTTGCCAATTCATTTCTGGGTGGAGGAGTAGGGGGGGGCGAGGTGTGCTTAAATCTCACGTTATAAAGTGCAGGAGACCAAGCAAGCGTGCATACCTCTTGTGGCTGAGTGCACACGTAGATCTGTGACGTGTGATCAGGCTGCACATCTTGCTGCTGCATGTAGGCCGCTGCTGCCTGCACCGCCGACTGCGCCGCTTGCTGGAGTCCATTAAATGCTCCCTGCTGACAAGGCGGCGGTGGCTGTTGCTGCTGCTGTTGCTGCTGCTGCTGGAGAGACTGCACTGGCACCTGCTGCAAAAGGTCAATTCCGTGAGCACGAGAACATTATTAGCGGCCTGGAGGCAAGGTCAAGTTAAGAGCTCAGTGGGCTTTACCTGGTAAAATAAACATCGATAGATATTCCTACACTTTGCACCCCTATCGTGTTTTCGTATTGTTTGTCGTCGTAACTTTATGATCCGCCCAGACTGGACATCTGTGAAAAAGAGCTTCGAAGCTCAACAGATTTCTCCCGTGTCAATATTCTTCTTCTGAAGTAGTTTTTTTATTACGAGACGCTATTAAGCTTTGGCCCGGAATGCAAACGTGCTCAACGCACAACGCAGATGGGTGAATTGTTCACGACGAATAAAACGACGACGACATGAAACACAGACACATTTTTGGCAATAATGCTCCCTGCTTGTGAGCGCTGAGTACAGAATAATGCATTGTTGTCATATAAACCCGGGTAATAGAGTAATGCTTAAGTGCAGCTTCTACGGATGGCAAGTTTCCAAATGTTACTAATAATGTTTCAGCTCTCCCCATGCCGTGCAGGTCATCTACCCCACATTTCAGTGTGGGTTGGTGAAGGGGGCTTCCAGTACTGTTTCAGATATCACTTGCCACTAATGTAGCTGGAAAGCAGACCCAAGTCGTTGTGTTAATGAACGTAGACATGGAATATGGATTTATAGACAGTATGTATACATCTGCAACGTAGCAATGCATTTATAATATATATTTTAAAGCAATTGGCAATGTTTCGGTTCCTGAAGTATATTCAAGTAATTTCAGACGAGATGCCTTTTATTGATAGTACTATGAAGGCCAATTCATATGTTAAAAACCTGAAATTTGGAAAATTGGAACTCGGCACTAAAAACAGTGGGATTTCGTTAAATAGACTTGACTCACTGCTGCTAGTCGCTGTGACATCAAATAAAACAAATTCAGAACGCTCTAATGAGCAAAAAATGTTTGTGTGTAACGCGCGTGATGTCACTCCATGTCTACCAGCCCCCCTCATTAATAATCATGAGCAGGTGACGTCACTCCACATGGGGGGGGGGGGGGGGTGAGGCGCCTCCTCCCCTCTCCTCAACGTCAACTCACAACCCTCACTACAAACACAGAACCCTCACGTCACGCGATCTCCGTAACGCTGTTGAGACAGAGGTAAAAAGGACGTCATGATGATGAACAAGGGATGAAAACCTTTAAATGAAATAAGTCTGTCACCACGGCCTTACAAATTGCACACTAATGGATGCAATGAATATGACGTCGCAGTCTGCTTTTCGCTTGAATATTTCAGATTTACTGCAATACACCCGTCCTTGGAGGGGCTATAGACTAGTTACAATATATTCTGCTTTATAAAGCCATTGTAGGAAAGACATGTCCTTGAATTTGCATAAAACGTAAGCATTTAAAAAAATCACAATATTAGCATCGTCAAATTGTACAGCTTTCTTGAGACCAATCTTTAAAATGCATTTTTTTTTACATCCACCCAAAACCATAGGAAAAAAACAGCTTTGGTCTTTTTAATCAAAGGTCACTTATTACCATCATAAATATTATATTCTTGGTTCTTTCGGTAAAGTCAGGTATTTACATTTTTATTTTATTATTTTATTATTTCCCTTCTACGTGGTGACTTTACCGAAAGAACCAGGAATATGAATCCCTGCAGTCACGAAAGCTTTAAATAAAAATCATATATATTATTACATTATCCTGTGTAACGTAATGTGGAATTAATATCTACCTGTTGAGGGTGAGCCATGTAGTAACAATTTCCATACTAAAAGGAAACAAATCCAAGATAATCATTCAGCGAGGGAACAATGTACATAGACATACGATGCACCGCATTAATGCCATCGTTTAAACGACAAAAATCGAAGTGGATAATGCAGAGCATCGCATATGTGGTCATGGAGAGGGCAGGGTTACACAGACATGGATGCATCGGATTGTTCACAATGTTCCAGCAACCTAAGAGGCCGGATAGCCACCTCCCTTTCGATTGCTGCAGGCCTCTCTGTGCAGCATGCCATGCAATTTGTATCGCGGTTCTGCGACAAGGCCACACCAGAGCGATAAGTGATGAATGCCAAAAAACTGTACTCAACTTTGGCCATGAAACACTTATGGTTACTTGGAAGGACAAAGTGATGGTGTCCCCTTCGACTCCAGAAACTGAATTTAATCTATTAAAGGGATTATTTGCCAGCATGCACAACCCGAGATCGGACATCTCAATTACGTTAATGTCCCAGAGATGGCATATTGTCAAACACTGCGGAAAGGAAAGTTTGTATTCTAATCATCCAACGCAAATAACAATTGCATGTATTTCGTACGGTATTTGGGAAGATGTTCATTTATTAATTTTAAATTGTGAAATACAGTAAACCTTGGATTGCGAGTAACTTGTTCTGTAAGTGTTTTGCAAGAGGAGCAATTTTTTAAAATAAATATTAATTTGATAAACGAGCGAGGTCTTGCAATAAGAGTAGTACGTGTATACGCTTTGTCTGCCGAGCGTCACGTGATCACAACTGATATACGAGTGCTTTGATATACGAGTGCTTTGAATTACAAACACGTTTCCAGAACGAATTATGCTCGCAATCCAAGGTTTTACTGTACACAGACATGAAGATTCCCCTTCCTATTTCATAGACTGGTCAGGGGTGATATGGCCAGCAACGTGGCCACCTGCCATTGTCCCCCCTCGATGATAACGTTCACATACTGTCACCAGGAACTTATTTAAAACCGAGTTGGCCGAGAGGAGACGCAGGGCAGGTTCTAATGCCACTTTCTACTGACATTAACCATGGCCGGGAAATTAACTCAGGCCACCGGATTCAGAGAGGAGTGCAATCAACAACGATGCACCAATTTCTACTAGACAAGCAAACCCACACACGCACGCCCTTATGAGGCTGCAACATATAAGTATCTAATCTGGCCGCACAGTTTGAATCATACCGCAAGTCAATTAAATCGCAACCCACAATTTTTACCTTACTACAAAAATGCATTGTTTTCCTTTCACTTTAATACTGAAAATTACAGGAGCTGCCAGTACAACGTGCGTGGTCCGGAAAAGGATAACGAGAAAAAACAAAGCTAACCTGTTGACCATGCTGACAAGGTGCTTGCTGCAGGGGAGGCTGATCTGATTGGAAAGGTTGTGCATATGGCTGGGGCAGACAGCATGTCTGCAAAAGACCTGGAGACTGTTGGCAAAAAATAAGCGCCGATAAATCACAACGACCTTGCATCGAATTAATTTATATTCTATAAAAATAATATCTAAGACAATCAAAGCACACGCTATCATGTGGAAATACAGTTGGGAGTGGCACCGTAATAGTGGTGCAATATATATTGTATCACACGGTGATTTTCAATAACCATTGATGTGTTAGCATCTGAACTAACGTATTCTCCAAAATTAGCACCACCACATTAAATTGAACTCTGCAACTTGCATCACTTACTGATCGAGACCAAAATATATAGAGCAACAATAAGCAACGAAACAAATCTTTAAGACATTCAAAGAGATATTAAAGAGAAGAAAAAATGTAGCACGCAAACAAAAGCAGTGTTACTGTCAATGACACGTATCACTTAAAATACTTAAGTATTTACCTTGGATACCGGAAGGAAAAAAGTGGGAAAACCGTAAAAGTTGTCAGGAGCAGCAACAGGTGGGTGGAGGTGAGGGAAACCGCTGGGATGACCGAGCAGCATTGTCTGCTGCACGTAAGACGGCCCAGGCATGCCGACCTGAGCCTGGTAAGCCTGGGAGAAATTGTCCAGCGTGGAGCACCGGTGCAAACTTTTGGAAGCAGACCAGGGGTCATTGAAGGTGGCGCACGGGAAGTACGGAGGGTATGACTGCACAAGCGGGTTCGGTTGAAGCTGGTAACCATGCATCGGGACGTAGGAGGGCTCTGCGGGGTACTCGGGCATAGGACACCTCCTGTAGTCGCCCTCCTGTGTCCTGTCCCCAACGTCGCAAGTTCTGGGGTCTGACCCACCACCCGGCAGGTGGGGGGAGGTGGTCAGCCCGTGATCGGTCACCACCACTTGTGGCCTCTCGACCAGCTCAAACTCCTCCACCTCCGAGTACACGTCTTCCGTCTCATCGTCGGAGTCGTCCGTGGGGCTAGGGAAGGTGAACACCGAGAAGCTGCCCACAGAGCCGTCGCAGCTCAGCAGGTACAGGGGGGATGTGAAGGGAGTCGAAAGCTGCGCGCCACCTACCGCTTGCGAACCGTCCGCGCCACCTACCGCTAGCAAACCGTCCTTGGTCGTGGCGCCGTCGAGTGCTCCGCCGCTGGCCGGGGCAGCCGACGACGCGGCATTGCCCGGCGGCTCGGGCTGGGGCGGCTGGCGCGCCGCTCTCCCGGCAGCCTCCCAGTGCTCCACCCGAGAGGGTTGGTATCTCACCTCGACCGCCGGCTGCACCGCAATGGGGGGTCCATGCCGCTCGGAACACGGGGCAGCGGGGGCCGAGTGGGGGACCGACTTGATGGGCGGGGCGACCGAGCATTGTCCGGTGGCCAAATTCAGGGAGTCGAGGGTGGCGCTCGTGGGATGGCAATAGCAGGCGCCGGCTTGTGGAGACGGGCAGTAAGGGACGCGGCACACATGCATGGCTTGCTGCGTGCTGACCAGGAGGAAGGGGGAAGCAGGGGGAACTCCGTAGGCCATGCCGTGGACACCCGGGACAGGCTGCATGACGAGCTTTTGCGCCGGAGGAAGGACGTGGTATACGAGCGGGTACGGAAAGCTCTGCAACGACGGCGGCAGAAGCTGAGTGGCACCGCCGTCGGACGAGCCGGCGGTGCCGGAAAACTGCTGCCGCAACGGAGCACTTGGAGGGCTTCCAGACAACCTGTCCGATGGCGGGTGGGCGTATATGGACGGAGGCGGGTAACGATGCCCCGGAGCGGCTCCGCACCGCACCGGGGTCGGGTGAGGGAAGGGCTCGTCCGGCTGGCCATGAGCGGCGAAGGCGTAACAGCCGCAGTCGGGAGGATGGCCCAAGGGATTCTGCCTGCCCCGCGCACCGTGCCGGTCGTGCGCGTAGGGTGGTGGCTCGCTGGATGATCGCTGAGCGGCGAGGCGCTGCATGGTAGCCAGCGACAGCGCGACAGCCTGCGAGTAGCAGTGCCTAGCTCCCCGCGACAGGGCGCGGCTAACAGCCCGGCGGATGGGGCGAAAATGCTGCGCTGGTGCCTCGAGGACTGATGTGCTTCCGCGTCTCTGCAAGTGATGGTCTATAGGAAGAAAGCCAAGCTGGGAGGAGGAGGAGGAGCGACGTGGAGGAGGTATTTCAAGAGAGGCTAGCCGAGCCGCGTCCTCAAGCCGCTAACAAGTGTTGGGGGGGGACAGGAGGACCGAAATATGGGAGGCGAAAAGAGAAAATGATATAATGCACACAACGCCAAAAAAGAAAGTGTTAAATTTAAACCGCACGTAACATCCGGCCAAGGAAGCCTGCACAGCCCTGCTGACATTGTGATAAATAATACGGAGGCGTATCGATTCAAAATTTAAAGGAGTGTTCACAGGCTACATTCTGAATATGGTGGGCCGAGTGCGGTAACATTCACTCAACCAAAGCAAAATGAAAAATAAAAATGCATAAGAAATAAAATTACAATTTATGCATATATAAAACATAGTGTTTAAAAACCACCTCAATAAATCATAAATATATGATATTGCTTTGTTCACGAAATTATACAATCACAATTTTTATTTATTTATTATACTGCACACAAATGTACTTGTGAAATTAAAAACCCTTTGCCAAGTGACGAGGTAGCAATTGCCACACGACTGTACAAGCTATAAATGTAGGAAGCTTCGTGAATGTTTAATATGCTTGGGCAGATAAATTGCCATTAAGTTTATATTATTGGTGCAATAACACGTCACGGCATTTTTCGTACAGACATTTAAATGTAAGGAAAATACCACCCCAATAGAGACCTCCCCGCCTGTCCGTAAAAGCAGTGGCGATTGCAATACAAGTGTGTACAGTGTGGTCTACCAATGAATACTAATACCTGGGCTGAGACACCAAGTCAGACTGACCATTACAAATTCTGCACGGTAATCGTTACCAGACTGCAGTCATGGCCCATAGTCTGGGCCATATAATCTAATGACTGCCACGCGTGTAAAACTGATGACTTTCCTTTTTTCCTCATGCACATAATGCATTTTAATCGGCACGACAACAAAACAGAAGCCTACAGTCATGCACGTGCCAAGGGACCAAAAAAGAAAACGTGCTAGACACCACTGAGCACTATTTTTTTCAACCTTGTCATCGTCCCATGTATAGATGTGAAAGTCTACCATGATAATGAATTTGGGGAGTGGTGGCAGAGTGATTGGCAGACTGCACTACAACACCGTCAATCTGAGTTCCATGTATGGCCAAGGCGAACAGCAACGGCGATTGATATCGAAAAGGCTGTGGGCACTCTTCCCCCCACTCACCAACCCTCAATGGCCAGCATAGGTGAAGTATAGTCAAACAAGTCTCATGACTGGCACAATATTCTGTTGATTATAGGCTAAAAGTAATCATTCTATTTAAAAAATACAAGTATAATATTTAATATCACTAATAACCCATATCATGAGAATGTGATTGGAATATTATGCCGAGTAATTTATAGTGAATGCGTGGTCAGTCATGGGAGGGGGGTAGTTATATTTCACCACACTAGTCAGTGTGGGTTGGTGAAGAGGGGGGGAGAGGTGGTTCGTAGCGCAGTGCGCTGACCATTCCACCGCCACTCCCTCCTCCAACACCCCAATGCGGTGTGTGGCTTCTATGTGAATTCATCCCCATCTATTATAAAACAGCGATGCCAAATGTCAACGCAGAGAAACAGAAATTCCAAGCGCAAACGCTCGCCCGGTCTTTCGTGAATTCCAAAGCCAAAATTTCTGCATTAGTGCGCAATATGCATGCAAGCGTGCACGCTCTGCGCTGCGCGTCTGCATTGACAGACGGATGCAATGTTCCTAAACAATTCAACAGGGGGAGAATGCGCAGAACAAAACCCCTTCATTTAAATCAGAAGCACCCTGGTGCGTGCATACAGTGCATAGCCAAAAGCCTTTTCACTTGCGGGCAAGGAGACATTTTATTGTCATACAGGGATATTGTAACAGGTCCAAAACCCCTGCAATGCTGGCTGTTTAATGCTTAAAAATGCACGATGCTAATTTTCAAACTAACACGGCCAATAAAAGGAGCAAGAGGTAATTTTGGAGTAAGAATGACTAGCTACTGTAATCCCCTCTAGCGAAGCTGTCAGCATTGCCGCAGCCTTTGTCCAAAAGCAGCTCTGCTCCACAACCCCACGGTACTCGTTTACCAGATGAGCGAGTGCAGAGTCGACAATTAGGCCAGGAAAGAAGAGCAAGTGCGCAGAGGCACGTACGTGTGCATCACCGTCATCGCCTTTGTGAATGCGCAAGTAAAACGCTCAGGAGTAAAGCCAATCTAATTTTAATGGATAAATCGCTGGTGGCAGGCGAGGTGGTGAACGCAGGAAAGGGGTTGCAGAACGGTAAGGTTCGTGTCCCCGATTGTGCAAGCTCAGCAGAAAACGCCGCACTCCTTTAACATTGCTCCAAGGTCAAGTGAGATCCACGCTGCAGCAAAGGACTAATTGGAAGGCACAGCGAACGGTGCTGTGGGATAATTGACATGCGTATGCCAACAGGGCAGCAGTGCTTCCGAGCGCAAAGAGTATGGAGATTTAAGGACAGCGAGGTTCAAGATGATTGTCGCACGAGACGGGGTTTCCAAATGAGTTACCACTGAGATTGTGCCACAATGCATGCGCTTTGCACGCAGCTATATTCAGCTACATGCTTCCATACGCTGGTTACAATATTAGTGACGCTAATTCGAACCCTTACTCTGCCAAAACATATAAGACATGCTGTCATTCACGAACACGAGTCTCTCGACTGAGATAATAAATCAGCACTTTTGTCAATCCACTGTTAGATGAAGCTCTGCACACATCGTGTTAGAAAGAGGCTTTTTTCCCAACATATTTCACAATATTGCTCAAAGCGGGCTGGTTAAGGATGCAGGATCCATTCAGATATCACTCGGCACTGATGTTAGCCTTGAGCCAGGATCAAACTCAGGGGTCCATAGTGCAGTGCACGCTAACTAGTGGACCACCGCTCCCCTCCTCTATTTGCGTTAGATGTAAATAATTATTCAACTATGAACACAACATTTGTAAATCACGACCCAGGGGACTCAACTAAGCAATATCGCTTGACATTTTTAGTCAAGCGGCGCAAATGACAGATTCTGGGGGTCACAGGGGACTAATATCCCAACAGAGCAATGAGCCAGCACCTTGCTTTGGATCTTGGGTTAAGCCTTCTGTGATTAGACCAGGATCGTATGTATGCATTTATGTTGGACTTCTTTAGCACCGTACGTAGCCACACCATGCTAATGGGAGGTGCGGTTCGAGTGTCGCAAGCTGATGATCTCAGTGCAAAAAAACACATTGGAATATTACATTTGGCATTTTGCTTCATTTGGCATGAGGTTTATTAAAGTAACTTGATAAGTAGTTCCGCGACATTAACCTCCGAGGACTTTTCCCGACAAACGGTTGGTGACACTGCTAGATTGCAAGAGTTAAAAATGCAAAAATAATCTCATGAGATGATGCGAAAAATACAATTTAAAAATAAGCAAGGGCAAATGTAAAAACAGACGAATAAACGAGAACACTAACGCTCTCTCACCTGAAGACGATTGCTTGTGTTGCGATCGAAACGTCGTGATTTTTTCTAATTTTTTTTTATCTACGCGACTTTACCGAAAGACCCAAAGGGTATATAAATTACTGCAGTCATGAAAAGCTTCAGGTCAAGATTTCACACTAATGGTATGAAATTGTTCTCCAAAGTTGCCAGTGACAAAAGTCAAGAAAATGTTAGCCACAATTTTTTTTTTACAAATTGTAATCTATATTAAAAAAAGACCTTCCATAGTGGTAAAATTCAGCACACTGCACACATTATAAATCAACACTGCAGTATTAAGTTACGCACGTATGTGCCGAGTTTTGACAACTGCAGTGCACAGACGACACTATTCTTGGCGTCCAAAAGCCCTTTCTGAAGTGCAGTCACGTCCTTTGCCGTCACATCGCAAACCGGCACTGGATGACCGAGTGCCTTGGCCGCTTGTAGAAACGTACAATCGTCAAAACAATTATTATACTTAACACACAGATGAATACAAAATGTTTGTGTTACATCAATGTGGGCACACTTGCATGCCGACATAACCGTGGCTACTGTGGGAAAAGTTCCTTACAATTTAACATCATGTGGAGGTTGCTCAGAGGTCATAGGAATTATCTTGCACCGATGAGAGTCGGCGTTTGAATCCTGGGCGTGCGCCTGCGATTAAAACGGGGTTCCCAAGTTGAGCGAGTCGATAAGTATTAGTCTGGTCACGAATTAATTGCAAGAAACAAAATCAGCACACCAAATGTGGTTTCTGCATTTCATTTGGCTAAACTCCAGGTGTGAGGATTACAAGCGTTGGTCTGATTGTCACACAACAGACGTTTACTCTCGTTCGACAGGACAAGTGGGAAAAAGATCCACCCCCTGTGTGGACCAGCAATCTACGTAAGTCATCTCAGAGATAGCGTTGGGGCTGTTCCTCTCACCGACAAGGGGTGCGCAAAACTTCGCAAGATATATTAATCGAAACCCCATCTCGTGACGTGCCACAAAATTGGGGGAGAAATCACGTGAATAGAGCGGTGACAGCACATAAATGTGCACCCGGTGCCGTGCGTGAATGGAAACTGGCATAAAAAACGTGGAAAAGACGCGAGCCGACCACAGAGGGCTTTACAAATTACCATGCATCTGCTCGTTGGGGGCTGACGCGGATTGCCGCCACGTAATAACACAAAGCAGACCCATCTGTTCTAGATCAGCAGGCCTTAAAAGCGCACACAAAGTGGGTGTCGTCTTTAAAGGCACGGCTGTGACCTATATAACTTGAACTCCCCAGGGTCTCCCCTTACCCTCATCCCCAGACGTTGCCCCCCCCCTCAACTCCCTTGCACTTTTGTAACCGAGGTCCAAATGAAAAACATGCACGACTCTTGGCCGTGTTACACTGCAAATTACACTTCCACCAGCGCTTCACATCGAAGGCGCTGCATCGGAGATGTCATCCGTGCCATTGTGCGTGCACGGCCGTTTCTCTATGGCAACGCAACATTCGACTTGCTCTCGTGTCCAGGCAACGGCTTTTTTTTCTCTTCTCAATGCGCCTATATAACCTTCAATCACTTGCCGAGGCACAGATAACATTGCGTGCGTTCGCGTAAAATGCCAGCCGGATCACAGTGCCAGCCATTCATTGACTAAAAAAAAGGACAGTCATGGCAAGCCGTTGCCAAGCCTCGGCTCGGCTCGACAATTTAAGCAGCGATTACGTTGTTTCACATTTACTGTGTAAAAAAAATATACATAAACCCCGTTTTTCATTGGAATACATTCTGCAGAAGCTCTCAAGCATTGCAAAATATTTATGGTCAACATTGGGATCGAATTACAGAGCACAAAGTAAATTTCTGACCCAACAGGCCAGACAGTAAAACGAATGATTCAACCTGTTTCAGAGCAGGGGTGAAGTTATTCACCCTGTCAGCACTTCAACGGATTGTCACGATTCAGGGTTATTATTTGATTCAAGAGCCAATGACTATTTTATACTTTTCGTTGTGCATATAGTAGCAGTGGCTGCAGTGGTGAAGAAAACCAATTTACACACCACATATGTTCATCTAAAAACATAAGATTCTTAAACATGTGATTCGCTATACGTATCTTGAGATTCAATACAATATTCATCGATGAATTGATGCACATTTTGAAACCGACATTGCAGCGTAAGGGAAGCGTGCCTAATTATAATTTATAAATAGTTTATGGAAAAAAAGGTCAGTGCATATAGATGAGTGCAAACCACGGCAAAATTATGCAGCGATGACTCATGTGAGAGCAAACAACGTCATATCTACTGCATTCATTTTATTTTAACATTAATTATCTCTGTTCAACTGTGTAGGTTATCCTACGAATGTTCTCTGTCATAGTAATGCGGAGTTTCCACCACTGGGCATGGGAGCCATAGATAGCAGAGAAAAAAAGGGCTGCGATTTTTGTGACCTACGTTCCAAATAAGAATGACTCAAGTTCTTTTGACGCCTACCTCGGCACACAAAAATATAGTTTCATACACTTCAAATATACATTCCAGCCCTGTAATAGTACACGGTGTCGTGTTTGGTAAAGATATTATGGGTGCACACAGCCCTTACATAAGGTCACTTAAGGTTAAACCTAGTTATAGCATGTGATATGCCCGAAGTGTGCTTAATGCCACGCTCATTAGGCTAGTGTGCAGGCTGTATAGCCCTTAGCAGCACTTGCTCAAATCATGTTGCAATCCAAACACGTCCGTTACAGAACCCGTCTCAGTCGGCTCCAACCTGACTTACACTCGGAGCAAGTTAATACAAAACTCTTTCATCGAATGGTGACGCCACATTGTGAGAATTCATCCAAATGTTAAGGGAACGCGTAGTTCAGGATAAGAATCGTTATTTATCCTGGATAAATCTCACGAGCTATGAAGCTCTTTTCTCAGAAAGTTACAATACAAAAAAACGACAGTAGTGCAAGTTATAGGAAAGGTAAGAAAATTACTCAAAGTAATGCAACTAAAATTATTCTTATGTTACCAGGTAAAGCCCACTGAACTATTGTGAATTTCTTCCAGAAGCAACCTGGTCAAAAATGATAGCTCAACAAAGTGGTTTATCACATTGAAACTTATAGCAGTCAAATAATGTAGAAATACCTTCCTCTGCATATCCACAATATCCTGTGGATGATAAGAGGACACGGAAAGTAACCCAAAGACAAAAATCCCCTATGAAGGCCAGCATGGCACACGAGTTGACCAACACCACGCCCGGCCGTGGCATACTCATTTAAGGCTGAGTTGACCTAAGGGGAGGCCCAAGAACAGATTTAGATATGTCACCGATGTTGGCTGTGAACGGAAATTGAACTCATGTCGCCGAGTTCATAGCGCAGTGCGCTAACCGCTACACTATCGCTCCCCATAACTCCGCTCCCACACACGCGCAGTTTCTCTGTATTATAGTGTACTCCCACCTTCAGGGTCCTGTCTGGAATAATCCTTCCCATCTACAGTGCTCCCCCTTAAAAGTGCTTGCCACAAATGAACCACAATACCTTGCTGATATCGTCAAGGAGCATAAAACAGCACGCTAACCATCGAACAAAGAGGGTCACTGCATCGCGCGCTTTCAGATGCGCTTCTGTGGCCGTCTGGAATGCTCTTCCTTACGATATTAGAAAGCCACTGGAGCTATGTACTTTGAAATCTAGATTTAAAACTCGTTTTTTTAGAACTGCTTTTTGTGTTTAGTTTCTTGTCCTTCCCCCGCACCTCCGATTCGCACAGCTGACTACGTACGGTGGGAAAGAAGTTCAATATAAAGACATAAAAAGAAAACAGATATTATCCTTCCTCACATGACCTCAACAGGCAAATATCCCCCTATTGTTCAGCGCTGTGAGATGCAGTCACATTTACACATTTAAAAAATGCAAAACTCCGTTGTCCTCTAAGGGACAGGTCACTCACCCCTTGCTGATGAACGAAGGCGTGTGCTGGGTGCTGTTGCAGGTTTCCAAGATCAAGACTTCCCGCCTGCTCTGATGGAATGCACGGCGGCTGCGGGTGCGGAGACTGTTGCTGTAGCGGAGGCTGCAGCTGTTGCGCCTGGTGTTGAAGCTGTTGAAGCAGCTGTGGCTGCTGTAGTGATTGATGTTGCAGCTGTGGCTGCTGTGGCTGCTGATTCTGTTGCAGTAACTGCTGTTGTTGTGGCTGTTGTATCAACTGCTGTTGCTGCTGTAAATGTTCAGGAATCTGTAGCTGCTGGGCCTGCTGTATTACCAATTGTTGCAGCTGCTGTTGAGGTTGTTGTGGCTGTTGACTTAATTGCTGTTGTTGCGGAGGCTGTTCTTGCAGCTGCTGCTGTGGCTGCTGTTGTAGCTGCTGCTGTGGCAGCTGTTGTAGCTGCTGTTGCAGTTGCTGTGGTGGCTGCTGTGTTAGTTGCTGTGTTAGTTGCTGTGGTGGCTGTTGTAGCTGCTGTTGCAGCTGCTGCTGTGGCTGCTGTTGCAGCTGCTGCTGCTGTAGCTGCTGTTGCAGCTGCTGCTGTGGCTGCTGTTGCAGCTGCTGTTGAGGTTGTTGTGGCTGTTGTATCAACTGCTGTTGCTGCTGTAAATGTTCAGGAATGTGTAGCTGCTGGGCCTGCTGTATTACCAATTGTTGCAGCTGCTGTTGAGGTTGTTGTGGCTGTTGCATTAATTGCTGTTGTTGCGGAGGCTGTTCTTGCAGCTGTGGCTGCTGTTGTAGCTGCTGTGTTAGTTGCTGTGGTGGCTGTTGCTGCTGCTGTTGCAGTTGCTGTGGTGGCTGTTGCAGCTGCTGCTGTGGGGGCTGTTGCAGCTGCTGCTGTGGGGGCTGTTGCAGCTGCTGCTGTGGTGGTTGTTGTAGCTGCTGCTGTGGGGGTTGTTGCAGCTGCTGCTGTGGCTGTTGCAGCTGTTGTGGTGGCTGCTGTTGCAGCTGCTGCTGTGGCTGTTGCAGCTGCTGTGGTGGCTGTTGTATTAGCTGCTGCTGCGATGGAGCCTGTTGCATCTGTGGCTGCTGTAACAACTGCTGAAGCTGTTGCTGTGGAAGTTCAGGAATATGTTGCTGTGAGGCTTGCTGCATTGGTGGTTGTTGCAGCTGCTGCTGATGTTGTTGTGGCTGTTGCATTGGCTGCTGCTGCAGCTGTTGTTGTGCTTGCTGAGGCAGCTGTAATGACTGTGACTGTTCCAACGGCTGGTGGTGCAGCTGTTGTGGCGGCGTCTGGATATTAAGGTGTGCCTGCTGTTGGAGCGGATGCAGCTGTTGTGTTAAATGCTGTGGCAATTGCTGCATCTGCTGTACAGGCTGCAGTTGCTGCTGCTGTTGTAGAGGCTGTGGCTCAGGCAGTTGCTGCTGCTGTGGCTGTTGTGAATGTTGTGGTGGCTGCTGTTGCAACTGTGGCTGTAACTGCTGTTGCTGCTGCTGTGTTGGCTGCAAGGGCTGTTGCTGAAGTTGATGTGGTTGCTGCTGCATCTGCTGATTTAGTTGCTGCGTTGGCTGCTGTGTATACTGCTGTAGCTCTTGCACTTGCTGCTGTACCAGGTGCTGTAGCTCCTGCTGCATTGGCTGTTGCTGCAGCTGTTGTGACTGTGGTGTTTGCTGTTGTTGCTGCGTCTGCTGTGGCTGCTGCTGCGGGTGCTGTTGGAGTGGCTGTTGCTGCTGCAGAAGTAGTTGTTGCGGCTGCTGTAGCGACTGTGGCTGGGATGGCTGCTGTTGTACTTGCTGTTGTGGTTGCTGCTGCAGCTGCTGCTGTGGTTCTTGATGTGGCTGTTGTTGTTGCAGTTGCTGTTGTTGCTGCGGATGTGGCTGTTGAAGTTGCTGCTGTTGCTGTGGCTGTTGTTGTTGCTGTTGTAGCTGCTGTTGCTGTGCTTGTTGAAGCTGCTGATGTTGCTGTTGTAGCTGCTGTTGCTGTGCTTGTTGAAGCTGTTGCAACTGTGGCTGCTGAAGTTGCTGATGCTGTGGCTGCTGTTGCTGAAGTTGCTGCTGCTGTTGAAGTTGTTGCTGCTGCTGTATTAGTTGCTGCTGCTGGTGTTGAGGCTGCTGTGCTTGTTGTAGCTCCTGTTGCTGCTGCTGTTGCTGTATTAGCTGCTGCTGCTGCAGCTGGTGTTGTGGCTGCTGTGCTTGTTGTAGCTCCTGTTGCTGTGGCTGCTGCTGTTGCTGTATTAGCTGCTGCTGCAGCTGTTGCTGGTGTGCTTGCTGTATCTCCTGCTGATATGGCTGCTGTGGCTGCTGCTGTTGCTGTACTAGCTGCTGCTGCTGCAGCTGTTGCTGCTGTGCTTGTTGTAGTTCCTGTTGCTGCTGTGGCTGCTGCTGTTGCTGTATTAGCTGCTGCTGAGGCTGGTGTGTTTGTTGCAGCTCCTGGTGCAGTGGTTGCTCAAGCTGCTGCTGCTGTGGCTGCTGCTGTTGCTGTATTAGCTGCTGCTGCAGCTGTTGCTGCTGTGCTTGTTGTAGCTCCTGTTGCTGCTGTGGCTGCTGCTGTTGCTGTATTAGCTGCTGCTGCAGCTGTTGCTGCTGTGCTTGTTGTAGCTCTTGTTGCTGCTGTGGCTGCTGCTGTTGCTGTATTAGCTGCTGCTGCTGCTGAGGCTGGTGTGTTTGTTGCAGCTCCTGCTGCTGAGGCTGCTGCAGCTGCTGCTGTGGCTGCTGTTGCTGTATTAGCTGCTGCTGCTGCTGAGGCTGGTGTGTTTGTTGCAGCTCCTGGTGCTGTTGCTGCTGCAGCTGCTGCTGTGGCTGCTGTTGCTGTATTAGCTGCTGCTGCTGCTGCTGAGGCTGGTGTGTTTGTTGCAGCTCCTGCTGCTGAGGCTGCTGCAGCTGCTGCTGTGGTTGCTGAAGCTGCTGTGGTGGCTGCTGTTGCTGTATTAGCTGCTGCTGAGGCTGGTGCGTTTGTTGTAACTCATGTTGCTGTGGCTGATACATCTGCTGCAATGGCTGTTGAAGCTGCTGCTGCTGCTGCTGCTGCAGGTATAGCTGCTGCTGCGGTTGTTGCTGCTGCGGTTGTTGTTGTTGCTGCTGCTGTGCTGGTGGATGCTGCTGCCCAGTCTCGATGATTCCCGCATGCTGCTGTTGCTGATGCTGCTGAGTCTGCTGCAAGGTCTCCAGTTGCATCTGCAGGGCAGCTTCTGCAAGGCTTGGCCTCTGAAGCAGCAGTGGCGATGGCTGAACGACACCGATGCTGTAGTGTTGCTGCTGCGGTGCCATCTGTGTGTGCACAACCTCCACCGACCCCTGCTCCACAGCCGTTTGAAAGGCATCTATTGAGATCTGGGGCTTCACCAAATCTTGCGTTTCGACAGGTGGTGCCAAAACCTGCTCTGCGTACGACTGTGCCTGCGGCTGGATGTGCATTTGTGCTGCCATCTCTAAACCAAGCTCTGAAAAATGTCCAGAAAGTTCCTGCAGCGGCTGATGCGCCTGGGGCTGTGCAAATGCCATCACGTTCGGCTGTTGCTGCTGTAAGCCCCCAGTAAAATGCTGCTGTGCTTGAACTTGTGGCTGGTAAGAAGTGGCATGCACGTCTGGCTGAGGCTGTGCCACCAAGCTCTGGTGCAGTGCGGTCGGCACCACCCCCTGAGTGCACGGTGGCACTCCACCTTGTTGCATTGGTGGCTGAGCAGTTTCCAACTGCGACTGAGCTGGACCCGGATGCTGTAGGTTCACCGGCGGAGGCAGGCCATCGGCCATGACATTCTGCTGCTGCGCAGGCTGCTGCAGGGCAGCGTCGACTGGCTGCTGCTGCACGACAGCAAATTGAGCCTGCACCCCCGAACACTGCGCGAGTTCCAATAGTCCCACCGGACACGTCTGCTGCAGAGTGCCGGGTGTGCACTGCTGCAACATCTGCACGCCGTCCGACGGCACTTGGGTCGCCTGCTGCACCGATGCGGTCAACGGGGCACAAGGTGCCAGCACTGACGCGTAGCCAGACATCTGAAGCTGCTGCATTGGTACCGACTGTGTGGTGTTGCCGGTGGGGCAGTGTTGCTGATGGGGGGGCAGTGGCTGGTCTTGCAGAGGTTGACTGTACAGCTCCTGAAGCGGAGGCAGGGGCATGTTGAGGTGTGCACTCTGCGAGTCCAGTAGCAGCCCAATGTCCGCATGGACTGGCGCTGGCGAAAGAAGCATACGAACAAGGTCACTTATATTTTATCGGTCTTTAATATGATAAACTAACATCTGATCCAATACTTCTAAATATATTAAATTTGCCACAAGATATGTTACAGTGCTGTTGGTATACCCAAGTATACTTAGCAGGCATGAAACGATTCAGTACCCACTGCAATGTGTCTTCACAATTTGGGCTCACAGATTCAAGAATTATTGCTTCATTTGTATCGTCTGCCTGATATGCCGTCACATTTATAGCGACTCATTTGTTCCAATTGTGTTAAGGTTACATTTGCATATGCGCACGAATTAGAGATAATTAATATTTGCATACATTTTTTGATGCACCTCCAATTAGCACAGTTGGCTGAAAGAAATTCAACATACAAACATACATGCATGCATTGTGCATGAAAGAATATATTTTTCTTGATAAATCATGACATTCCTAAAAAAACTGGAAAAAATGTTTTTCTCAAAAACATTATTCGTATTTTTGTCAACTGTAGTTTCAATTTTGCTTGTCAATGTTTAACTTTTTGGTTTTGCATGCTATGTTGCAGAGGTCAAACATTCGACAATGCACAGTACTCCAAAAGCAATTGGTAAAAAAAATAAAAAAACATGACCATCGTTATATATAAAAAAACAGCACCAGTGGTTTGCGCTAAGTAGGGACTCCGTAAACCAACCTTCTGTCGGCTCGCCAAGCAAGCACTGCTCCATGGGTAGCTGGGACATGGGCAGCAGTAGCTCGCCAACTGGGGGACCTGCCATGGTCTGAGTGTGGAGGCCAGACCGCATGGCATCTTCCTCTGCCATCCCACCACCTTTGTCCTGTTCCTCCATGACCTGCATCCCCCATCACATGGTCAGCATCAACAACATCATGAGCATCATCACCAGCATCAAGAACATCATCGTCATCAACGGCATGACCAGCATCATGAGCATCATCACCAGCATCAAGACCATCACGAGCGTCATCGTCATCAACGGCATGATCAGCATCATGAGCATCATCACCAGCATCAAGGGCATCACGAGCGTCATCGTCATCAACGGTATGATCAGCATCATGAGCATCACCAGCATCATCATCAGCAGCAGCATTAACGTCACCAGTTGCATATTACTTGGATGGGAGACTGCCAAGGACTATTAGATGTCGTTAGACTTGGACTGCGAGGCGACCAGATGACACTACTGCAATGGGCTATTGAAGTCGCCCCTATCACCCCAAAGATGCAGTCAGTTGTCCCAGGGCACACCAGTTTCCTCCTCACTCAACCAACACACTCATTAAGGGAATTGGTCAAACATCCCAAGGCAGGACTGTCCTGAAAAATATTTGTTAAGACTCGGGGAACCTTTCCTGGGTGAAATTAATCTTGTGACACAAATCATCAGTTATAATTATTGCTGGCTGCTAACAAAATGCAATCATCATCAGAGCTGGATTATGTACATGGATGTTAATGAGCTGAACGTCATCAGGTTACTTAACCAACACGGCAAAGACAATCCATAATTTCAGTTGTTCTTGTAAAACACCTGATCGTACAGCATGTTTTTTATCATGACACAGCAACCAATAACAATTCATTCACAGTCCGTCGTCATTGTGTGCAGTTTTATTGACGTTTATTGACAGCGTTGCGGTCCTTGCCAACAAAGCGTCCGCACGTGCATCACAGCAGGTCAGGGGATGGAATCACGTAACCACGTCAAAAAATTCCCGTGAGCAAGTCCATAAACAGCAGCAAAAATTAACCCGTAAAAACAAAGTTTTTCACTCTAAATCCTTTATATGCGTGGCGGCTAGACTCCTCTCGTCCTCTGGCTTGAGATGGCTGCCACCTATGGGTCAGAGATGATTGCCTGCCACCATTAAGCAATTGGTAATTAAATATAAAAAAAAATTCCTAAAAAGTGTAAAATTTTGGAGAAAAAAAATTCACGAAAATAGATTGTCACGCACAACGAGTCTGTGTGGAAAATGTCAGCTCGATTGGATCACGGGAAGTGGGTTAAAAAACGACCGAAAGATTTGCACGGTCGTAAGCGTGCAAGCAAGCAAGCAAGAAAGCAAGCGAACTTAATATAAAGGATTTAAAAAAAGGAGCAAATGCGATCATTATGTGTCCGCATGATTAACCATCCATTACCTGTTTGTTCTGCTCACGCTTGTTTTTAATCAACGCCACGCGATCTCTGATCACTTTGGCTACGACCTTGATGTCACTCTCGTGAACTATGCCAGACTTCACCTGTACACAGAAACAGGACAACGGGAACGTGTGTTGGAAGATAAGAAAATAAGATTGTCATTCTTTGCTTAGGATGCAAAAACATATTACAGCAGGCAAGTAACGGATTCATACACCGTCTTCAGCACCACTTGATAAATTGTCACGATTTGGGGTCATTATCCATTTGAAGAATAAATTACTTGTTATCTCTTTTGCACTGTCTCGTTATTCCATCTATCTCATCACTATTACCCTGCATCCTCTCTCGTTTTCTTGAATGTACTGTATCATTCGCAATTGTCTGCATTTCCACATGTTTCAGTTTTGCTTGCAATGTCTTCCTCATTCTCTCCCAATAAGTTATGTCTTATTCATTCGAAGCATATGCCAAAATTACAACGTTCTTGTCATGTTCTATTCTGACCCTCTGAGTAGCTTACACACCATATTTCCATTAAATTCCCAGCATTCTCCACTTGGAACTTGCCAAAAGCTATATTTCACATCGTTTTGTTAAAGTTCAGATCTCCAACTCACATAGTGAAGTACAAGAAAGGCAAATTAAAAGAAAAACAGGTTAGGCAAAAGCACGAATCGGGGTTGACCAACCCTTTTATCACTTCGACCGGTTTTCAACAGGCTCCCCTGTTACAGACAGACAGGGCAGACCGAGAGACGGAAGGGGCAGACAGAGCTAATGCAGAAACAACTTTCATCCTCAAATTGGAAAGCACAGTCGCCCCGAGACCTCTTACCATTTCCTGTGCTATCTCTTCAGCAGCATCTTTGTCGAGCTCAAAGCTGAACTCGATGGCTTCGTTTTCTTTGTACTTCCCTTTCAGCTTCTTCGGGTCCTCAACCCTGAGACGCAGGCCAATGACGGGCTTCTCACCGTCGTCCTCCTCCGCCAGCTCCACCCGGACTCCAGTGTCCTCGGCAAAGAACCCGTGGTTGAGCAGGTCCTTAATGGAGTACCTGCGAGACATTCACATAGCTGCCTCACGCTACATATTTCAACGGTGCATTGATTTGCTCGCTAAGGGCAGGGCTTCTGGAACTTCAAGTTGCTCCCATCCCATCAGAAACTGCCTTTCCACGTGCGGCGATCTTCTCCGGTCGAGTTCAGGTTAGCATTCCAGTATTGGCATTAGGCCAAAAAAATATTATTATTCACTCATTTATAAGCGTTATATGATGCCAAACATACCAGTTTTGATTCAGAAAACCCATTGCCAAGTCCTTTGCTTCATTATACAGCACCCAGACCTTGGTAGTGGAATTTCAATCACACCCTTGACTCAAACAACCCAAACATCGGCAATTAAAGTCAACAAGTGAATACATTTAAATCACATGGAACAACCATGTGACCACAGTCACCACATGAAATGGATGCAAAATTAAATGCATTTATATAAAATAAATCTTATTTTCAATTGGGAACACACAAACGTATAATAAACTGTGACGACAAGAGTTACTATTAATCATTACACAAATTTTCCACAAAGCAATCGTCCGTTGTTTAAGGATTCACAACGGCAGTTTGAACTACGTCCTTCAAATGTTGGCAAGAAGTTCCTTATACATCATCATCAAGATCTATGGGCACATAGCCCCGTAAGTGTCCACTGCATATTTCGTAATTTGTTTATATTTTCCTCTGCATGTATGTATAACTTCTTGCGCAACATACGTAGCCAACAGTGCAACTCGGATGTGCACAAGTAGTGCCACATCTTTGTGGCACCAATCTATTTATGTCGTCAGTCCTTTCATCTGTTAGGTCTTCCTCTTTTTGCGGTTCCTTTCATTTTAATTTGCATGTTGTTGTCCATCCTACACGTGTGTTCCTTATTCAATTTGTTTTATTTACTCAACAACTGCAGTGATCTTCAACAGCAAATTAAAAAAGCATTTGAACAAAAATTGCACTAAAGACGCTGGCGAATATTTATGGCCCGTTTAAATATAAACGTAATGTGTGCCGACATAACCATGGTAGACACGTAATAATTTAGAGGCATGAAACCCATACGTTAAAGTGAATACGCACGTGCATTTTTACGAAGCCAGCTCAAGGTGCCGATGAATTAAATTTCTTTGAAAGTGATGATACCTTTACAGAGTAATTACGGTCACTTGTTGACAAATTCGAGCGTTTGACATCATAGGCGTAGAAGGGCACCGTTTGTTGTTAGCGCTAAAGTGTAGGGGGCATCAACAGGATAATCTGACGGATGTACTTCAACATCCAGTGCAAAGCCAGCCTCAATGGACAACTCACCCGATGGGTCAAAGATTAAACTCGAGTACTGCCCGAGCTGCACTTTTAATCACACTTTATTTTTTGGAGAGGCCACACCGTGGAAAAGCCTTACGGCACAGTTTCATAAGTGCAGGCTTGACGCGCAAGAACTCGGCCGACCAATTTCAGCCGCGATAAGCGTTGTGGTGGAGAGCGATTCGGGCTGCTCACAACAGCACACTGCGTGTGCGCGCCAATGGGCCAGTATATTGCCACGTTATAAAGCGAAGGCGAAGACAGCTGTGAAAGATTTACTGAGCGCAACGATAAACCACTCACTTTATGGAGCAGTGTTTGAAGCTGCGTATAATAGAAAAATATATTTACACAAGCACCCTACATAGCCTGCTTAAAGATACCAATACAAAACACCCTATTGCATGTTATGAACAAAAGCCCTTGTGGCACAAGCATCTGGGGGCTAAATTTGACGTGAAAATAAATCATTTACAATTCCGATTAAGAAGGTAACTTCCTCCAAAGTGCTCAACCTCACCTGCGTACCACATTTAAGTTCTGACATTGGGAGACTTCAGAACATTTGTGTTATATCAATAGGAAGCACTCCTTATGTCCGCAATCACTGGATGTTTTGATTTTATTGGGCCATGTCGTTATAAGTGCCTGACCTGCTTTCTGCCCCGCCTAATTACCTTTCATCTTTGTTTGTCCTGATGCAACCTTCAATTATCTCCTTTAATTCTGGCATCGCAACTTTGTTGAAGCTTGCTGGTTTCACGCCCTGCATACAAGACAAAGACGCAATTAAAGTGCAACACTCAATGATCACTGTATGTTTCACCGGTTTATTTATATCAGGGCTTAATTTTCCAAAATTGAAGGTGCAAGCAAATGTGGAAAGTAAAACATATATACATTTATATGCCTACTTAAAAAGTTATTATATTGAATGTGCATTAACTATATTCACGTTACTATGAAGCACATTCAAATGTGTTTCAGTGTCATTAAATATCTTGGATGCAATTCAACGGTGCATAAAACAGTCCCATATTTCCCAGAGCAAGAACACGAATTGCATGCAATGAAAATACTGTGTTTAAAACACATTTTTTACTTGATCTTAATTGGAAAGGGGTAGTTTTGCAATGCTTATTGCACTAAACTATCAACCCGTGAATATCGCAACCAGAGTTAGATTCCTAGCCACAGATAACATCTCCAACCTGCACTGCTCAGCATGGTTAAATTTACTCTCATGACAAACAGCTGGTAAGGATTTTTATTTTTATGATTCTCAAGAAAAATCCAACAATACATGAATAGGTGATCAAATCATACCTGTCAACCCATATGGTTTAACCGTATTCTTGTACAGGAAAATTGAGTTTTCAGGTCCATACGACGTACAAGCCGTTTCAAAACGGGAAAAAAAATGTTGTCTATTTGTTTGTGTTTCTCCCTTGTGATGGACTATGTAGGGTGAACGTTGAGATGTCTAAGGGTACGGGGTGACCAATCAGGTCTAAATTGGTCTGTAATAAGGTAGGGCACTGATAGGGGTTTAACAAGTATGCATTGGTGAGTGTACTAGTGGTGAATATAGTAGTGGTGACTGTCTATTTTGTTTGTACTTCTCCCTTGTGATGGGACATTGTAGGATCAACGTTGAGATTTATCAGGGCACGGGGTGACCAATAAGGTCTGAATTGGTCTGTAATAAAGTAAGCACTGATAAGGGGTTGACAGGTATGTCTAATTATGCTAGTTTTAAAAACAGTCGATGAAATGCAATGAACTCATCTCTTTAAAAACAGTCTGTTTACCTATCATTCACATACATTTATTTTATCCAAGTGATATCATCACAACGTGCGAATTATTCCAAGTATAACACAAATAAGCAGGGACATGCTTACGAATTGCTCATATGGTTTGGGCCAAATAATTTGTATGGAAGTAAATCAAATAAAAAACAAAGCTTGAACATTAAACACAAATAAATAGTTTTGCCATTATGGTTTTAATGTTGCTTTCCAAGTCAATAAAATTGCTTAATAACCAAATAAAGCGCTTATATTTTGGCTTGCGCAATGAAATACGGCTACATAATCGATATTCCAACGTAATGAAATAATAACTTAAACCAGCTGCATTTTAACTACCAGCATAAGGCCTTGACCACAGTGGTAATACAATGTGAAGTGCTTCACAATGTAGTTTTCTCGATTGAAAATGTCCACGGGGCTTCCCCGCGTAATATTATATTTGAAAGAAGTCAATAACGTAATGTCGAATGTGCTCATGCGGTCTTAATGCCGGACATAAAACAAGATTAAGGCAGTGCCCCACTCGGCACAGCCTTCATTACATTGTCAAGGAAAATTTAGCAGACAGAACACTCATTTAATTAAAAACTAATGCAGCCACATAAGTCCTGGGTTCCATCATTAGTGAGCTGACACATATTAAGATATATGAAAAAGACCCCAAATTTAGCAAAATGTATCTCGATAAAGCATGTTTTGGAAGGCCTACACACAACAAGCTCACTCCCCACTGTACAATGTGCAGACATTAATCCAGTCGTGCTCTTGTACGTCAACAAAACCCCACATTCAGCAAAATCCCACCGTTCCCATGAAACAATGCGCTTTGCGGATCAATGTTAAAACAACGCAATGTGTCTGCTGAGACAGGCCACTGCCAAAACGTGTTCTGCGCTTCAGTTTCTTTTTTAGCATTTCTAAATTTCAAGTTTTTGATCCATCTTTGATGCACTTTTTCTGGGTTACACTATTTGGATATTTTACAGAGTAAAAATTGCACGTTGCTCACATAACGTAGGATTTTAATGATGAAAAGCTAAATAAACAGTGGCTGTTTCATCTGACATTTAAAGGATTGACACATTTAGAAATGTAAATACAGCAGTCTTAACACAATAAACATTGCATTCCTCTTGTATACTACAAGAACTGCTGACTACTGTTTATGTTCTCAAAAAATAGCCAGGCTAAATCCTGGTGGGCGAGTCAGCCAAAACTCATTATTCATGGCAACTCACCGTTATGTTCCACAAATTCAAACACTGGATTTACTGTCCATCAAGGACTTACACCGGATTTTTGTGCTTTTTTGTAAATGAAAGTTTAAAAATGTGAACAATGCCACCCTGGAACTTAAAAACTGCTGATGTTTACATGGATCAAAAAATTGTTAATTACAGATGAAGCAGAATTTTTTCCATATTGCATTGTTTGTGTGGTTTTTTTGCTGCTGCAATTTAAATAAACTTGCAAGACAAGATTTCGTTTTTCCAAAGAAGGCAGTTTGTTTTTTGTATCTTGCTCAGTTCACGGATAAATGGAACAAAATCTATTTGTTGTGACAGTATTGACAAGACAAACACATTTTCAATTTCCTCACAGCTACTTTAAGTTGAAAGCGAGTTACCATGTTGTTTTTTTCAAGCGTTTAAACAACCGTGTCCAATGTACATTTGTGTATTTTTGCATAAAATTATGCATAACTCTGCTCAGACACGATTCAGTTAGTTATAATTACATTAAAGTAAATTCAAAGCCACGTGATGAATTTGTCTTGATGGATTAAAAACCCGTGGCTTCTAATAAATGAGCCACCAGTCATGTTTAAACGAAACTAAACTAAGCTGTGCCTGTGGCAGTAGTTACATTGGGGAAACTAAGCGACTTGTCTCAGACCGTGTTCGCAAACACAAGGCAGATCTGAAACACGGTAGGACCAACACCTCTGCCGTGGCTGATCATTGTTTTAATGCCGTGGGCACACATGAAGTTGATTTCTCCAAGATGAAGGTACTATGCAAATCCACTGGCTATCATCAGAGGTTTGTTCAAGAAGCCATCCAGATATATAACCCCAGACTGAGCAATCATTGGAAGGACGTTATTAACCAGGTAAAGTCATAACTGACTGTGATGCTTCCATCCTACCTGCCTATGTTAGTAGTTATTTACGACTCTCTGAGTTACAATACCTTGTTAAATGTCTTTACATTAACAGGCTAAATGTCTCATTAACATAGCTGCTGCTCCCCTTTTCCTCGATTAGGAGGTGGGGTGCTCGTTGTTTAATAGTCTGAATGTCTCTCATTAACACAGCCGCTGCTGCGGGAGCCGTCTCACATTGACATGGTAATCTCTTAATCTCGAGCAATACAATGGCCGAGGTATATCTAGCTCTGCGATCTTACATTTACTTGCAAATTCCATCTCTAGCCCTGCCAACTTACCCTTGGGTTGTACCCATCTCAAAACTTTATAACCTATGGCTGCAGTAGCTCTCTCGCCATATTACTTCCTGCCTCAGCAGTTCGCCTGCTGCATTTTTTCACCTGAAGACGATTTCTTGTGTTGCGATCGAAACGTCATGATTTTTTTTATTATTTTTCTATCTACGTGGCTTTACGGAAAGACCCAAAGAGTATAAACATTTTTATTTTACCAGGTAAAGCCCACTGAGCAATCGAGCTCTTTTTAAGAAACGACCTGGCAACAACTGATAGCTCAACAACGTGGCTTATCATGTATAAATGTATCGCAACGAAATACTCTAAACACAAGTTTATAAATGTGGACTGAAAAACCGAAAAACCCGGAGAAAAATCTAAATGTACAGGTGTCAAGGGTCAGGATCGAACCCACAACCTCCTCCATACCAGGCAAGGGAGATAACATCTTGCCATCGTGGCGAGAAGTTCTAAAATGTATCATTACATTTTAGTTATCCTCAACCATACAGTATTTTTATCATAATGAACAATTTAAAGAATTCCCAACTGGCATGATATGTAGCTTACAAGTGACATCCTGCTGCCATTAGGTGTCAAGGTGTCCGCGGCGATTCCCTGTTAACGCAGAGGTCTTCCGCAATTGGAGCAACGACAAACATCTTTTGACCTAAACCCAAGTACTCACCGTAGTGACCTTACGGTAAATCTGCGCCGGGTTTTGGCACTCAGAGTAAGGGTATTCTGACGTAGCCATTTCCAGCATGCACATTCCAAAGGCGTACACGTCCACGGCCTCGTCATAATGTTCCTCGTACATTTCTGGAGCCATGAACTCGGGTGTTCCTGCGGAATACATGAGCAAACGCCCCAGGGCTCGATTTAAATTTAGCACTGCAGTGGAATCAACCACCAATAATCACGACCGTGAGGTTTCGCCACATTTTAAGAGATTTGCTCAAAAATGGAAAAGCAAAACAATCAATCAACTTGCTTAACTGCGTGCGATACGCTCGACACTGCCACTTAGGGAAATAAATGCCGCCACCGTTTAATTCACATTTGTGGATGTAAAAAGCATGACATTTCGCGCATACGCTTTACAATGTTTTTAAAGGTAATTTAAATTTTTTTATCAGATACACTCTTTTGTGCATTCAATTTAGTCAAATCCGGCCAATACATTTCAAACTCAAATATATTATCGCAATAAATTCAAATTGTGTTTTCCCAAGGTTTCAGAGATATTGCAAAATAGTATGTTGTGTAGAATTCAGTCGATGTCTGAATGGCACGGTTGACTAAATAGTGCATTTGTAATATCTATATTTTAGTTTTCCACAAACACAAAATTATATTTTGTCAACTTAGCAAAAAATTGAAAGAACTGCTGACTGCACACCCAATGTGGTGTATAACCACGTCATCACATTCAATTTCAACAACCAAATAATTAGGTGCGATTCCAGCTCTGCAAAACGGCATGTGAGAAAATGCCGCCCCCCTAGTGCATGAATACAAATAAATGTCACGTAGAAGAAGCCTCATCAGAGGTCCGGCGACATCCCTTTGCAAGGGTCGTTCTGTTACACCCTGGGCAAAGCACTGCTCTTTTAAAGTTCTTAATCAATCCTTCATCTCAAGACATTCCATCCACAACGTAATAAATTACTGCAAAAAAAAAACGTCACATTTGGTTTTGGAACGTAGTTTGTCTTATTTCAACTCGGAAAATTAAAAGAAACCTCCGACTGTCAAGTAACAAAGACACCCATTTCAGAGCAGAGTGTGGAAAATGCACCCCCCTTGAAGGGGTTTTTGTTTTTTGAAGATTGAGTTAAAATATAATGGGAAAATGTACTGAGGCACGGGGTCAATGTTCCCTGAGATTTCTTAAGGGATTGTTTGTCACATGACATGCCACCGATGAGGCACAAACACAAAAATTGGTGGAAAGATGACAAAAATACATAGACTTTTCTAGAAGAAATAGTAAAATAAATGCTTTTACCTATCACGCTTTTGGCAAACGATGCCCGTTTTAGTGTGGCCAGCCCCAGGTCTCCAATCTTTACCGAGCCCGTGGGACCCGTGATAAAGATGTTGTCACACTTGAGGTCCCTGTGAATAATGGGCGGTGTCCTCGTGTGCAGGAAGTGTAAGCCCTTTAGGATCTGACGACACCAACTCTGCAGAACTTTCGTCTTCATCACCTTGAAACGCTTCAGGTACCTGAAAAGGGGGAAGAGCAAAACTCGTTAGACCAATGTCAACATACTCTCAGGTTTTTTCGGTAAAGTCACGTAGGTAAAAAATAAAATTAGAAGTTAATTAAAGTAATAATGGAAATAAAATAAAATAATAAATCACGACGTTTCGGAGGCAACACAAGTCTCCGTCATCAGGTGGGACCGTCACAGCTAAAATGACTGCATCATTATAATTTTAGCTGTGACGGTCCCACCTGATGACGGAGACTTGTGTTGCCTCCGAAACGTCGTGATTTATTATTTTATTTTATTTCCATTATTACTTTTATTAACTTTTAATTTTATTTTTTACCTACGTGACTTTACCGAAGAAACCTGAGAGTATGAATCCTTGCAGTCACGAAAGCTTCAAATCTACAATATCAACAGTTAGCCGATGTTCATCATGCGCTGCAACGACCTCCGCATATGAGACATCTGTCGCGTTTAAACATTCTTAAGAATCGTTTGTCGTCCCGTAAAAGTGTTGCCTGGAAGGGAGCGATCACTGCAGTGATATTTTCCTTCAGCGCGTTGCGGCCTTCGTGGAAAGTCTACAATTGTGAGGCGTCTGGTACACATCTAAAGCCCCTTTCCACTGATTTGACAAAACACAAAATGACAACGGGAATTCAGTGTTTAAACATAGAAAGTGTTTGTTTAAATCTTAATATAAGAGTGGTGGTATGCAAGAGGCAATTAATATTCGTTCTTTAAAATAGACTTTACTGGTGCAAGTTATTGGATTTAGTATATGAAATAGCCATTGTTGTATAACTAATCAACCATTAATCTTATTACCCTAATGGTTTGGACTGCCGTGGCATATCTGAGTGTACTTTATATCCGTGTCAATTGATCGGAAATGTTTTAGTACACAGTAGGTTGCGGCGCTTGCCAACAGAGGCTGTTTATGTTGTGAAAACACTGCTACTCGTGTGTCAATTGCAACAGTCAGCAGTATCTTGTTTCCCAAGTGACTCAATGGGAAAAGACTCAACATTATTCAGGATTAAAAAGTATTCGATGTTCTTAAACGAGGGCAGCTTTTACAGTATTCACATTCGACAGCCCAAATGTAAGCTACTGCCTATAGTTAAACAGAATATCAACCGAGGTTAAGGTCTCTCCCCCTCCTCAGATAAAGAATAGGCTGGTAGTGTTCTTCTTCATCGATGGCCATGACCCAGGGGTGGAAATTCCACATTCCTATGACGGACGTCAGTTTCAACATAAAGAAACCATTGCTAACTTTGTGCAAAGTGATCATGATTTTACAAACCACCAATTGTGATTTAAGCTAGGAACCTTATCACTGCAAGCTGGATGTGCTAACCACTGCTCTAAAGGGAAATTATAGAATTACAGTTTGTGCACTGATTAAAATCAGTCTATGCATCAAATCGTGCGTGTAACATTTTTTTTCCAACCATGAAAATGTTATTATTTTTCCAGATGGTCAAAACAAAGTAGACAGTAAAAAGAGTCACGATACAAATGGAAAAAAATAAAAACGCGATGGACAGACAATATCCAAAGAGAAAAGAAGAAACGCAGTAAAGAGGAGTTGGACAGCACCACATTACAAACCAGGCAAATAGTACAAATTAGACAATATAGACGAGAGAAACCGCACAAAAAGAGACAGAAAACAATCCCAGACTGTGCAGAGGCAACGGGGAAGTACAGACATTTTTTTTTCTTTCACCTATGTGACTTTACCGAAAGAACCAAAGAGTATGGATTCTTGCAGTCACAAATACTTCAAATCTAGAATGCTTAGTGAGCTTTTATTTACCGGGGGGGGGGGGGGGGGGTTGAAAACAACCTGATCATACAACACAAAACATGGTCTTAGCTGCAAAGGATGTCCTGGAATTAAACTAAAAAAAAACGCAGGAAAATCAAAGCATCAACAACACAAAGGCCACACAGACGAGATAGACAACAGAGACGAGACGCTTTAAAAATACAAAAGTGTGTACGCAATTAAAATCTAGATACCCGCATGGCATAAAACGCATGTTTCAACGAGACAAGTTGCGGACACAGTGATGTTCCAAATGAACGTGACAAACTGCGCGAGAGGGCCCCACGGGGTGCTCGCGAATGCTCACGTTTTCAGTGTGCCGGACGTCATGAGCTCCGTGACGAGCACGATGCTGTGCTTGCCCTTCAGGGTGCTTTCCCATGAGTCGTAGAAGCGCACGATGCTCGGGTGTTGGAGGCCCTTCAGCATGTCTGCCTCTTCTCTGAAGCGCTGTTTCTCAGGCTTGCTCAGTTTCCTGTCCTGCACGCCGCCACGCCACCGTCGTTCGCCCCCCGGTCGACAACACAGCACGTTACACACAGCAGCTCCGGCGGAAAATTGGTAAATAACGTTAATAAGCCAGAGCCGCCTTCATTTTCATTCACGGTAAATTGGGCCGCATTCACCGGAACTGAATGCCACAAGTGGCACGATTTGTCTGTGCGAAGCCATAGAGTGAGCAGACATTATTACCCACTTTCAGCAATACCAATTGCTGCTGGAATACACATTTCATGCAAAGAAGCAACAATGCAGTTACAAAACAACATTCATTGTCATCAGCCATGATCAATCCTCTGCTGGGTAAGACCTCCATTTATTAAATTGTATTGTGTGCTAGTCACGCACTTTCTTAAATTACAGAATGAAACAAAACCCGTGGTTTGGTTATAGGAATTATAAAATCCAGCCATGTGGGAGTCCTAAGTACACGAAGCACCACACACGCAAAATATTTTCCCAGACCCACACATTCAAAATAACGTTCGAATGATAAATGGAATTAATATTATGAGCCAATGTCCTTAAAAAGCCTGGCTGCCCAGTTCCTTTGATCTTTTTTTCCCTCCCATCAGTCACCAGATGATAAATGTAAACTGTTAGTCTGCCTGTGCATGGTGAGATGATTTCATTTTCAAGTAAAGGAAGATGCAGCATACAAAGTACAGCCATCCCTTTGCTAATCTGCGGTTGACTAATACATTGCCTGTGAAAATCCACAGCTCGCACGATGACTACTGAATATTTAACCATCAAAGTTACCCAATTATGCGCCTGTTTGGCATTTCCTGGGTCAATGCCACACTGGCAAACTGTGCAAGCGCACCACATAGTTAACCTACATCCATGTCCTTGCAGCAATAAATTAGTAACCGAGGGCTATGTAACACATTCCTGCGGAGGGAGCTGGTAGGAACGTTGGGTTGCTCGGTCAATGGCCAGGGTCAACGGCGGCGTGGTGTATTCCGCAAATATGGCTGACTGTGAGGGCGGGCACAAGCCGGCGTGAGTAGATTAAACGTTGAGTTTTATAAGGGCACCACGGGGTGACCAGCCCCTCCCCACCCGGCCCCACCCCTCCCACCCAGCCCCATCCAGCCCCACCCTCCCCACCCAGCCCCACCCTCCCCACCCAGCCCCTCCCCACCCTCCCCCTCCCATTTTTGGATGCACGACGGACGGACACAATAATCCCCTGTGGGCTGGTGTGACCAGGAGGTTCCGACAAGTAAAATACCTTAATATTATCCTCCCGAGTTGAACACATAAGTATTACAGTAAGCAAGTATGCCTTAGTAGAAGGAGTCGCCAATTCGTAAGCATTACAGTGTCTCATTCACAGGGCATCTACTTGATACTGCTGAAATACTGCAGTGCATTGAACTATCAATTGTAAGACAAGCATTGCCCTCCTGACACTTTGTGCTCGGTATATTCTACTGATGCAAAGCAAGTGCAGTCAAAGTGAGAATGCGGTAAAGGCTTTGAAAAAACAAACGATGGTTTTATAACCATTACAAATACAACGTGAAATTTTCTCGAGTCCACAGAAATTACTACACAGTGCGAGTATTTAACGATGTTCCACAAACAAATTATTACATTATAGATATTAGAGAGTAAAGATGAAATGTATTTATACACTGCAGTACGTGCTCACCCAACATTTGGTGGAGTGGTGGGGAAAAGTGGTTCTGAATGCAGTTTACTGCATTATGAATCTGGTGACCTGAATCCAAATCCAAGCTATGACCAGTGTGGTGAAGTATGTCATACAGCCCTCAATGGAGGCTTTTATTCAGCACTGAACTGACAAAGGGCTGATCGTTTTTTAGGCATTAAGAGCCCATTGAGACCAGTGGTCTCTTCTCAAGGGAGTACGTGGCTTAAATAAATAAAAACAATAAACAATGATGAATGTTGCATTTGAACTAGGTGGAGTATCAACCCCAGTGGCAAGCGTGTTAACCACAAATCCACCTCGCCCAGTCTGTTATTGCATTAGAGGATTGTACGCCATATGGACACCCATTTTCATAAATGCCATTTGGGCAGGGTTTCATAATCACATTATAGCAACTCTATGTTTAATGAAATCCACGAAGCTACGGATTGGAAAAAAACATTATACTATGCTAATTATGACGATCAAAGTCACTCTTAGGTTTTGACAAGAGTTTCAATTTGTTTTCACCAGAAACAAAATGCATCCAATTATATCACTTCGACCAATACACATTCCGAATATAATAGAATAACAGATGAACGGAACCTTCCAAAAAGTACACATTCACTACAGTATCCATTCAGTCCTCTTATTAAACATAAAATAGGCATTGATTTAAAAAAAATACATTTACAACCATTTGTAAATGTAGTGACATATCTACGTTGGTGGATCGCGCAAATGTTGTACAACTAATTAGGCATCGTTCACAGGGACTTAAAACCAGACCAAGATGGGCCAGGAATCCATTGCTTCTACTTCCTGTGGCTACATGTACTGCAAACATAATGTTGACAAGAAGTAAAACGTGCCTGCTGTCTCTTCTCGCCAACAAGTTACACAAATTGAAAGCTTTCGTGACTGCAGGGATTCATATTCTTGGTTCTTTCGGTAAAGTCACGTAGAAGGGAAATAATAAATAATAAAAATAAAACAATAAAATACAATTCTCACAATTGTATTTTATTATGTGAGAATTGTATTTTAGTACGTTTATTTTTATTATTTTATTATTTCCCTTCTACGTGACTTTACCAAAAGAACCAAGAAGATGAATCCCTGCAGTCACGAAAGCTTTAAATCGAAAAATAAAATAATAAAAATATAAAACAATAAAATTATCATCAGATGATGATGATGACTGCTTGTGTTGCAGTCGAAACGTCGTGAGAATTTTATTGTTTTATATTTTTTATTTTTTTTGTTTCCCTTCTACGTGACTTTACCGAAAGAACCAAGAATATAAAGGTACACAGACTTTAAGGGCAACCTTGAAGGTCATCCAGTATAGTCTGGGATATGTCAAGGCCATCTTACACCGGAAAATCCCCCAATGGGCACTGGACAAATGCTCACCACCCCGCTTTGCATTTGCCTCTGCGCATGCACCAAAATAAAATAAAAACCCCACAAAAGGTATTTCTGGGTCAAACCCTTGAAAAAAACATGCCAATCAAGAATCAGAGGAATAGAAGCAAGCCATAAGCTGATTTCGGGTTAGAGGCACTAATCTTTCCTTATTAACTGTACTATTAGTTTTATTATTACAGTGCAATGAGGAGCTGCACAAAGGAAAATTTTCCTGTAGGTCAACCATTACTAAAGTTAATCAAACCTCTGTCAATTTAAATGTGCTCCAGCCACAATGTCAAATCAGAAGTTATAATTTTTGTAGGCGTATAATTATCATCCATGAGATTGTGGGAAGGCGGCGGTGGCTTGGTGAAGCCTTGATCGAGCAGTGATTTGACCAAAGTTGATGATAATCCATAATTATTACCCACAAGAGCCCACCATTGTGATCATCTTCCAAAGCCAAAATTGGGATATTATCTGAAACTATTACATGTTCTTTTCCTGAACGCCTAACTGGATTAAGTTGGCCTGTACTGAGACGATCACATCTCTCTGGAACAAATTTTCAAAATGCAACACAGCGCTTGGGGATATAGACAATGATTTGGCCAACCAGTGCACATTAAATTCATGCTCAAATGGTGATTTCCTTGCGCTTTGCATGCTTTGGAAAATTACAGACACGGCCGACTACGCGACTGTGGCCAGTCAACTGGGGTTGTTATTGCTTCAAGCGCCGTTCACCAGAAGCGACGAACGACTCTGTCTGTCTGTGTAAAGCCACAATGGAATGCTAATCATTGCACAGCTGAGCTGAACCCGGTGGACTCCCTACTTGTGATGAACTTTGAATGGGGAGAAATTTTTGCTTATGTACAATGCAGCGAAGCACATACAGTGCACGGGAAAGGGGAATTCTGGCACGAGTTAAAACCTTTGCGGCAAAATATATTGCAGTAGAGAAAAAAACTCCTCTTATCCGCGCCGCACTATTACCCGCGACTCAGTCCGCAGCAGCTGTACGCATGTTGAACTTCTTTCGCAACGTACGGAGCCAACCCTGTTCGTCGGAGGTGATAGCAGTTTTCAAGGAAACTCCCATTATCCACGGTTCTATTTCTTGCTATGATCTACAATTATTCATGATTTTGCCCGTTGTGCCGAGTGAAGGGGCTTCCAAATATTGGAGTTTACCGCAGATAAAGGGTCATGCGGAAAATAACTCCGAATATCGGCTTTTTTTCATTTGGAAAAAATATGATATGACCAAAGCGATTGCACCGGCAGCACTGAACTTGATCACGAGACAGACACAAATAAACTCAATGAGACACGGAGTCAGAAACATATATGGATACACAGAGAGTCAGAGACAAACATGCAGACTGTTGGGGAAAATGGCAGGTAGCACAATACACTTAAAAAATAGATGTCTGCACCCTTGTTCTCCTGCCCAAATAGCAGCAGCATGAAACACTCGGTTGAGCCATATCCATCTGATCAAAGGTAAGTCCCAATTACCTGGGCAATTCCGAAGGTCCATTCATCTACACAACACTCAGAAGGTGATTAAATCTAGCCTAGGCCATTACTTTCTTGCCACATACACTATCCAAAGATTAACTGAAAACATGTACACAGGACTTTAATTGTATTCTATCCTAAGACCCCAATAATCCCAGTGGCTTCAACTCCAGAAGACTGACAGACAACAAGCAAAGATCAATGTCAACAAACGTGATATCATCAGCAGTCAACATTCGTAATTCAGACTTTGCCAACATATAACGACAAAGACCATGATCCACTATTAAAGCAGACAATTCATAAAAATAATGAAACACAACTGGTAATACGCACATTTAAATAATCAGACACAATGTTTGATCGAGAACTC